ATATTCATATGTTTTTGTTAAATTTTCCATAGAGATGGGATCATTTTACGGATGTGTTTTTAAATTTTCAGTCAACACTTTATCATAGTTATTTTCTCATATTGATATTTAGCATGCATTTTTAAAATTTCACAAATAAAATGGTGTCTGTTTGCTTTTGTTTTAAAAGAGATACACAAAATTATTTACCATGTAATACAATTAAAGTGCTTTTCAGCATGTTATACTTTATTGTCTAACTTATGATTTGCTGAATCATTAATTTAGATTGAACATTTATCTTGTTTGTAGTCTTGCTTAACAAAACTAGTTTTAATATTTAGGAGAGGCTTTTGTGTATTCAGGCTGTGTCTTAACACTTTTAATATAATTCTCGTAATTAGAGAAGAAAGTTCTTTTGATTCAAACTTTTATTTTGTCTTCAATTAGCTTATTCTCAAATTGGACATTCTTTATCAACCTCATAGAAATCGTCATCTGTTTTAAGAGCTTAGTCTACATTTCAGCATAACTTCTATTGACCACACTCAGTTTGGACAGAAGAAAATGCTGTGTTTGTTATTTGCTTAGGATTTGGATAGCTATGCCCAATACATTAAAAACTCTGGTTAAAATCCTGAAGCATGAGGACTTTTTATTTTGAATAGGAAAATGCCTTTATTGCATTTATGCAGTAAGGTATTCTGAAAAGTGAAATAGTTGGCTGATTGCTTTTGTCAGTGAGCTTTTTTTTCATTCTTATATGGATATTACTTTTATTACTATTATTATTTTTTTTTTAAATAATTTTTTTATTAAGAAAAGAAGAAAAAAAAACATAAACAAAAAACAAGTTTCCACCTCCTCCCAGCCTCCCATTTCCCTCCCCCTCCTCCCACCCTTCTCCCCCTCCTCCCACCCTTCTACCCCTCCCCCCACTCCTCTCCCCCTCCCTCTCCAGTCCACAGAGCAGTCCAGGTTCCCTGCCCTGTGGTAAGTCCTAGGTCCTCCCCCCTCCGTCCATATCTAGGAAGGTGAACATCCAAACTGGCTAGGCTTCCACAAAGCCAGCACATTAAGTAGGATCAAAACCCCGTGCCATTGTCCTTGGCGTCTCATCAGCCCTCATTGTTCGCCATGTTCAGAGAGTCCGGTTTTATCCCATGCTTTTTCGGTCACAGTCCAGCTGGCCTTGGTGAGCTCCCAGTAGATCAGCTCCACTGTCTCAGTGGGTGGGTGCACGCCTCGTGGTCCCGACTTCTTTGCTCATGTTCTCCCTCCTTCTGCTCCTCATTGGGACCTTGGGAGCTCAGTCCAGTGCTCCAGTGTGGGTCTCTCTCTCTGTCTCCATCCATCACCAGATGAAGGTTCTATGATGATATGCAAGATATTCGTCAGTATTGCTCTCGGATAGGGTCATTTCAGGTTCCCAATCCTCAGCTACCCAAGGAACTAACTGGGAACCTCATGTTGGGCACTTGGGAGCCCCTCTAGGGTCAAATCTCTTGCTCACCCTAAAGTGGTTCCCTTAACTAAGAATTGTGTTTCCGTGCTCCCCTATCCACCTTTCCTTTATCCCAATTCTCCTGATTCCCCAAATCCCCCCTCCTTCCCTTCTACCTTTTCTCTCCCCATCTCCCCTTACCCCCATCCCACCCCACCCCCAAGATCCTAATTTTCTCCCCGGCAATTGGGTCTACTTCCCTTAGCCAAGAGGATAACTATATGTTTTTCCTTGGGTTCACCTTCTTACTTAGCTTCTTTAGGTTCACCTATTGTAGACTCCGTGGCGCTAATTTATGGCTAGAAACCAATTATGAGCGAGTACATCCCATGTTCATCTTTTTGGGTCTGGGACACCTCACTCAGGATAGTGTTTTCTATTTCCATCCATTTGCCTGCAAAATTCGAGAAGTCATTGTTTTTTACCGCAGCGTAGTACTCTAGCGTGTATATATTCCATACTTTCTTCATCCATTCTTCCATTGAAGGGCATCTAGGTTGTTTCCAGGTTCTGGCTATTACAAATAATACAGCTATGAACATAGTTGAACAAATGCTTTTGTCATATGATAGAGCATCTCTTGGGTATATTCCCAGGAGTTTACTATTATTATTATTACAAATTTTCACCTCCTCTCCTCCTCCCATTTCCCTCCCCCCTCCCCATTCCCCCTCCCCATTCCCCCTCCCCCTCCCTCTTCAGTTCAAAGAGCAGTCAGGGTTCCCTGCCCTGTGGGAAATCCAAGGTCCTGCCCCCTCTATCCAGGTCTAGGAAGGTGAGGATCCAAACAGACTAGGCTCCCACAAAGCCAGTACGTGGAGTAGAATCAAAACCCAGTGCCATTGTCCTTGGCTTCTCAGTCAGCCCTCCATGCCAACCACATTCAGAGAGTCCGATTTGTTCACATGCTCCATCAGTCCCAGTCCAGCTGGCCTTGGTGAATTCCCATTAGATGGGCCCCACCATCACAGTTGGTGGGTGCAACCCTCACGGCCCTGACTTTCTTGCTCATGTTCTCTCTCCTTCTGCTCCTCATTTGGACCTTGGGAGCTCAGTCCAGTGCTCCAGTGTGGGTCTCTGTCTCTATCTCCATCCATCGCCAGATGAAGGTTCTATGGTGATATGCAAGATATTCATCAGAGTGGCTATAGTATAGGGCCAGTTCAGGTGCCCTCTCCTCAGCTGCTCAAGGAACAAGCTGGGGACATCTCCTTGGACACCTGGGAACCTCTCTGAGTCAAGTCTCTTGCCAACACTAAAATGGCTCCCTTAATTAAGATATATACTTCCCTGCTCCCATATCCACCCCTCCTCCATCCCAACTGTCCCATTCCCCCAATCTCCCCATCCACCCGTTCTCACTTCTCTCTCCCCATCTCCCCTTACCCCCGGCCCACTCCCACCCCCAAGCTCTCAATGTTTGCCTGGAAATCTTGTCTACTTCCAATATCCAGGAGGATAACTACATTTGGGGGGGGGCTCACCTTCCTATTTAGCTTCTCTAGGATCGTGAATTATAGGCTCAATGTCCTTTATTTATGGCTAGAATCCACTAATGAGTGAGTACATACCATATTCATCTTTTGGGGTGTGGGTTACCTGACTCAAGATAGTGTTCTCTATTTCCATCCATTTGCATGCAAAATTCAAGATTTTTTTTTTTTAACCACTGAGTAGTACTCTAATGCGTATATATATATTCCACACTTTCTTTATCCATTCTTCCATTGAGGGGCATCTAGGTTGTCTCCGGGTTCTGGCTATTACAAATAATGCTGCTATGAACATATATGAACAAATGCTTTTGTAGTATGATAGGGCATCTCTTGGGTATATTCCCAGGAGTGGTATTGCTGGATCCTGGAGTAGGTTGATCCCGAATTTCCTGAGAAACTGCCACACTGATTTCCAAAGTGGTTGCACAAGTTTGTATTCCCACCAGCAATGGATGAGTGTTCCCTTTATTCCACATCCTCTCGAGCAAAGGCTATCATTGGTGTTTTTGATTTTAGCCATTCTGACAGTTGTAAGATAGTATCTCATAGTTGTTTTGATTTACATTTCCCTGATTGCTAAGGAGGTTGAGCATGACCTTAAGTGTCTTTTGGCCATTTGAAATTCTTCAGTTGAGAATTTTCTGTTCAGATCCGTACCCCATTTTTTAATTGGGTTAATCAACATTTTAAAGTCTAGTTTCTTGAGTTCTTTATATATTTTGGAGATCAGACCTTTGTCAGTTGCGGGGTTGGTGAAGATCTTCTCCCAATCAGTAGGTTGCCTTTTTGTCTCAATGACAGTGTCCTTTGCTTTACAGAAGCTTCTCAGTTTTAGGAGGTCCCATTTATTTAATGTTGCCCTTATTGTCTGTGCTACAGGGGTTATGCATAGGAAGTGGTCTCCTGTGCCCATATGTTGTAGACTATTTCCCACTTTCTCCTCTATCAGGTTCAATGTGTTCAGATTGATATTGAGATCTTTAATCCATTTGGACTTGAAGTTCTAGCAATAGCAATAAGACAACATCAGGAGATCAAGGGGATTCGAATCGGAAAGGAAGAAGTCAAACTTTGGTTATTTGCAGATGATATGATAGTGTACATTAGTGACCCCCAAACCTCTACCAAAGAACTCCTACAGCTGATAAATAACTTCAGTGAAGTGGCAGGCTACAAGATCAACTCAAAAAAATCAGTAGCCCTCCTATACACAAAGGACAGAGAAGCAGAGAGGGAATTCAGAGAAACTTCACCTTTTACGATAGCCACAAATAGCATAAAGTATCTTGTGGTAACTCTAACCAAGGAAGTGAAAGATCTATTTGACAAGAACTTTAAGGCACTAAAGAAAGAAATTGAAGAAGACACCAGAAAATGGAAAGACCTCCCATGCTCTTGAATGAGTAGGATCAACATAGTAAAAATGGCAATTCTACCAAAGGCAATCTATAAATTCAACGCAATCCCCATTAAAATCCCAATAAAATTCTTCACAGACCTTGAGAGAACAATAATAAACTTTATTTGTCAGTGAGCTTTTAATACCCAAAGTAGAGGATCAAAATTGCAGATTACACATGACCTTTATTTCAAGATTTTCTGTTCCCCACCTTTAAACTAACTGTGAAAATTAAAAGCAAATATCTGAGAAATCTCTCTCGTGCCTCCCACATGTATCTAAAGAACAATACCAGACTCTTGTTGTGTTTGAAGGTAGCTGAGTCACATCATTTAGAACCATTTTCTTTGGTCTGCCACCCTTATTTGGTAGTCAGTCACCTCTCAAGTCACTTTCAAACCTGAATGTAGTTAAGATTGTTCATGCCACCGAATTTATCCGTTAGCCTTTTTAGCGCACTCCTATTTTGGATTTACTTTAACAAATTGATAGTAATTGCAATATATATATATATATATATATATATATATATATATATATATATAATAGAATGGTATAACCAATTATTTTTCCATTTAAAAGTCTGTTTTTTATTAATTAGTTAATTTTTTTATAACTAGAGAAGAATTCCCAGCATTCTCCCTGCTGTTTCCTCACCCTGAATTTTCCTGGAGCCACCAGAAGACTGGAGGTATGCTTTCATGAGCATCGGTGCGTAAGAGCGTCTTTCCTCACCAGTAGAAGACCACCTGGATATGGATTTGTTTACAACTAGGCTTGTGTAGCATGCATTTCAAGTATGAAATTAAGTTGTTGCTGACCTTTGATGGTGATTAAACTGCCCATTGGAGAAACAAGGCAGTTGCAGCAGTATCTGTTGTTACAAATGTCTACTTTTCACTTCTGATTTTGAGGATTCATAGTTGAGAAAAATAATCGCTTGTCTCCTCATGACCTTGTTAAAATGTATTTATGCCTCACGTAGACCCAGTTCACTAATTTTTTTTTCCTTTTCAGTGTTGCGATATTTTGTCTAGTGACTTCCTCAGAGTGAATATTTTGCCTACTGTTCCACAGTGGAGTAAACATGCATAGTGGTCAGTGACACCTTGTGCTATAACAGATGTACACAAGGGTATGATAAAAACTGCTAAAGTTTATAAACTTCTGTATTATCTTACTATTTCTGCTATTACCTACCCATACATGTACTTCTAGTACATCTATTTAATCCATGTTATTTTTTATTTCTCTAATTAACATTTATTGAATGATGTGTGAATGTTATGGGTGTATGAATTCTAAATACAGGATTACTTATCTGTCTTGAAACATGAAGATAACAAGATATATCTGAAACATGCCATTGCTTAGAAGCAAGGACTTTTCAGAATCTCTGTGGACAGTGCTGAGACCCTAGTCTATTCTTGTTTCTTCTAGCCAAGCTGTCACTATTTAAATACAGGGGAGAAAACAGTGACTTTTGTTGGGAGCAGTGAGACCCCAGATCCTGAATTTCTTGTAATCCCCTGATTTGAGTGCCTACAGCTGCTCTGAGCATGAGACCTTCAGGAGTTCCTGATGGCAGGAGAGTGGTTTCTGGTGGGTTTGGCTGGGGCGTGGCTATCTCTATATAATCTGTCCCTAAACAATAAAGGGGGCATTCTTGGGGAACTCAAGGATGACCTGTGTCGCTGTCTCTCTGTCTGTGTGTGTCTGTGTATTTTAACCTCCAGCCCCCTTGCCCGAAGCTCACGAACTGGGTGCCAGTGCATAGAGCACAGACACAGGGGCGCGGTGTGCGTGGCAGATTTTAGTGCATGGAAGTGTATTTTTTTAAAAAGTGCATAATAACACTCAAAAATGTTAAATGTACAAATGTTTGTCTCAAGACAAAAGTGAGTATAATAAGACCCTTTAAGTTTTCCGTGACTTGAAAGTAGGGACCTGTTAATACATGTGTAGTTTTTCTTTTTCATCTTTTACTTCTTTGCTTAGGTATTGAATCCAGAGCCTCATATATCCTAGCCAGGCATTGAATTACATTCCAACCCCTTTTGTTTCTTTATTGAATATATATATGCTCATAAAGCATAATACATTTTTGGTTATCGCTATAAGTAGAAAAAGAAGAGACCTGAGCATGTCAGGAAGTCTTGAAGAAAGTATAAATTATACCCAGAAAGGGAAAGGCCAGATAGATAGCACCAGTGTTGAAACACAAGATTATGTAAGCAGTAAAGCCTAGCCATGCCCCAAGGTAAGGAGACTTTGCCACAGTCTGCATCCTCTACTGATAGGAAGTAAAAGCTTTAAACAAGCCTGCTTTGTCATTATCAGATGCTGATAGAAAGTGTGAATTTGCACTAATATTAGCAGGTCAGTATATAATAACAAGAGGCGCTTTTCTAACACTGACCAAGTAAAACTTCTAGATTCTGAGACAATATGCTTAGTTATAAAGAAAATCCTTGTGAAGTTCAAACTGTTATAAGCCAAACTAGAAAGTGGAATATTCAGGTTCAAATCCTCTTGAGAGTCCCATGCCCCAGCAAAAGAGTCGATAGTCAGGACCCCAGACTCTGAGGCACAGTTGTCAAAGACATTTGTTTTGTGTCTGATGCAGTTTCTATAAGCCTTGAAGTTATCAAAATAAGTATGTAATATTTATGATGATAAAACATAGAATTACGCCGGGCGGTGGTGGCGAACGCCTTTAATCCCAGCACTCGGGAGGCAGAGGCAGGCGGATCTCTGTGAGTTCGAGGCCAGCCTGGTCTACAAAGGGAGTTCCAGGACAGGCTCCAAAGCTACAGAGAAACCCTGTCTCGAAAAACCAAAAAAAAAAAAAAACAAAAACAAAACAAAAAACATAGAATTAGCTGGCTGGACTCAATGTAGGAGATCCTAAGTTTTTAGCAGCGTTCAAAGCATCATAATCCAGAGTTAAACATATTCTGTTTCCTGTATCAGACATGACCAGGGTATTGGCTTTGGCCTCATCAGTGTTGTAGAGGAATGATTTCCAACCCAGGGATCAAATGACCCTTTCACAGATGTCATATATCAGACATCTGGCATTCAGATATTTATATTACAATTCATAACAGTTGCGAAATTACAGTTATAAAGCAGCAACAAAATTTTATGGTTGGGGGTTGTCACAACATGAACCGTATTGAAAGGTCGCAGCGTTAGTAAGATTGAGAACCACTGTTGTTGAGCTTCATAGCCTATTTGATCATGCACAGTAAACACAAGTGTGGTGTTCCTGTCTGCATGGCAGAATCAGTGATCAGAAAAACTCGATAGCTTAATAATCAAGCTTATTTTCTCTAAGATGGCTGCTCTGAGGAAGTTCAGAGTTCCTCTCTTATACACCCTTTGAGGTACACGTGGTTAGGTCCCACCCCCTGACTACTCCAAGGACTGTAAGGGCCATTTCCAGTGCCCTAAGATGCAGGTGGTCAAGTTCCACCCTGCAAGGAAAAAAACCAGGGTCAGGCTACAGAATCCCACCAATTCCAGGCCTTTCTGGAAATCATATATAAAGGTTTCTGCCTACGCTGCCCCCATGAAGCCCTCCATCTGTGTTGACCACAAGAAATCCTGTATAAAGCCTGCCTCCTCAGTTCTTTGCTGTTTCTCTCTGAGCAGAGGCAGTTACCCTCCTGTGTCTTTCCTAATAAATCTCTTGTGTGAGGTTTGTTGTGTGGTGTGATTTTGTTGTATTCCTTGGCTCCTGACTTGCAGGATACCAGGATAACACTTAAACTCCCTAGCTATAGTATCTCATGTCACTAGAAGGTGGCTGATGGGTGGTGAGTGGACTTTGGTGGGGGGATGGTGTATGCCTTTCAATGCTACCTTCTTGACCTTCAAAGTCTTGGCTTTGGTACTGGTCTTTCCTCTTCCTTCTCCTCTTCTTCCTCTTCTTCCTCCTCCTCCCCACTCCTTTTTTGTGTCCTCTTGGTAAAAGAGTTCAAAATAAATATTACTTTAATATTAACAAATTCCAGCAACATAAATAAATAAGAGTGAATCATATTAACATTGTTGCATCAGAATTTGTTGGAGATAATTGATGTTTTGAAACCATTGTATAAGATGTTTACTGTTGGGCTCAGTGGGCAAAGTGTTTGTTTAAGTATGGGAACCTGAGTTTGATCCCCAAAAACCCTGTAAAAAAGGTCTGTTTGGAAGTGGAGAGCTTGGTAGTGGTAAACAGCACTAGATGCTCTTCCATAGTACCTAGGTTTAATTCCCATCACCCACATAATGGCTCATAACCATCTGTAACTCTCGTTACAGGGAGATCTGATACTTCTTCTGGCCTCGGCATGCTCCAGGCATGTACATGGTATACAGACATGCATGAAGAATATCCATACTTATGGAAAACAAACAAAGCTGGATTTGGCACATGCTTTAATTCCAGTGTTGAGGAAGTGTTCATAGTGAATCTTTGGGGCTCACTGGCTATTCGGCCCAGCCTACTTTATTAGCTCCTGGTCTCAAAAAACAGGTAGATGACTTCTAAGGATTGAGGGGCTCACTGACCATCCAGTCTAGTCTACTTTATGAGTTCCTGGTCGCAAAAACAAGGTATATAGCTCCTAAGAATTGACATTCTGGGTCGACTCTAGTTCTCAAAGGCATGTGCACTCACATGCAACCCTATGAACATGCATGCCCTCTAACAAGTTTAAAAGTTCAATGTTGTAAAATATTTAATTCTGTTAAATTTGTAGTTTTCATTTTCCAAAGAAATCTCAGTTTGTAATCAACGTTTAAATGATGAAGAGGCAATAATTTTCAGGTTTTCATGCATTAGATACATGTGTGTGTATGTATGTACATGTGTGTTCGTACATGCATGTTGAGGTTAGAGGTTGCTAGCAGGTGTCTTATCAGTAACTGTTTGCCTTATGTTGGAGACTGGGCCAATCACAGAATGTAGGAACTTGCAGGTTTGGCTAGATGGTCTAGCAAGCAAGCCCCAGGAACCTCCCTATCTGCAACCAGCTTTTATGTAGAAGCCAGGAATCAAACTTAGGTCCTCATGTTTCTGTAACAAGTACTTCACTGACTGAGATATAGTCCCAGCCCCTCAAACCATATTATTTCCTTAAAATACCTGTTTTTCAATAAGATAATAAAATTACTATATGATAATTAGTTTCTCAAGCTTATGAAATTATCATAAAATAATAATCTTTATGATGAGACTGTTAGACAATATGAAGAAATATGTCTTTTTATTTTTTCTCTATTATTTTTGTTGAGTTACCTTTATTATTATTATTCAAAGGAATTATACACGATTTTTCAGTATTTTTTCTAATTCTAACTCCCAAGGATCTGAACATTTAAACAGACAAAAGAAAAATGCACCCTCCCTTTAAAGATAATTAAATCTGTGTTTCATTCATTAGAATTAACATTTAAATTTTTTTCACATATGACTTTTATTGTTTCTATATCTTGATTTTTTTAATTAATTTATTTATTAAAGATTTCTGCCTCCTCCCCGCCACCGCCTCCCATTTCCCTCCCCCTTCCCCAATCAACTCCCCATCCCTCATCAGCCCGAGGAGCAATCAGGGTTCCCTGACCTGTGGGAAGTCCAAGGACCACCCACCTCCATCCAGGTCTAGTAAGGTGAGCATCCAAACAGCCTAGGCTCCCCCAAAGCCAGTACGTGCAGTAGGGTCAAAAACCCAGTGCCATTGTTCTTGAGTTCTCAGTAGTCCTCATTGTCCGCTATGTTCAGCGAGTCCGGTTTTATCCCATGCTTTTTCAGACCCGGGCCAGCTGGCCTTGGTGAGTTCCCGATAAAACATCCCCATTGTCTCAGTATGTGGGTGCACCCCTTGCGGTCCTGAGTTCCTTGCTCGTTAACATTTAAATTTTTATGGGTACAGATGCTTTGCCTGCATGTTTGTGCCACATACATGCAGTACCTGTAGACGCCAGCAGAGGGCGTCAGATGCCTGGCTACTGGAGTTACAGATGGTTGTGAACCACCTTGCAGGAGCTGCCTTGGGTTCTCTTAAAGAGCTGTCAGTGCTCTTAATCACTGAGTTGTCTCTCCAGCCCCAGTGTTGATCATTTTAATGACTTAAGACACTTATCATTGCTGCTTGAAAGGACAGGTTCTAAAAGAACAATAAAATTAAATAGGTTTTTTTTTCCTGATACTCCTGTGAAGAAGTTGAATATCATGATTTTGACCTTCTTTTAAAGCTTTTATTTGTTTGTTTGTTTTTATGTGTATGGGTATTTTGCCTGCATGTATGTCTGTACCTTGTGTGCCTGGTGGCCATGGAGGCCAGAAGAGGGTGTCAGCTGTACTAGGACTGTAGTTACAGATAGATGTGAACTGCCCTGTCAGTGCTAGAAACTGAACCTGCATCCTCTAGAATTTTTACTTCCTTGATTTTTGTACTTTCATTATCAAATGTCGGGGTGAAATGACAAACCGAAGACTAAAACACCTGAAACAACCCCTCCCACATTATCTGCGCACACTACCCCCCAAAACTTGACATTTTTGAATGGTGTAATGTTCAGCAGGTATGTTTATGTTTAGTTTCTTTTCTGTAAACCTGTGTTGCCTGCAAGGATGCATGCTAAGATTCAGCAGATAATGACTTCCTGTTTTTTGTTAGCTGTGGAGATTTATTTATAATCAAAGGAGACCAAGAGAAAAACTCAATACTATTAGAAGCATCAGTAAGCTGTAAATTCTATATCAGATTACCACGCACTGCGCCACTGTGTCTGTGCTCTGTGCGCTAGAACCCAGTTCGTGAGCTTCGGGCAAGGGGCTGGAGGTTGAGAATACAGACGCAGAGACAAACCGACACACAGACCTTCTTACACTGATAACAAAACCCCAAGAATGCTCCCTTTATTGTGTTCAGGGGCAGATTATATAGAGATAGCCACACCCCAGCCAAACCCACCAGAAACCACTCTCCTGCCATCAGGAACTCCTGAAGGTCTCGTGCTCAGAGCAGCTGTAGGCACTCACTCAGATCAGGGGATTACAAGAAATTCAGGATCTGGGGTCTCACTGCTCCCAACTATTAGAAGCATCAGTAAGTTGTAAATTCTATATCAGATTACTTGTGTCTGGATGATAAAATAAAGGTCGAAGACAGAAGGGATGTGGAGTAGGAGCTTCACCCTTTTCTTGATCTTTCCTCAACCTAACTTGGTGTGAATTGCTTTGATCCGGCTCCTCTTAGAGGAAGTAGGCTGAGAACAGATCATAGAGTTGAAATCAGAGGCTAGATGAGCTCCCTGATTCCTCTCAGCACTACATGAGGTGTTCACATCCAACTCCAGATAGCTTATTCATTTCAGCTCTATCCGGAGGAGATGATGTAGTTATAAATTCTTTGTGTGTAATTATAAGAACTTAGACTAATGCAACAGAAATAGGTTTGTTTCTAGCTAAATTAATTTCAAGTAGTTGCAATTCTGCTTGGACTGTCATTGTTTACCACTCTAATTGGTGGTTAAACTGAGAGAGTGGAGTCTAAAAGTGGGATGGACTGAGGTCTCGTGTAATAGCCAACTTTATTCAGAGCACCAGCAGTTTGTACCTGGGGGTTAAGAAAGGTCACAGGAGGAAAGTTCTCATGAGTTCAAGCTGTGCACACAAGGACAAGCCACACATGGAAAAGCATGCTTTTCCAAAGAGGCATATAAACAAACTATAGCCAGTTGTAATGAATAATCTGAAGTAAACTCACTGTTTTCTGCTACACCTCGGAGGGGCACGAAAGCATATTTGAAGAACAATTCTGTGTTTTTGAAGAAACAGACGTCACAAACTGTTGTCTTGTTTTCTCTCAGGCACTCATAATTCTTCTCAAACTAATGCGTTCTTGGACTCTATTCTGATACCATGTAATTTTTTCTTTTTCTCATTTTAGAATTTTATTTTATTTTGGAAATGAAAACTGAAAGTGTCTGATGTAACTCTGGTTAGCTGAACTCACTGAGTAGCCTGGGATGACTTTGAACTTCTGAGCCCTCTCCTGAGTGCTGGAATATGAGCTGACACTGCCATTCCAATTTAAGGGGTAATAGGGCTAGAACCAGGAGACAGTCTGCCAGCTAAGCTACAACCCCAGCCCAAGAAATGAAGAATTTTATTATTTTCTAAATAATAATAAGTTTATAGCAATAGATGGATATATTTATAAAATCTTTGCTGTGTCTGTTGAATCATTTAAGAAAGCTCAACTTTTATTATTATAAAATGCTGATTGAGAAGGATATACTTTGTGGTTTAATAAAGCTATAATAAATATATATATATATATATATTGTTCTAGGTCCTGAAGTTGAAAATGGTGAAAATTTACCACATCCAGGAAAGGTTGGTTTATATAGCCAAGATTGACGGTGTAGATTGTGGATTTAGATTTTAAACATCACGTTGATTAAAGTTTCATACTCATTTAGACTGCCTGCTAGGCAGTAATCTGACTAAATCACATCATTAACTAGAAACCTATTTATTTCATATTTTTTGAAATTATAATTACATTATTTCTCCTTCGTTTTCCTCCCTTTAACCTCTCCCATGCACTCCACTTACTTTCTTTCAAATTCATGGCATCTTTGTTAAAAAAAAAATTGTTTTACATTATGTGTGCAGGTCTGTAGTCCCAACACTCCAAAGTTCAAAGTTCTAAGTCATATGTGTATATTCCTGTGTATATATTCCTAAATGTATAAATATAGCTTGCTCAGTTCGTATAATGTAACCTATAGGTATATGACTTCAGAGATAACCACCCTGGGAAAGGCCATTTCTTCCACTGTCAGCCTTCCCCAGTTGTCTGTAGTGCCTTGTTTAGGGTTGAGGCCCCACAAACTGCCCCCCTTCCATGTTAACATACTCAGTAATGTCATCATTGTTCAGGTCTTCTTGATAAGAATTCATGCGTGTGGACTCTGACATTTCTAGGAGACACAGTCTCACAGAAAACTTCTGTTGCTCTGGCTTTTATAATCTTTCTGTCCGCTCTTCTGCAGTGATCCATGAGCCTTAAGTGCAGGAGTTGTCTTGTAGACCTATTGGTTGGAGCTGGGTACACGCGATCTCTTGTTGACTGCTATTTGATTAATTTTGTTTTTTAACTTTTTCCTCTGTTGCAAAAGAAATTTCTTTGATGAGGGGTGAGAATTAGATGTATAAGTTAAATATTTAGAATATAGTTATGAATTATTCTGGTTTAGTGAAGTGGAAGTTGTAGGTTCTCATATAAGATCCTCAGTAGCTATAGGTAGTTGGCTAGGTTTCCAGTACCAGGCATGGTTTCCCTCTTGTCTTATGTCCCACCAGAGAACTGTTGGTTACTACCAAGGCATGAGTGCCACTACTGCACCCTTAGGATTATTGTGCCGTACTGGTCATTGTTGTGGTTCATAGGGATCATCGCTGGGTAGGACTGCTAGTTCCTTCCATGCTTTATAATTTTACATGATGCCATTTAGTACCATGAAAGAAAGTCCCCAGGGAGGAAAAATATTGTCTAAAAATCTATTCATATATTTATTCTTCCTTGTCTTTAATAATTTTGTAATTTTCTGATCTGTGTTTCTTACCCACTACGACAAGTCTCTTATTCTTTTTGTGTAGAAGTGTACATATGCCTATGATGGGACATTGTTTTTAATGTCAACCTCATTTCTTTAATATTTCAAGCTTGCTTTCTCACTGTCCTGTTGCTAATGTTTACCAAGGTGTAACATGTGGGCCTTTTTGTTGGGGTTTCTGTCTTGCCCAGTTCCCACAGCTGATTAGCCCCAAAGAATCACACAGAAGTCTACATTAGATATAAACTGATTGGCCCATTAGCTCAGAACTCTTATTAGCTCTTATCACTTATTCTTGTCTATGTTAGCCACAGGGCTCAGTACCTTTTTCAGCGGGGCAGGTCACATCCTGCTTCTTTGGTGGTCTGGGCAGGACTGGGGAGGAATGGGCTTCCTCCTTCCCAGTGTTCTCCTCTTCTCATTTCCCCGCCTCTACTTCCTATCTGGTTGTCCTGCCTATACTTCCTGCCTGGCCAATCAACGTTTATTTAAAACATGATTGACAGAATACAGACAATTCTCCCGCACCACCAAGGGCCCTGCTTTGTCTTTGTTTTCCATCTGGTGCTGTGAACTGGCTCTGCCCACAGTGGACTCATACTCTCCTTCAGGATATCAAATAGTAATAGACCTTCCCAGACCCACCCTATCTTACCTGACCATATCATTTCAGCTATATCTTCTATATATGCAGTTACCAAGTTTTTCTGCTGAAGTTAGGAGCCAGAAGGCAGGGAAGTTGGCATAAAATTTAGACTGGATATGACTTCAAGGGTAACTCTTGTTTACATCTGTAGTGCACGGAGAGGTGGATGTTGCAAAGAGTTGCTGTGAGGACCACAGCAGCAATGACTTCTGGCCTGGCTGGCACCTAGTCATGTTGGAATAAATAACTTGTCCTTTCCCTGCTTCACAAATCATTCACTTATGTCTCACCTCCTTCCTTGTTTTTGGGTCTGTGTCTGGTGACTGGTAATAGTGGCCAAATTGCTTCTTCTCTGATACTTATTTTTCCCTGGATATGTCAATATTTCCTAATAGAGCATCTGAAAAATATTTAATGAAATGGTTGGAGAGCATTGTGTCAGATATTTATATATTTAAAAAATTTGTAGGAAAGTAACTTGTTTGATTTTGTCTCACCAAATAATTTCAGCAAAGTCAGGAAGCTCTCTGTTGCCTGTTCTTCCCTGAGGGTTAGTGACTCTTGCATATGAGGTTTTGTGGGACTGTTGCTAGGTACACCTTCATATCTTGAATTTTATAAACATAAAAGGATTTTTAATAGCAGGGAACCCTTTAGATGTGACTCAGTGAGTAAGATACAGATCTTAGATTTCTTCTAATTTATCTTAGAAGAAAATTATAGTTAGTATTACAGATAAATAAAGGCATTTTCTTAGGCTCTATATGCTACAGATAGGGGATAAATAGTGGCAGATAGAATATGTTATTTTTTTTACTTCTTTTATTCAATTTAGAACAAATTATTAGTAGGCTTAGGAGACGATAATCTATCCTTCCAGAGAGGTAGTGGAGTTGTGGGGAATAGTCAAAATGATAGAAAACTATAAATTTCAATACCTGTAATATATGTTGTTTTCCTAAGTTGCACAGCAGTTGATCTGGATAGCAACTTTGAGAGGGATTCTAATATTTTGGCACTGAAAACGAGCACCTTTGAAAATAACGTACTGGGAAAGTAGGGTTTGTATTTTTCTGTTTAACAAAAATCCAGAGTTGGGACTCATAAAATTTCGTAGAATTGTTCCTTTATTTGTTGGCAGAGACCACTAGTTCGTTCCCAGCACACACATACTATAATAATCAAAATAATCACACAGAAACTATAATATTCGAAAAACTGTTTGGTCAGTAGCTTAAGTATATTTCTAGCTAAAACTAACCCATTTCCATTAATATGTGCATCACCATGAGGTTGTGGCCTACTGGCTTCTCCTTGACTCTGCCTACTCTCTCTCTATATTTCTTCCAGCCTGGTTATATTCTGTTAAGCCATTGGCTGAAAGCAGCTTCTTTATTAGCCGATGGCAATAAAACATATTCACAGCATACATCACCTCCCCTTTTCTGTCTTAATAAAAAGGAAGGGTTTAACTTTAACACAGCAAGATTACATATAACAAAACAGATATCAAGCAAGAATTATAGTTAAAATATTTATATCTACTTTATCTTTTGTCATAACTAAGGAAAACTTTAACTGTTCTACTCCATCAAAGACTCTAGAAGTATATAATATTAACTAAGTAAACAGGAAGTGCATTGTAAACAACTTCTAAAACTCTAGAATTGACAGAGACATCTTGCTTCCTGGACAATGTTCTTCTGTAACATTGGGGCACCCATCTTCAGCCTACAGGCCCATAGCGTCCAGCAGACTATTCCATGAAGCAAGAAATTTCAAAGACATTTCCACCTATATTGTCAGTTTGTCAGTCACATTTTTTGTGTGTCCTGCAGGATGTCTAGCAAACTCTTTCATGAAGCAGGAACCCTGAAGGACATCTCACCTTTAGGCAAGTCCATCAGTTATTTCTCTGTGGGTCCTGCATGTCCAGTTCATACAGCATAACATCAAGCAGTTCAGGCAAGAGTAGTTTCTTACCCAAATGGCTAGCAAACTCGATAAGGAGCCTCTTTAATGCCCATCATCCTCTTGAAGTAGATTGTTGCTGCCAGAAGCAGATGTGTCTTACTGTCATGAAAAGGCTTAAAACATTTTAAATGCCATACTCTGTAGTCTTTGAAAGATCTGAAGACTATCTATCCATCTGAAATACATCTCTGTGCATCTAGAAAACCTAACTAAGATGACCACAAGCTTGACTATTATAGATGACTCTCTATTAACCTATATTTCTTAATTATACATTACATTTTAAAATGAGCTGCACAAACTCAATACCTTAATCAAGAGCAGAAATATACATATAATAAAATTGGTATCTATAGACCAAGATCCATACCAGTGCAAAGTATCCATCTCTATAGCATATCAACCTTTAAATAGAAACAAACGATTTAAATTGTCATTTAGGGAATTTAGGTGTCGTTCTCGTCAAACTGCTTCCTGCTTTTTGTTAGTTGGAGTAATTTTTGGGGGTGTTCACGATGACCTTTCAGGGGGTCGTGGTCCATCAAACCACATTAGTCTGGAATGAATCCATAGGTTCTCATCTTTTGTGGAAACAAAAGAAGAACCTCTTTTCCAAAGAAACAAATCCTTATACCCAAATTTTGAAGTTGAGATATCTTAAAAATATGTATATTGATTTATCTTAGCAACCCATACAATGAAATGTCTCTCTGTACTTAGCTCATTCACAATCAATAAATTTAAAGAAAACAGAATAATATACATAATCCAGACTCTCTGTGTATATTCTGTCTTTATGTGGCTTATTTTTCTTTATTTCTATTACTTTTTCTACAAGTTTACTCTGTCTCTTTAAAGACTTTGTTTTATTTTTTAAAACAATTTACTTCTTTTTATAACTTTCATTTATAGTGAGAAGTTTTATTTATGGATGAGGGTAGACAGTTGGTAAAAATAAATTACTGACAAAATGAGTTATAAAACTAATTTTTAATTTTAAATGTTGCTTGTGTTTTCTGTAATACACAGGAACTAAGTGAAAACACAGATTCCCCTGAAATTAGTCTTCTCTCTGGTACTTCACTTATGGCATCTGATTTGGTTACACCAAAGGAGAAATCATTTGCAAAGCCAGTGAAGACCTTAGCTGTACCAAATACATTTTTTGAGCCTGAACAGGAAGTAACACTGACCATGACATCTAAAGAAACCAAAGATGAAGAAAGCTCTCTTGAAACATTTGTGTCTGCTTTAGAAAGATTACTAGAATCACCAGAAGGCACCCAAGAAGAAACACTGCTTGAAATAGCGAATGATTTCAATCCTCAAGAATTGAAGAACCCATTGAGCAACTCCTTGAGTTCTGTGTCAGTCCCTTTGAATGCCTTGTCAGCATGTTGTAGAGATGTACTAGAAAACACGAAGAATGATGGTGCGTTGCCTGCTGAATTGCTGGCAACCATCAACATGCTACCAGGTGACAATGTAGAACCTGGACCTGTAGGACCCATCTGTCAAGGACAAGAGAAAAGCAGCAGTGTTAGTGGTGGAAACGGATGTTTAGAAGTGCAACCTACCATGTCTCAGATAGATGAAGACTGCACACAAATAGTACAGGTGAATTCAGTCTTTTCTACCCTACCATATAAACAGTTCAGGTTATCCTAGTTGTGGGACAACATCTGTTAGTAGGACAAGTGGATGTGCACAGTATAAGTATATAGGTATAATTTTTGGAGTGTTTGGGAACAGTTGTCATTGTATTAAGTTTAAATCATCTCACCAAATACCAACATCTGGAAGATATTGTGTAACTTTCACACATAGATTGCTTTTTTTAGAAGTGCTGGGTAGAGTTTACAGGGGATTAAGTTAAAATTGTTTCTTCCCCAACATACATAAAAGGCATATTGTTAGTTTTTTATTATATAGGAAAGTATTTATTACCAGAAATTTCCCTGTTGTTTAGAATACTCTGTTAACTGAATTCAGAGTAGATACAGAACACTGTAGTTGGACAGAGTAATTTGGGCTTCTAATGTGGGATGGAGGAAGAAGTAAGCCTTTGCTAAGCCCTGTTTGCCTTTAGTATCTGAGTGGATTGCCAGACATAGCTCGTAGCTTTAGAATTCCTACAGCATTATGCCCAGAGGCCCTACAGATGTGCAACAGGAGCCAAGTTCCCTTTTCGTGTTTGTATTCTTATTATTATAAAGTTACAGGCAACTGTGTTGATGTATACTTGAAATGCCAGCACTGGAGAGGCTGAGGCAGCAGAATCAGTTCAGGAGTTCAAGGTTAGCATGTGACCATAGCAACACCCTGTTTCAGATGAACCAAAACCGAAAGAACACATCAAACATGGAAGATTATATAACAGTATGATAACAAAGTTCCCCCAAAATATAATTTCTAAATATTGTTAACAGTTTGGTGTAGCTTTAATTACTTCTAGTCCATGTAAATTTATTTTATTCAAATGAAACTGTATAATGCAAGTTGCTTTGCAACTTATTTTTTAAATCTAATGCATGTTGCTTTTTTTTAGTGTCAGGAAATGTAGCACTTTTCAATCTTTTAGGTTACTAAATGACATAAATGCATTATAAAAATAATTTATTGCTATAGTTTAATCAATTCATAATAATGGAAGCTTAGTTACCCTTTTTATTTAATCTTGGCAATTAACAAAATATTCCATATATATCCCCAGGAAGATTTAGAGAAAACTTGAGTGTATGTTGCAGCATACAAACCTAGAGTAATACTGATGTAATCCTGTTTGCAAATTTCAGATAGACATTATAGGTTTAGGAAAGCAAACAAACAAAAAAAAAGGCCAGATACCTTTGATCCCAGAACTCTGGAGGCAGTGGCAGGTGGATCTCTGTGAGTTCAGCCTGGTCTATAGAGGAAGTTCCAGAACAACCAAGGTTACACAGGGAGATCCTGTCTCCAAAAACTGACCCCCCCCCACCAAAAAGAGAAAAACTCAGAAAATGACACATTAATCATGGAGTGTTAAAGGTAATTAAACATTTACATGTTCTAGGATAAAGAGAAGGTGTTGTTTTTTTAAAAAATACTGCAAGATCCCCGCAGCAGTAGGCAGCAGAAATGTTGTAGGTCCCAAATGGTGGTAGTGGGCCATGTGGTGGCAGGCAGCGGGCTCTGGGAGCAACCAGTCCCAGGCAGAGATGGCTGCCTGTCCCCGAGCAGTGGCTGGTCCCAGGCAGGGAGACACATGGCAGGCTGGCAGGAGACAGAGACATGGATAGACATGACATGCAGGGTGAGGTTGAATATTTATTCAGGGGGTTATGGAGGAGGAAGGGTGAAGAGGTGGGGCAGAGAGAGAGGGAGAGAGAGAGAGGTGGAAAAAGAGACAGAGAAGGGGGATGCGAAGAAGTGGGGAGAGAGGTAGAAGCAAAGCTGCCTCTCGGAGAGGAAGATGGAAAAGAGAGCGAGCTCAGGCCAGAGCTGAAGATCAGCCTGCCTCAGCTGATGGGGGAGGGAGTGGGTGTGGCTTATCTCTTAAAGAGACAGAAAACCATAACAGAAGGGCTGTGAGTAAATGTAGAATGTTCTTATGTGGGTGTCTTATTCCAAACAACTTACTTCCTGCCAAATTAATGCACCAAAAGTGATCTTATATTTTCCTGTGAATTTTAAAGTTAAATATTGATGAAAATAATTTTAAAGTCTTTTCACTACCTCCTCTCCCCCAGGTCTCTCTATGAAGTCCAGGCGGCCTCAAACTCAGTTCTCCTGCCTTAGTTTTCTAAGTAGTGGATTATAGACATGCATTACCAAGACTAGCTGCTTATGTGTTTTCATAAGCTTAAAATCTACGTTGTTCTTTCAAAATACAATTGTAGCATTATGTTCATATATGCTTGTGAGAATTGGCACACTTTAATCTCAAAGACAATTTTATCAGAGAAGATAAATTTAATTTTTTGGTTTAATGTTATAATTATTTATGGATATGTGTATGTCTTTATAGACTATAGAAGACCCAAAACCATTTAGATTGCAAACAAGGACTCATGAAAATACCACGTCTTATGAGCAACTAAATGATAAGGGAAATTCAGATACCGTGAACAATACCTCTGTCCAGGAAACACCCCAAGTACTCAGAAGATCATCTAGACTGGAAAAACTGAAAGCAAGCAGAGATGTGGCACATACAGATGTGTTGAAAATGCCAGAAAGTATTTCATCAAAACCACTTAGTTGTGAGGATCAAGTACATAACATACTTGCAACTGAGAATTTCAGGTGTGTTGTTACATTGTATCTTGCTCACCAGATATTCTGCAAATCTAATCGATAATTGGGTGCTGGAGGATGTTAGAGGCAGTGTCAACTTACCCCTAAGTAAAAAGCATTTTTCTATTGCTGTTTTTAATTTTGCAATTTTTAATCAGTCCCCCACTACATAGCAGGTTCCTTCACCCCTCACACTCCTGCGGAGAGCCTCCCTCCTTCCCATATGCGGTGAATAGAGTGGATAGTGACATGTCAGCTTGGGAGTGGAGTGCAGGAGCCTGAGAATCCTCATATTTGTAGGGAACTACACTGAAAGTAACTAAAAGACTGGCATGGGCTTGGCTCTCACGGGGGTATCTATAGCTCACTTAAGGCCCCATCCCATGTTTAAGTTGCTTTGTCAGTTGAGAATAACTCAGTAACTATGTTTGGTTTTCAATAGTTGTCAAAGTTTTATGTGATTCTCCATGACTGCTTATAAAAATTGCAATTATTTAATAAGTCAATTTTTTAAAGAATGCAGGGTTCTGTCTTAAAGACTGACAGTAAGAGGAAGAATATGCATTTATCCAGATTCAAGAGTGAACAGAGAAAGAAAAATGAACAACTTAAAATAAAAAATGGTGAGACATTTTTTGAATATTTTTTTCATTTCTTTACATAGCTTATAGAAACAAATTGAAGTAGAACAATTTATAATATTACCTCAGTTTTATTGATGAGTTAACCATTTTAGTGATGGTAAGTAAGACTTTACCTACTAGCACACATAACTTCTTAGTAGCATAAATGGGATTTGAAATTAAATGGCTGCCAGGGTAGTATTGATTTCTATACTTTCCACTATAGAGAACAGCTAGATGATAATTTCATATTTGATTATATGGCTAACACAGCAAAAGACTGACATTGCATGAGAGGGCAAATTGCTGTTTCTATATAAACTGTAAGATTGAATTAAAAAGTTGTGTTACAATCAGGGTGGTGGTGGCGCACACCTTTAATCCCAGCACTTGGGAGGCAGAGGTAAGCAGATATCTGTGAGTTCAAGGCCATCCTGATCTACAAGATCTAGTTCCAGGACAAGCTCCAAAGCTGCAGAAAAATTTTGTCTTGAAAAAAAAAAGCTCTATTACAATAAAATAATATAGAAACTCAGTTAAAAGTCATAGTGAACTTGACAGAATTGAAATATGGGCAATAGATTGCATCTGCTTGAATTTTCTGAATCTGAAAATATTTTTTTTTTTTTGATTTTCGAGACAGGATTTCTCTGTAGCTTTTTTTTGTTTCCTGTCCTGGAACTAGCTCTTCTAGACCAGGCTGGCCTCGAACTCACAGATATCTGCCTGCCTCTGCCGTGGTGAAAATAATACTTTTAATTGTATAAGAGAATGTTTATATTTTTAGAAAATGCATATTAAGTATTAGTTATAAAATGTACGGTATCTAAAAGTTACAAACTATCATCCCATCTGTATATGCACAACAGATAAATAGGTAGGTAGATATACAGATATAGATAGATAGATAATAGATAGGATAGATGAAAATGATTTAAAATTGTGAGAAAATGTTACCATTGACTCCTTTGCTTATTTTTCTTTTCTACTCAGATCAAACTCAGGGCTTCACACATGCTAGGCAAGCACTCCACCACTAGGCTATATCCTTAGACCCTTTATTCTTTTTACATACTTTTTCTGAGAGCCTGAAATTATTTCAAAATAAAGTATAAAAAAATTGAATAAACTGAAAAATCTAGTGTCTCATATATTAACTAGATAAGCAATATAGAATACAATTTTATATAATTATAATTATATAGAATTATAATAATTATAATACTATAAAAATAAGGAAAATACATCTGTGACAATAAAACTTGTCACACCTGTACAAAGAGGGTTTAAAACAAAAAGGTGACTTGAACAAATGGAAACAAGAGACTAGTTCTCAGTTAGATTTCAAACTTAAGAAATCTCTCTCAGTTACTTAATAAGTGCATGGGATCTCAATCAAAAGTAGGTTTGGAACCTGGGGAGGTAATTCAAACAGTAAGTGCTTGCCAAGCGAATACAATGGCCTGAGTTTAATTTCCAGCACTGTGGTGGTATGAGTGGTCCTCACAGCCTCATATATTGAATGTTGATTCACCAGGGAGTGGAACTGTTGGAAGGATTAGAAGGATTAGGAAAAGTGACCTTGTTTGAATAGGTACAGCTGTGTTGGAGGAAGTGTGTTGATGGGGTGGGCTTTGAGGTTTCAGATGCCCATGGCAGGCACAGTCCTCCACCTCCACTTGAGGGTCAAGATGTAGCTCTCACCTGCTGCTCCAGTGCCTTGGATGTATGTTGCCATGCTTCATGATCATAATGAACTAGGCCTCTGAAATTGGAGTCCCCAATTAAATGCTTGGTTTTATAAGTGTTGTCTTATTCATAGTATCTCTTCACAGCAATACAGTAGTGACTAAGACAAACACATTAATAAAGAGAGAAACAGCGGCACATTCTTGTAATCCTAGCACTTGAGGAGGCAGGGAAGGAAGATTTGTATGTATTGGTGGCCAGCTAGATTTGTCAAATCCATGAGAAATCAGTGAGAAACCCTGTCCCAAGACTGAGTGATTGAGCAAGGACCCTTGACATTGACCTCTGTCTGGCCTCCATACACACCTATATCTGCTCATATATCACACTTGCATACACACCCACATAAAACCATATGTGTGTGTGTGTGTGCACACACACACATGTATGTATGCATTGCATGCATATGAGTATGTTGGTATGCATGCCTGTGCATGCAGAAGCCAGAGCAGGACACTGGGTGCCTTGCTTCACCATTGTCCATATTTCCTGAGACAGAACCCTCACTGGTCTGGAAGTTTGCTATTTCACTAGACTGGATGGCTACCAGATTACCTTCTCTTGCCTCCTACTGCTAGGGTTTCTGCCTTGTGCAGCTCTGCCTGTCTTTTTACATGGGTGCTAAGGATTTGATCTTAGGTTTTCATGACTGCAGAACAAGTACTCTTCCCCGTTGAATAATCTCCCTAGTCCTCCATATACAGAGTTCTGTCTGCTTGTTTATTTTCTATTATTTTAACAGGGCTGGAGGGTAGCTATGAGATCACTACAAAATGACACTAAGTTTCAGGTAGAAAAGTAAGTATAAAAAAACTAGCAAAAATATTCAGAAAAATTAAAGCAGAGCTAGTGTAAGAATTTGTTCTGTGTAAATCATAATATTTTAGAAAACCACTGAAATTAAAGTAATTTGTCATGGCATAGGACCAACAGATAAATCAGTGAAATAGAAAAGAGGTTTTAGATTTGGAAAGCAGATACAATGGAAATATGAGGATAATGAGTGATAACAACCATTCATATCTCAAAGTGTTGGCAAGAACTAAGCATTACATATAATATCCCCCCATTCAAATTGAATTTCTGGCTGGTCAGAGGTTTAAATGAAAACATTCTGGAAGAGAACAGATGTAAATCTTTTTAACATCTTAATATTGAAAAGTCCAAAAGCCTTTTAAATAATTATTCAAACAAAAACTAAGGTATAAGGAAAAAGAATGATAATACTTACTATATACATTTAAACATTTGTCGAAATACATTCTAAAGAAGACACAACGTGAAACAGAACTGCTAGTGATGTGACACAATGCTTTAAGTGCACTCATAGGGAAGAAACTCCTGTGAAACAGTAAGAACAAAGAAGAAGGGTGTCTGTGGCCTTGATGATGGTACTCTTCACACGTCTATTCTGTCTCTAAACTCACTGAGTTGTATACGGTTTAAATAGTGCAATTTTTAATGTCAAAATATTAATACCTAAATCTTTACTGTTGATACTGGCTTTAAATTCGAAAATTACTCACTACAACTTAGATTAACAATCTCAAAAGAAAAACTTATACAGATCGTTTTAACAGATGTAAAGAGGGCATTGGATAACATCAAACCCTCACTTCTAGTCGGAATTTCAGGAAACAAGGATAGAAGAGTTTCCTCAACCTGACACAGGCGTGTACGAAAACCCTATGACTAGTCTAATCATTGATAAGATAATAAATGCTTTCCCTCTGTCTTGCTTAGGGTTTCTGTTGCTGGGACAAAGCTCCATGATCAAAAGCAACTTTGGGAGGGGGTTTCTGCTTTGTTTTGTTTTCTTATGAACAAATTTCAAGTCACAATCTTCACCACCAAGGGAAGTCAGGGCAGAAACTCAAGGCAGGGACCTGGAATCAGGAACTGAAGCATATAAGCCTTGGAGAAACTCTGTTTACTGTTTTGTTCCCCATGGCTTGTTCAGCCTGCTGTCTTAGGCAATTCAGGACCACCTACCCAGGGGCAGGACCACCCACAGTGAGCTGGAATCTCCTGTATCACTCATTAGTCCAGAAAATGCTCCCACAGATTTGCTCACAGGGTAATCTGGTGGTGGCATTTTCTCAACTGAGATTCCCTCTTCTCAAATGACTCCAGCTTGTGTCAAGTCAATAAAAAAGTAAATAGCCAGAATATCACCTAATACCACTAATAAAAGTATCTATTCTCACTATTTCTTTAGAACATTGTGAAGTTTTAGCTAGTTATTATGTAGAAAAACAAAAAGCAGTAATATTAAGAGTGGATTTAGTCACAAACACAATTATGTATGTCAACAATTTGATGGAATCTATGATAAAAGCTACCTTACCTCTGAAACTGTAAGCCAAAATAAGCTGTTCTTTCTTAAGTTGCTTTTGGTTATGGTGTTTTATCATAGCAACAGGAAAGCAACTAATATATCTACTGTCATTTAATTCAGGGAAGTTTGTAGGGTACAAAATATGCAAATATCCTTATATACTATAGCAATAAATAAAGTGAAATTTGAAAACCACCATTATAATAGCAAAATGTGTATTTAGAAATGAATTTTATTAAAAAACGTCAAATCACTAAAACTTACCAAAACAAAAAAAGACAAAGAAATCAAAGAAAATTTGATGAACAGAAGAGAACTATTATTAAAGTGCTGCTTTTCAAATTTGTGGTTTGTATAAAATCCTAGTCAAAACCCATGCAGAGACTCTTTTGTCTTTTCTTTCCCCCACCCCCATGTCTGGCACATGCACACATGCACAGGTTTAGGCAGAGGAAAAAGGTGCACATGTCAAGGCCAGGGGACAGCCTCTCACTGGCCTGGAACTTGCCGAAGAAAGCTAAGTTGGCTAGCTAGGAAGCCGTTAGGAGCCCTGGTCTCTGTCTTGGATCTAACTCAGGTTCTTATGCTTGCTAGGCAAGCACTGCTGACTGAGTCATCACTCCAGCCTTCTCTCCACTCCATTCCCCTTCCTCCCTCATCTCTCTCTTTTCCTTTCTTTTTATAAGATTACTATTAGTCAATTTATTTTTAAATGCAAAGGACCTACAACAGCAAAGTGACTGGAAATAAAATTTGAGAGCTATTCTGATCAAGCTTTAGGAATTTTGTAGCTATCATAATAAAAAATAGCATGACCCTGGTATCAGTAGGAAAATAGGTCAAGGAAATTAAATACAGTCTGGAAATAAACATGCAAAACTGCTTTTCTGAAGTGAAAAGACAATGTGGAAAATGAGTCAATATTCATATGCAACAAAATATTTCTACTTGTGTGTTTTAAAAGTAGTGTTGAATTTTACTTTGGCTGACAAGTTACGTGAAGATTAACTTTTCAGTATAAAGATTTTGAATTTTTTTTTTTTTCGAGACAGGGTTTCTCTGTGTCTTTGGAGCCTGTCCTGGAACTAGCTCTGTAGACCAGGCTGGTCTCAAATTCACGGAGATCCGCCTGCCTCTGCCTCCCGAGTGCTGGGATTAAAGGCGTGCGCCACCATCGCCCGGCTCAGTATAAAGATTTTGAAAGGCATGTGTAGTGTTGGGCCCTGAAGAAGGGAGGTCATGAGAAATGACCATTCTGGGGTCCCTTAAATGCCCTGGATGTTCAGCAAGGTCTGTATACTCAGACTCCTAGGAATGCAAATGTCTCCTAGCCCTGTGTGAGAGCTGGCGATTCTCTACTTACTCATTAGTTGTTCTTGCTTAGCCTTATGGAAGAGGCCCCTCTTTGTGTTTATGTGGGCTATATGCATGTCTCTGTGCAGGTATGCCTGTCTGTGTGTATGCACGTGGAGACCAGATGCTGATGTATGTATCTATTCCTATTGTTCCCCGCGTTATTTTTTCACTTACTTTGAGGTTTTTGTTTCTGATAACCAACTAGCTAGTCTGTACCTCCCCACCTCTGGGGTCAGGCACATCCTGCTGTGCCTGGCCTTTATATGGGTGCTGGGGATCCAAACTCATGTTCTCACACTTGCTTAGCAAGCACTGTACTCATTGAGCCATCTCCCCAGCCTAAGATTACTCTTATATGCGAGCAATTTACTTAACCAATGACTCAAGGACACCCATGTAGATTTTTGATACCTTTTCTTTATTTCCTCTTCTGTGGTATCCCACTTGTCACATCAAGTTCTAGATACAACTGTCTCACCAAACTCTGATTCTGTTTCTAAGATTAATGGGATTACCTTACTTTGTAACACCCTTCCGCTGTACCAATATTCTCTGAAAGTTCATCTGAACAAAAGTCATAGGGACCTTGGGGCTCACTGCATTCATTTCTCTACATGCAGGGTCATAGATCTAAATTGCCAATTTTCTTATGGTGTAGGAGGCCCTTCTGTTTATGTGTTGCTTTCATTGGTTAATCAATAAAGAAACAGCTTTGGCCTGATAGGGCAGAACTTAGGTAGGCAGAGAAGACAGAACTGAATGCTGGGAGGAAGAAAGCACAGTCAGAGAGCCGCATGGAGCTGCTGGGTCAGACATGCTGAATCTTTCCTGGTAAGCCATGACCTCTTGGTGATAAACAGATTATTAGAAATGGGTTAAATCAAGATGTGAGAGTTAGCCAATAAGAGGCTAGAGATAATGGGCCAGGCAATGATTTAATTAATATAATTTCTATGTGGTTCTTTCAGGTGTAAGCTAGCCAGGCGGCCGGAACAAACAAAGGGCACTCTCTCTATCAACATTTGGCGCCCAATGTGGCCAACTAACTCCATGTAAAACTTATGTAAGAGGGCTTAAAAAGGAATTCTAGGAAGAACAGCCAGTGCTCTTAACCGCCGAGCCATCTCTCCAGCCCCAAGATTGAGCGTGTAGCACATAAACCCTTTTTATCTGAATTACAGCCAAATCTGCTATGCAGAGCACTGTGGAGCTGGAAACATTTCTGTGTATGGCGGCAGGAATCCGCCATGCTCTCCTGCCTGCCTGGGCCTAGTAGACTGATCCGCCATCTTCCCAGGCAGGAAAAGCCAAGCCATGGGCATGTTCTCGACCCCAAGTGGGAACAGAAACACCCCGGGTCCACAAATGCCATTGAAATGCTTAATAATTGGCATTTGTACTGGCAGCACATCCCAGGAAGCGACATTTTAAAACCACGCGGCATTTTTCCTGCTACGGCACTGAGTCAGGAAAATTTCTGGGTGCCATTCTGTAACAGAAGGAGTGGGCTACTTGTCATCCCAGCCACCCAGTTTTTTTACACCCAAAATAACCACACAAACTGTATTCATTAAAACACTGCTTGGTCCATTAGCTTAGGCTTCTTATTAACTCTTATATTTTATATTAGCCCATTATTCTAGTATGTGTTAGCCACCTGGTTCAGTACCTTTTTTAGTAGGGCAGGTCACATTCTGCTTTTTCAGTGTCTGGATAGGACTGGGGAGGAGAGCTTCCTTCTTCCCAGAATACTCCTGTTCTCCTTGCCCCACCTCTACTTCCTGTCTGGTTGTCTCGCCTATACTTCCTGCCTGACTACTGGCCAATCAGCATTTATTTAAAACATAATTGACAGAATACAGAATTGTCCTACACCAGATTATTTTGGATTCTAGATTTAGAGGGTGCAGTCCATGGATGATTGGACCTGTAATAATGGCAGAAGCACCTGGGGGACAAATCTGCTTATGTTATGAGCAGAAAGCATAAGAGAAGGTCTCCTTTGCCAATATACCTCCAGTAACCTGACTTCCTCTTAGTAGACCCAACCTCTTAAAAGCTCTACTATCTCCTAGTAACTAAAAAACTAAGCTTTTACCTCATGGACCTGCAGAGACATGCAGATAGATAATATAGCAGACAGTAAATAATTCTAGATTTAAGTAATCCTTTGCTTAGAATTTTTAAGAAAATCTGGCATCTTTTATGAGCACTTTTGTAAGGTTTTAATCAATGTGTATCATGAGTTTTAGTTTACTACAAATATTTTAAAACTAACACATCTTTACATTTTTTATATTTAGATAAAATTACAGTAAGGCTAATGGATAAAATACTCTTTAATAATGTAATACACCCACTTTTAATATTGACTAGATTAATCATAGTCTGTCCCCCGCCCTCTGCCCCATTTTGACAAAGGGTTTCTCTGTGTAGCCCTGGCTGTCCTGGAACTCACTTTATAGACCAGGTTGTCCTTGAATTTAGATCCACCTGCCCCTGCCTCCTGGGTGCTGGGATTAAAGGTGTGCACCTTTGTTCTTTCTCTCATTTTAGGAAAAGGGAAGATGAATAAAATGTGTCCTTGTAGTATAAACCGGAGAAACGTTTTTGGAGAGAATTTACTGTATAAAGCTGCTCTCCATAATGATGTTGATCTGGTTCGCTGTTGCATAAAAAATGGTGGAAATGTCAATCAGCTGAGTTATGCTGGTAAGTCAACCCACAGTTGTCTAGGGAGCCATCTGCAGTCTCAGCTGAACTGCCCACATGAGAGTATGACAAAGTGAGCCGAAGGCAGTATGCTCTCCAGTAACTTTCTGGCTCCTCATTATTTCTCAAGGAAGAGAATTAGTTGAGTGGTGGAAGAACACTGCATTTCTGATTAAAGATGTCAGGTAGGCCGTGTGCAGTGCATTATGCAGAAGGAAGGCTGGTTCCTGGTGCTCACTTTACATTATACAGAAGGAAGGCTGGTTCCTGGTGCTCACTTTATAAGAGCACTAATGTGAGACTTAACCTTGAATGGAGGTAAGAGGAGACCAAAACTGGAAGTAACTAATGTTAACCAAATCTCAAGGGAAAATTTGTAGTAATGGCAGGGATACAGAAGGTGTAAGACCAGGGAAACAGGCAAAATAGAATATGAGGTAGCAGGTGGATAGATTACTAAGGAAGGAAGCAGTCTTTCCTTGTGGCCGGTTCTGCAGTACTTTCTTCTGTGGAGAATCTTACATGTTTTCTAGATAGGACTGATTGTAAAGATAACTTGTGTGTTAGTGTATAAAGATACTTATGTGAACAACAGTGGGCCAGTCTGCGGGTGCTTTGGAGTATCTATACTTTTCCTTTAGCCTCTAGATTGCCTATTTATCAAACAGTGCAAAATCTCTGGTGCATAAATGATGGCATAGTGCAACCCATGGTTGAGCAGGTACTGCTCCAGTACTTAGAATATGAAGGCCTGATTTTGCAATGTGGTCATAGTTTAAAATGATTTTTGAAATGATTGATTTTTATTTAGATTGATTGATTCAGTGTGCATGTATGCATGAGCGTGGGTGTGCATGCACACTGTAGCAGCACATGTGTGGACATGAGAGGAAAATTTGTGAAAGTCAGTTCTCTCCTTCTACTCTGTGGGATCCCTGGATTGAACTCAGGTTATCAAGGTTAGCAGCAAGCACCTTTATCTGCTGAACTGTCTCCCTAGCCCTTAAATCATACACTTAGATTAATAACTAAGATTCTATAAACCTTACTCTTCTGCTTGCAAGAGATTTACTCTTTAAATTTTTTTAATTAACTAGCCAATTTTCCCAGCTTATTCAGAGTTTCCCTGCCTCTTCTCCCAGTCTCTTCCCTCATCCTCCTCCCACCATCCACTCCTCCTTTCTCTTCATAAAAGCGCAGGTCTCCCATGTATATCAGGCAGCCATGGCATACAAAGTTACAGCAAGACTAGGCATCTCTTCTCCTATTAAGGCTGGATAAGGCAACCCAGTAGGAGGAAAGGGTCCCAAAATCAGGTAAAAGAGTCAGAGATAGTCCCTGCTTCCACTGTTAGGAAGGAGACCAAGCCACACAAGGAGACCAAGCCACACAACTGTAACCTATGTGCAGAGGGTCCAGGTCAGTCCCATGCAAGTTCTCTGGTTGGTGGTTCAGTCTCTTTGAGTCACCATAAGCCCAGGTCATTTGACTCTGTGTGCTTTTCCATGGTGTTCTTGGCCCCTCTGACATTCATAATCCATCCTTCCCCTCTTGTACAGGATTTCCAGAGGTTCACTAAATGTTTGACAGTGGGTCTCTGTATCTATATCCATCAGGTGCTGGTTGAAGCCTCTCTGATGGCAGGTGGACTAGGCACCAGACTATGCGCATAGCAGAATATCATTAGAGATAATTTCATGGACTTGTCTTTTGTCAGTTGTATTTGATTCTATCCTGGATCTCTGGACTGCCCAGCCTCTGAGCCCCGACCCTCACATTTACTCTCTTGATTTTTAAGGGATTTGTAGTCCTTCTTCAGTACTTAGTGTTTCTTGAGTTCAAAAGTATCTCTACATGCAGCCAGATTTGACTCTATGAGTTTCCAATTACGTCTTAATGTATTTTTTCATTCCCCCTTTTCTTGGGACAGTGTTAACAACCTTTCTGGCTGTTCCCTATGTATCTTCAGCCAGTTTCCTCACTTCCCCAGGCACTTCCATGACCTTCCTGAATTAATTGTCATTATTTTATTTTCCAAGCTTCTCAGACTCTTATTATTCATCTTTCCTCTCTGTTGTGCATCATACCTCTGTTTTTATTGTTTGCTGGCATTTTTTTTTAGAGTCAGAGAACAGTGTTTCCACAAAGTAGTCAACAAGTCATTTTCATCAGAAATTAACTACATCTGTTTAAAAATACTAATCTCTCTCTCCTCTCCTCCCCCTCGTGTGTGTGTGTGGAACACACAAATCTGTAGTTTAGCAAGTTGATCAGACTATGTTTATCTTATAAAACAAGAGCTATTAACACAACATGATGGAAATCAATGTTGAGTGCCTTAAAACGAAACTGCCTACCATGTGCTTAGGAATGTAGATGTCACAGGTAGTGTCTGTTTGTTGGTGCTTCTGGGCGTGACTGTCACAGCAGAATAGGAAAGGTGTATGCCACCTTCTGAGAACTTTTAAAGGTAGATCTGCTCTGTTGGGCCATTATTTTGGTTTAGTTGGTTATACTATTCCTGGCAGCAAGGATGAAGTGTTTGTTGGAACCTGTTGGCCAACAGCTCAACTGTCTAGATACTGTAAACTTTGTTTGGTAGCAAGAGATGGCCAGTTGAAATTCTGCTTTGCCCATTATTTGGCAATTTCATATAGATTGTCTTTATAGATGTATATATTTTAGGAACTTTCTACTCTGTTAGGTTTACATACTAACCCTCAAATGGCCTTTAATTTTAACTACTTCTTAGTGTAGGAGATTTTTCTGCCTCTGTGTTGCTTTCATTGGTTGAATAAAGAAACTGCCTTGGCCTTTTGATAGGGCAACACTTAGGTAGGCGGAGTAGACAGAACTGAATGCTGGGAAGAAGGGCAGATGGAGAGCTGCCATGGAGCTGCCAGTTCAGATGTGCTGAATCTTTCCTGGTAAGCCATGACCTCGTGGTGTTATACAGATTATTAGAAATGGGTTAAATCAAGATGTGAGAGTTAGGTGAGCATCCAAACTGCCTAGGCTCCCACAAAGCCAGTACGTGCAGTAGGATCAAAAACCCATTGCCATTGTTCTTGAGTTCTCAGTAGTCCTCATTGTCCACTATGTACTAGATTTGGATGGAGGTGGGTGGTCCATGGACTTCCCACAGGGCAGGGAACCCTGATCGCTCTTTGGGCTGACAAGGAAGGGGGACTTGATTGGGGGAGGGGGAGGGAAATGGGAGGCGGCGGCGGGGAAGAGACAGAAATCTTTAATAAATTAATTAATTAATAAAAAAAAGATGTGAGAGTTAGCCAATAAGAGGCTAGAGATAATGGGCCAGGCAATGATTTAATTAATACAATTTCTGTGTGATTATTTCGGGTGCAAGCTAGCTGGACAGAATGAATAAAGGGCCACCCGCTCTCCTTGTAACAATTCTCCCATTATTTCTTCTCTCAATCGCCTCTCCCCATTCTGCACTTCATTTTTGTATCCCATCTGTAATTGTTCTATTTCCCTTTTTTTACTAGATTTTTCTGTTCCTTCTGGCCCCTTACTCTATATCTACCCTCTGTGGTTCTACAGATTGTAGCTTTGTTATCACTGACTTATGAGCTAATACCCACCTATAACCAAATTCTTACCAAATTTGTCTTTCTGGGTCTGAGATACCTCACTCAGGATGATTTTTTTTTCTGGCTCTGTCTATTTACCAGCAAATGTAATGATGTTACCTATTTAAGAGCTGAATAATACTCCATTGTGTAAATGTACAGCTTTAAGCACCAGTGCTTACCTACCAGGCCAAGGTTACTTGATAAGACTGGTGAGAAATAAATCTTGACCAGGCTCAAGGGGTCACAGCAAGACTGAGGCTATGACAAGTTAATTGCAAGCAATCAGACTTTTTAGTCCCTTTCGGAAACAATATAATGGTGAGGGCCAGAATCAATATAATGGTAGTTGCCAGAATACAGTGTTGTTTTCAGGTTATACAGGGCACACAAGATTAATGTCTAAGACCAATTATCTGGCCAATCTTCTGTGTGCTCATTGATTTCTAGGAACACAGAGAAGCAGAGTGGCATGAATGCTTCACTGCCTGAGGGAATGCCTGGGTTTCTCAGGAACCGAAAGGCATACAGTGCCCCAGGAGCCATAGACTCCAAAAACTTACAGCACATACCTCTCAGGGCAACTAACCTAGGCCGACTCCAGGATTCCCTGCTGCATTTTCTTTATTCATTCCTCTGTTGAGGAACATCTAGGTTATTTCCAATTTCTGCCTAGTAAGACTAGAGCAGTAATGAACATGTTCAAGCAAGTGTCTCTGTGGGTATATGGCCAAGAGTGGAATATCTGGATCTTCAGATAGATTGAACAGCTTTGCTGTTCGAGTTTGCACTCCCACCAGCAATGCACAGTGTTCCTCTTACTCTGCATCCTTGCCAGCATGAGCTGTCACTTGTTTTTTTGATCTTACCCACTCTGACAGGTATAAGATGAAATCTCAAAGTAGTTTTTTGATTTGCATTTCCCTGATAGCTAAAGATGTTAAACCTTTCTTCAAGTGCTTATTAGCGATATGGGAATTTGCAGTTGACTTTTTTACCTTTACTCTTTGGGGAGCCCACCACCCAACTCCAAAATAAATACACAAAGACTTATTCTTACTTATGAATGCCCAGCCTTAGCTTGGTTTGTTTCTAGCCAGCTCTTCTTAACTTTAATTATCCTATCTACCTTTTGCCTCTGGACTTTTATCTTTCTCTATACTGTATTTCTGTGACTGGCCCTGTTGCTGGGTGGCTGGACCCTGATGTCTTCCTCTCCTTATTTTCTAGCTCCTCATCTTCTCCTTTTCTCTTTCTGTTTATTCTCTCTACTTGGCAGCACCACCTATCCCTCTCCTCTAGCTATTAACCATTCAGCTCTTTGTTAAACCAATCAGATGTTTTAGGCAGGCAAAATAACACGGCTTCAGAGTTAAACAAATGCAACATAAAAGAATGCAACACATCTTTGCATCATTCAACAAATATTCTACAGCATAAACAAATGTAACACATCGGAAACTAATATTCTACAATAGGAATTCATTGTTTAAATCTATACCTCATTTTTATTGGGTTATTTGTTTTCTTGATATCTAGTTTCTTGACTTCTTTATATATTTTGGATATTAGCTATTTACCGGCCATGTACTTGGTAAAAAAATCTTTTTCTAATTTGTAGGCTGCCATTTTGTCTAATGATGGTATCCTTTGCAATGCAGAATCTTTTCAGTTTCATGAGGTCCCATGTGTTAATTGTTGATCTTAGTGGTGGTGTAACACTATTTTGTTCTGAAAGTCTTTTCCTTGCTGATAATCTCAAGGTTATTCCCTACTTTCTCTTCTACCAGATTCAGTTTGTCTGGTCTTATATTGATGTCTTTGATCAATTTGGAGTTGAGTTTTGTGCAGGGTGATAAGTGGATCTATTTGGATTTTTCTACGCGTAGCCATGCAGTCTGACTAGCACCATTTGTTGAAGATGCTGTCATTTTTCCAGTGTATATCTCTGACTTCTTTATAAAAAAAAAATCAGGTGTCTATAGGTGTGTGGATTTGTTTCTGTGTTTTTAATTTGATTCTGTTGGTAAATATTTCTGTTTTTTTGTGGTTTTTTTTGTTTGTTTTTGGCCAATATCATGCTATTTTAAACTGGGAAAATAATGCCTCCAGAAATTCTTTTATTATTCGGGACTATTTTAGCGTTCGTGTGTGTGTGTGTGTTTTCATATAAAGCTGAAACCGTCCTTTCAAGATCTGTGAAGAATTGTGTTGGAATTTTGAAGGGGATTGCAGTGAATCTGTAGATTGCTTTTGATAGGATGGCCATTTTTACTATGTTAATCCTACAGATCTGTGAGCATGGGAGATCTCTCTATCTTCTGATACCTTCCTTAATTTCTTTCTTCAAAAACTTGAAGTTTCTAATCATGTAAAGCTTTCATTTGGTTAGAGTTACTCCAAGATATTTTATATTATTTGAGGCTATCATGAAAGGTATTGTTTCCCTGATTTCTTTCTCAGTCTAATTATCATTTGTGTGCAGGAGGCCTACTGATATTTGTGAGGTAATTTTATATTCGGCTACTTTACTGAAAGTTTTTATCTGCTGTAGGAGTTCCTTGGTGGGCTTTTTAGGTTAACTTATGTGTACTACCACATCATCTGCAAGTAAAAATACTTTGACTCCTTTCTAGTTTGTGTGCCCTTGGTCTCCTTCAGCTGTCTTACTGCACTAGCTCAGACTTCCGGCACTATATTGAATAGGTATGGAGAAAGTGCACAGCCTTGTCTTGTTTCTGATTTTATTGGAATTGCTTTGAGTTTGTGTTAATGGTTCCTCAGTTGAGCTGACTTTCCTCCCAAGGGAACACTAGAGAATATTTACAAACATTTTTAGTTGTGAGCCTAGCCTTTAATGTCCAAGCCTTTTCTCTAGCCCTTGTAAACATTTTTAATGGTATTTCTGAAATAAGAGTGTCTCTTCAGTCCAGGAGATTGAGAAAGCTGTTAAATATTCTATGATGCTCAGAACAAAAATGAATTTTATAGCCTAAAAATGTCAATGATTAGATTGAGGCCTAAAGTGTAAGTTAAATATGATTTTACATGAGTTTTTGAACTTAATTAAACCTATCATATGTATTGAATTTAGTAATTGTTAACAGTGTACTGTTACCTCTGACTAATGAAGAAGATGATATTTATATAAAGACATCGTATATGGTTTGTTGGTTGAATTGCTGCAAATATAAACATTGTTTGTGTAAGTAAAAGGGAAATAAGTCTGTTAACTCTTGTGTATGTGGTCTGCTGGCTGAGGTGCTTTAATGGCTATCCCTTGAATTAGAAATAAAGCTTCTGCTTCCCTGCAGAAGCAGCCTGTAACCAGCATTCTCTACCCTTGGAAGCTGACCTGGAAGGGTTTTACGAATACTGTAGAACACTTGCTTTCTTGGTTGGCGTGATGACTCACCAGTGCTGAGTTCATAACGCTCTTGCACAGGGCTCAAGTTCGGTTCCCAGCACCCACATCAGGCAGCTCACTGCTGCCGTAACTCTAGGTCCAGGGATATTCAGTCCTTTGACCTCCATGGGCACTGCATTTGTATGTACATTCTCACAAAAAGACATATGTACATATATAATTAAAAATAAAAAATATTTATGGTCTTCCTTTTATATTTTTGCTATAGCAGGGCTGAGGGTTAAAAATTTAATTTTCTTCTTTTTTCTTTTTCCTTTTTTTTTTTTCAAAAAAAGACAAGGTAGCTTAGTTTGGCCTCAAACTTGCTGTGTAGCAGAGGATGACTTTGGACTTTATATTCTCCTGTCCTCACCTTCCATGTGCAAGGATTACAGGCATGCAGAACCATGACTGACTTTCGGTAGAACCTGTTCTTAAACCCAGGTCCTTGTGCATGCTAGGCACACAGTATAAACTAAGATACATTCCCAGCCCTCCTTGAATTCACTAAATAATACAAAATAGTTTGATGTAGATGTTATGTGTGCTCATGTAATCAGAATACTTTTAAGGAAACTATATAAAATTAGAGTGTTTTAAAATATGTATTAGTTTTAATTACATGTGTGTATGTATGTATGTATGTGTGTGTGTTCTGTGTTGAGGGTATGTGAATGTAAATGTAAGGGCCTGTAGAGACCAGATGGGGTGTTGCACCCGCTAGACCTGGAGTTACAGATAGTTGTGAGCTACCCAGTGTGAGTGCTGGGAACCAAACACAGGTCCTCTGCAACATTAGTATATGCTATTGACGGCCTAGGCATTTCTCTAGCTCCTAGAATTGTTTTGATTTTTTAAAAAGATTTATGCATGAGCCATTATTAAGATGTCAAATAAAAATGTCTTTTTCTATAATAGGTTGGACAGCACTTCATGAAGCTAGTGTAGGAGGATACTATCAGACAGTAAGTGCGCTATTAGAGGGTGGAGCAGAAGTGAATGTCAAGGGAAAGTACCAGATTACTCCCCTGCACGATGCTGTGATGAATGGACATTACCAGGTACTCGCTGCTTCTGGTTATAGAATAAACACACAGCAGGAAAGCAAGCTTCACTTTCAGTTCATTTGCTAATAAATGCTCAGAATTTGTAATATAATTCACCTTATGATACTTACCATTAGTCCCAATATGATGGATGCCATTGTATACTTTTTTGGTGACATTTTTTTATTTGTTTACTTAATACTATTATCCAGGCTGACCTTGAGCTCCTGGGCTCAAGGGCTCTTTTTGCCTCAGCCTCCAGAGTAGCTGAGATTACAGGAACTTGCCATTTAACATACTATTTGTATATAGTCATACAGAACATTTTTTTGCATAGTATGGTTTTCAGTGTGTACTCCTTTAAAGCTCTTTTTATACAGTGATTCACACTTTCAAAGGATGTTTCCTTCTATAAACAGTGATGTTCAGTCCAGTAGGAAACCAGCAACCTCATGGACTGCAGTGGAACATTCAGAACAGGGTGGGAGAATGCCAGAGTTAGCCACAGTTGCCCTCATGGTTATAATTCCATTCTAGTGCAGGAAAATATTAAGGAAGGTAATGAATCCAGTGTCCATGATTTATCTCAGAAACTACAGGCACTATATTAGTGAATTGAAGCTTTGCTGTAGATGTTGCTCCTTTTCCTGTTCCTCCTATTTGCCCTCCCTGCCCTCTTTCTCTACCCCTTTCCCATTCTTTCCCCTTCCTCCTTTCTGTAGTGCCTTACATCTAATCTGGGGGTGCCCATGGTAGTAAAGCATGTTATCACTGAGCTATACCGCCACTCCCTGAAGACATTTTACTGTTGATTTTAGGGATGAGAAGTTATGGGTTAAAAGCTCCTGAGGTACAAATGAGCTAAATCAACTGACCCTAGTACGATCTTTTCTTCATATGTTTAGAACAAATACCTAGCAGAGAGAGACTAAAGAGGCTTCTGGGAGTTATGAGCAGACTTATTTATGGTGTGGAAGAGTGTTTAAGGAGAATTTAGACAGTTTTGCTTATTTCGATAATGTATTTGATAATGATGGTGGATGGGGACACCATTTGTGAAAACCTGGGGAAAGAGAATTCCACATGGGACATAGTTAATGTTAGAAGAATGACTCTAAGACAGTCCCAGTCCTTCACCATTGTTTCAAAGATTGCCGTCAATCAATCTCCTTTCTCCCAAACCAGCCCTTCATGCAGATTATCTGATTTCTATTGTAATTCTATCTTTTTCAGAATATCAGAAATATCAGAATATTTTCTGTTGTGTTTACCTTTTAAAACAGCATAATGCTTTTAACATTCTTCTCTGTTATATGATGTTAAATAATTGATATCTCTTTATTCTTGAGTAATATAATATTCCGCTCCAAGATCACCAGGATTGTAGATTTTGCTATTACATGTAAAGCTTCTATCAATGCTCAAAATAGAATGACAGAATACAGAAAATACTTAGGAAAGTTTTAAAATCAGTCTACAAATTCCTTAATACTCCCCTCTCAAAGCATAGAGCCTAATCTCCCCCCCCCAAGGAATAAAGGATGACATTGTGATGGCTGGCTTCTAGCAAATAAGATGTGGCAGCATGTGGGTTCTAAGGTTATGTTAGAAGATACTGGAACTTTCAGTTCTTTCTCGTGACTCATTAACTAGAGAGGGGTAACTGTTTATCATATAGACACCCAAGCAGCTATTAGAGTAGCCCACGTGGCAGTGATTATTGTTTCTGCCTATAGCCAGGTTACTTAACCATTTTAGAAAAATATCTTCCAGCCCTTGTCTAAGTATAATATGACTATGTGTCCAGCCAACAGCTTGACTACATGAAAAACTATTGGACAGAACCACCTACCTAGGCCATTCTCAAATTCCAGGTTCTTAAGCCAAATTTTGAGGTTTTTGTTTTTTTCTTTTGTAGCAGCAGTTACTGAATAGATAATCCAAATGTAGATTGAAAGTAGAAAGAACACTCAGGGAAAGTTTGCTTTATTTGCCACCCTTCAAAGTTCCTATCTGGAATAAAAGTATAGCTCAGTGATAGAATATTGTTAGCTTTTGTGAGGCTCTGGGTTCAGGACCCTGGCAGGGGGAGGGAATTGCTGCACGTAGACATTTAGTAAGGCAGACTATCTCTTATCCACAACAAGTCTTGTCAAAGTAGTGTATTCAGTCCTTGTCTCAACCCAGATTCCACAAGGTCACCTGACTTCCCTGTCTAACCCAGTCACCTTTTTCTTCCTCCATCTTCTCATGTTATATATCTTGTTATTGGACACCAAATCTCAATAGCTGAGCAGCAGAGTCTGTTCCATGTCAGAGCACTCTTCCTGAAAGAATGCAGTGTGCTCTGTGCTTTCTTTGCTGAACTGTATGGAAATACATATTCTTTGACTTCTTCCTCTGACTGCCATATGTGTAATCTTAATTTTACCTACTGTTGCTTTGTTTTTGTATCTAACATTAAATCCCCATTGTAAAGCACCACATTGCTGATTCTTAGTAATTTTTAAAGGATCTGTTTTTGTCCTGCACACACTACCTCTTTTTCTAGGAGAATGTCTCCTCTGTTGTAACTTCAAGTCTTACACTTTCACTGTAAATTTTATACAACTTTATTGTTTAAACTGAAGTGATTCACATCAGATGTTATTGACAATCATGCTGATTAAGCTCATTAAAAGATTAGGTCCTTTTTATTGATGGTCAGACCAAGAGCAAGTTTGTGCCTCTCAAGTCTCTTGGTGCCCACGCTCAGGGATGCAGTTTTAAAAGGCAAAACCCACAAAGACTGTAGTTTACATCAAAGTTAGATGAGGGTCAGAGTAACCTTGAAGCATTCATTCCTCCAGAGAATGGTAATTATTTTAAACATAACTTGCTAGTTATTTTGGTGAGTACATCTGGACCATGGCCAAGGACATGGAAAACTCAAATGTGTTGCCAAGGCCGATGTGACCATTGAGGGTGGGGGATAGAGGGCTGAGAATTTTCTAAGCACACAAAATGGAGTCAGGACAAGATGGCGTTATATTTGTCATTTCTTTATTTCCTTTAAAATCATTGCTCTTGGCTAAAGGGTAAATACTGAGTCCTGAGGAGCATTAGCTTAACTACGGCAGTATTTGCCCAATGAATTTTAAAAGGCAATTTACTTTAGCTGGTACTTCCTATTGACCCCCAAGTCTTCCAAGCCTATGAACCCATTTAGCTGCTGTCTCTACTGATTAGACCAAAGCTGTGGGCATGGGGAAGAGGATGAAGGACGTTCCCTTCACAGCACACTGTTCCTTTCTCTTTTCCCTTCCTTCTCTTCTCTCCCTTATTCTTGTTTTGTTTGTTTGCTTGTTTTGTTCTTTTATAAGAGAAAGGATTTTCTTTTTAAACTAATTATAACTCGGGGCAATTACTAATTGCTCTTACTGGGCAAATATTTTATAGGTAACCCCTGACTCGGCGTTGTTGAAATAATACACCCTCTGTCTGGGCTCCTTTATGTGAACAATCTTTATCTAGGTGGCAGAGTTACTTCTTCTGAATGGAGCTGACCCATTACTTAAAAGTGACCATGGAACATGTGCTTTAGATGAGGCCAAGGATTCCTTTATGGAGAATCTCCTTAGGAAATACATTCCTAAACATAAAAACCATCACCTGTCAGGTAAGATTGAGCCACTTTGTTGTACTTTGATCATGTTGATAGAGTTATAAAAACTGAATTTAGAATTGTAGAAACTGAATTAGTTTCCCACACAAGTTTTCAGAAAGTACATTCAATGATACCTTTGTTTCATCCTTTTAATAAAACTCACTGCTTGTTGCAATTGTACATGAGAAGAGGCCCCTCAAATCAAAAGACTTGTAGGTTTTAAAAGTTTAGAGTCTTAACAACTGGAAGATGTTTACTTTCATTTTCTCCTTTTGTTTGCAGCTCAAAGGAAGAGCACTGACCCAACATATGTAGACGATATATTCCAGTACAAGGTATATATGTCTTTAGCAATAAACTGTTTTTGCAGGTTTGCATCTGCTGGTTGTTTTTATAGATTAGCTGAGGGAAAGAAAGATTAGTGAAGCATTCATCAGGCTAGTAACTTCACCTTTGGTTTAAGACATTTTGAAATAATTGCATGAGATACCAAAAGGTTCTAGCCTGTTAATCTGAGAAGCAATTAGGTAAGTGTAGCACACCACAGTAATGTACTGTAAGCAGTTTCCTTTCTTTTGTTCTTTATGGAGTCTGGGATTTTTCAACCATGTCAAAATTTTTCTGATTTAAGAGTAATACAAGAGTAAAAATTACCCTTGTCAGTCCAATAAAGTTTACATTAGGTGATTATGATTCATCTGCTATTTCAGTCATGGCTTTACCCATAATTCTTCTAGAGAGGAAAGGAAGAAACTGGCCTAATTCTAGTCTTGAACATACTCCTGTAATGCTCCCTTAAAAGTGTATCACAGAGTCTATAGATATACATCTGAAATTGAAACTAATCATTTTGTTGTTGTTTTTTTTATAGAAACCAAAATTAAGTTCTAATAATCACACTGAGTTTATTTGTAGTGAAAATTCTAATAGACAGGAACCAGAACATGTAGAAATCAATAAAGAAAGAAACAATTTACCTGTAAATAAAGAATATGTATATGAACATTGCCAGAAAAATACCATAGAATTTGGAAATTCCAAGCCTAGGCAATCAACTATTAACCAAATAGACTGTACAGGACTCAGAAGGAGCAGAGTCTGCAGTGTGAAAGACAGCAGAACTAATGTGTCTAAAAGTAAAAGAGGAAGAAATACACAACATAAAAAGACTCAAGCAGATGACAGAGACTGCAGTTTAAGTCAGGGAACAGCTATTTCCTCTTCCAGGGGAATGGATAAATTAGTCTCTCAGCAGCAGCATATCGCTCTAACCCTTGATGACCTTCCAAAAGAGTCTTGTGAACTTTCTACCCCAGCTCTACCAAGCTTGAAAAATGATGCAGATAATAATAATGAGGCTTGTTTAAATTCCAAAAAGCCAAATACTAGCAATCTGGATTTATCAGATAGTCAAGAAATGCAATTCTTAGAGTCCATTGATCAAACTAAAGCTGTTCCCTTTTCCGAACTTTCATTATATAAAGAAATAAAATTACCATATGTAACTGCAGATCAACAACCTCACACTAACCAAGAGCAATGCAGTAGCCCATGTAAGCCCCCTGAAAACCATAGCTCAGATGAAAAAGGCAAGAACCTTAATGAATGGGAAGATTATTTCCTCTCCTTCATAAAAGGACGCTTTGCTGACAGTGATAGTGATTGCCACAACTCTGTCAAGTCTGCGGCATCTCAGGAAGAGTGCATGGCTGTCTGTCAGAATGAAGAAACCACAACAGATGGAGAAAAAATAAACTCTCGATGGTTTTTATCTTCTGAAAACTATTCTTTACAAGAAAATGAGCTAAAAGCAGGTGGCCAAACTACACATCCACAGGAGAAAGCTGTTAATTATTGTGACTTGAATGATACATTAATTTATGAACAACCTATTCCAAATCATAAACAGTGTACATATGGGATTTCTTTTCATCACTCATATGCAATTTCTGAGCCCAATTCTACGTCTTGTACAAGATCACCTTCAAAACAGCAAGTTTCACAGTTGACTGGTCAAGTGGAGCTATTAAAAGTATTCCAGAATAATTCCCACAGTGAGCCAACTCTGTTAGTTAATCAAGTTAATACATATAATGTGGAAAAGAAGCAAGACACTGAGAGGAATTATACCATAGAAGGCCAAAAACCAAGTTCTTCACATAGTCCTTTACACACTCATTCTCAAGTAGTAGAAGTAACTAAAGCTGAAGAAAGGAGTCAAGACCTTCCAGAGAATGAGCTCGTGAACAATACAAATTTTCATCCCACTGACAATGTGAATAAAGAATTGACCAACTCTATACACCTTGATCAAGGAGAAGAGAAGGAAATTGCTCACAAATCAGGTATTAGTATTTCTCAATTTGTACATTACTTTTACCTCTCCTGTAGTGACCCAGCTGATGAAGCCACCATACAGGTTGTGATTTGGGAAGTGGATAGGCTCAGTAAGGTATTCGTGCTTGACTGATGTTGAGGTGTATGCTCTGTCATCAGGGCTAGCCAGATGACTAGCACTTACTTGGAAATTCAAACTGTTATCAAAGATCATTACTAAACTGGTACCAGCGAAACTTAATGTCTACAAATTTTTTTTATCTCTTTTTAATATGGCACTAATTTAGTATTCAAACCCTAATATCATTTTCATGGCAGAAAATTGGTGTTCATTGTGTCTCCATTATCACTACAACCAGCACACTTAGTCTACTCTGTGAAAACATTCTAAAGGCTTCTCACAAGGAGTTCTTCTTGAAACAGAAACTCTGGAAGAACAGGAGTTTTATTTTCCTGTCATAAGGTAAGTAAGCGGAACTACAAGACTAATAATCTAAATGGTTGTGTTTCAGATGAGGAGTTAACTACGAATACCAATAGAGCTGAAAGAACCGTAAGAAATTGCAGGGAGGAAAAGGAAAATGTGGGTTCAGCAACTCAAATGCCTTGTGATACCCAAGACCATGGAAGAGACCAGAATTTCAGACAAAGAAAAGGTTCCTTGAAAGCTCCCTGCAGCCAAGGTTTGTATAAATGTTTATATCAAAGTTTTATAATTAAACCTCATTATCTACTTTACTTCAAAGAATTCCTATGTTTAATTAAATTGGTGGGTAGTTGTTTGTTTTTTATGCTGGAGAACATTCATTTAGATGTGAGATTATTTCAGTTATATTTGTTGTTAAAGTTCCACTTGAGGATAGCCAGTAGTCTCCGGATACGTTTTGGTCATATTGCTGACTATGACTTTCAGTTTGTGACATTAGAGGAGATGAACAGCAAAGATGAAAAGAATATTCAGTGGGAGGATTAGGATTATGTAATATCTCAGATTTTCAAGACACATCTATTTAGCCCTTTAATGATTGTTAACGAAGTATGGACACTATTTTTGTCACATTAATCAACTGTATATTTGTCTGGCAAACTACCTCCTCTCTAGTGGTTCTTAGAGCTAATCCTGTGATGAACAACAACCTGGACCACCTCAGGTTAAGTATTAAGTACTGAAAAGTCAGTTTATATGTTGTTATGAGGTAGAAAAGGTGCTGGACAAGGCATTTTCTGTGTGAGCCTTCTTTTATTTTCCCTTTCTTGTATAAATTGAAGACCTTTGTGGGCATATTTTCTACATTTCTACATGTTGAGTGATGAGCCTTCCATAATGAGGCTCTGGAACTAGTGAATAACACCTCTATGGTAAATGACTTCTTTAGAAAAGGAATACTTATAAAAATAATCAAATTAATATCTTTGGGATGGAACCATTCTGAATTATCTAGATGAACCCTAAATCTAATCAAACACTTCTTTATAAAAGAAAGAGGGAAATTTGAGACATAGATCAAGTAAAGGAGTTCATGTAACCTCAAGTTGGGAAAGCCAAAGAATGTCAACAGCCACTAGAATTTAGAAGAGGCAAGGAAGACTTGTACCCTAGTGCTTCCAGTTATGTCCTTGCTGGTACCTTGATTCTAGATTTCAGATAACAGAATAAATTTATGTTGCTTAAATGCAACTGGCTTATAAGATGTTATAGCTGACCCAAGAAACTGATATACTTCCTTGGTAGCATGTAATCATGTTAAGTATAATTTTGTATATGTATATCCTTCCACTAAATTATAAGCAACTTGGATAGGGGATTGAGAATTCTCGATATTGACCTCAGGAGATTCCCTAATACTAGCTTATCCCCCAACTGTCCAGCAGTGAATTTAACCACGCCTTCTCTTCTACTGCACTCTTACCAGCCACAGCTTTCCGATCTGTATTTTAATTTCCCTCACTTAAATATAGACAAAGATCACCAGCTATTTATGAAGTGCTCCAATATGAAAGAAACATCAAAGTAAACTACACAGATCAAACATACACCAGTGAAACAGAATTCAAGAATATTTCATTTTTAAATAGGAAAAGAGAAGGAATTATCACAACAATACAGAGTTTTAGATGTTGAAAATGTAATGGCATAGCTGAGACTGAACGTGCATGCCTTTAACCCCAGAACTCAGGAGGCAGAGACAAGCAGATCTCTCTGAGTTCCAGGCCAGTCTGTAATATGAGGGCTTGCTTGTTGGAGTTTCTGTCCTCCCACCAGGTCCCACAGCCGTTTGGTCCCAAAGAAATCACACAGAGAGTCTCCATAAGCTCAGGCTTTGTATTGGCTCTTATAACTTATATTAGCCCATTTTAGTATATGTTAGCCAAATGGCTTGGTAACTTTTTCAGCAGGGCAGGTCACATCTTCCTTCTTCCGTGTCTGGGCAGGACTGCGGAGGAATGGGCTTCCTCCTTCCCAGAATTCTCCTCTTCTCCTTGACCCACCTTTACTTCCTGTCTGGTTGTCTTACCTATACTTCCTGTCTGGCTACTGGCCAATCAGCGTTTATTTATAATTGACAGAATATAGACAATTCTCCAGTACCACTTCCCCATCTTTTTTTTTAACAAAGGAAAATATCCATAGTTTATTTTTTTGGGAATGTGGGCGTAGTTTTCCAGGCTACTTCCTGCTGGTTGGGGGCACTGATAATCTTATGGAGACATAAAGAAAATTTATAATTATCCTCAAGTAATGACTGGAGTATCCTGTGAGGCTACATCATCTCAGGCAGCAGTCTTGAATCTGTTCTGGATGTAGAACTCAGACATCTGGGCCATCTGTTCCTACTAGAGATTTCTCAGGTGGTCTTCCTTGATCAAACCTGATTTTTCTTAACTCAGAATGAATCCACAGCCTCTCATTTCCTGTGGAAACAAAAGCAAAATCTCTTCTCCAGAGTAACATACCTTTTGACTTCAATTTTGAAGTCAAGTTATTTTCAAAATACCTATCTTGGATTAATTCAGCAGCATTTATAAGCAAATATCTTTTAGCAGCTGTTGCTCCTTCCTCGGCATTCAAACAATTCAAAGAGAGCATAATAACATACAGTATCAAGATTCTCTGTGTGTTTTCCATCTATATGCGGCTTTATTTTAAACTCTATTTTTTTATTTTTACTTTTAACTTTTGGACTTTTGAGACAGGTTCTCTCTGTAACTTTGGCTGTCCTGGTACTCCCTCTATAAACCAGGCTGTCCTTGAACTCACAGAGATCTACCTGCTGGGATTAAAGGTGTGTACCCTCACACCTTGAATTCACAGAGGTCTACCTGCCTCTGTCTCCCAAGTGTTGGGATTAAAGTTGTGTACCACCATACCCAACTACTCTTTCTTTCTTTTTTATTTTAAGGACCTTAACCTTTTGCCTGCATATATTTTTAACATACTGTAAACCATTTATAGGTTTTACTTACCTTTGAATCTCTCTTTACTGTATCTCTCTCTCTTTTTCTGACCACATGAGTCTTTAATTTGTTAAGCAATATGGGTAGGATTAAAGCCATGGCTTTGATGGCTGGATATAGTCATTTCTTAGCTTTCTGAGATTTTAGCCTAATGGCACAGGTACCACTGGAGCCATGTTTATTGCCACAACTCTGTGGCGTTTCAAGGTCCCTGCTAGCAAGCAAGCTGTAGCAAACCATACTCAAATGTTCCATAGTTGGACCACCTGCCTGAAAGAGTCAAAGATTGTCCTGGCAAGACTTCCCAGAAAGCCCACATTTTAAAACGGCATGGCTTTTTTCCTGCTACAGCTGAAAATCGAAAAGCAAGCGGTCAGCTTTTCATCAACACCATTTAAGTGTTTTGTGGCAGGACCTCTTAAAGAACTGCAGGGTTTTGCAGCTAAAGCTGAGTCAGGAAGCCTCTCTTAAATGAGAGCACTTGCCTTTAGCAAGCAGAGCAGACCCAAGCAAGCTGTCTCAGGTTTTATATGGATATAGTTGTCCACATGTTGGAGCTATTTGTAACATGAGGACCTGCTTGTTGGGGTTTCTGACCTCCCACCAAGTCCCACAGCCGTTTGGCCCCAAAGAAATCACACAGAGATTTTCCATAAGTTATAAACTGATTGACCCATTAGCTCAGGCTTTGTATTAACTCTTATAACTTATATTAGCCCATTATTCTAGTATATGTTAGCCACATGGCTCAGTACCTTTTTCAGCGGGGTAGGCCCTCATGTTACACCAGTCATGTCTACACGGCAAGTTCCAGACTAGCATACATGAAAATAGCTTTGAAAATATTATAATCCCTGTAACTCAAGAACCTATTTTATAGAGAATCTTTTTTTCAATTTTATTTTTTACATAAGTTGTATCCTGACTGCAATTTCCCCTACCTCTACTACTTACAGTCACTCAGATCCACTCCTCCATTTCCCTTCAAAAACAAACAAACAGGCCTCCCATGGGTTTAAACCAAACATGGCATAACAAATTACATTAAGACTAGACACAGAGGCTAACTGGAAAAGGTGACCCAGTGGGAGGATAAGGATTCCACGAGCAGGCAAAAGCGTCAGATATCCCCCACTTCACTGTTCAGAGTCCTATACAAACACCAAGCTATAGAACCATAATGCATATACAGAGGACCTCGGTCAGATCCATACAGGGTCCATGATTGTTGCTTCAGTCTCTATGAGCCCTGCTTAGTTGAGGCTGTGAGTCATGTTCTCATGGTGTCCTTCACTCCTCTGGTTCCTAAAATCCTTCTTCCCTCTCTTCACCTAGTATTTGGCTTTGGGTTATTGCATCTTTTGCCATCAGTTGCTGGACAGTGCTTCTCTGTTGACAACTGGCTAGGCACTAATCTATGAGTATAGCAGAATATCATTAGGAATCATTCCATTGAGTTTGGAGGGTTTTTGTGTTGTTGGCTTGTGTATGTTTATTTGGTTGGGTGTTTTGTTTTCTTGTTTGTTTTGGCAGTCATATTTGGTTCTCCCCTGGGTCTCTAGGCTTCCCAATCTCTGGTTCGTGGCCATCCATGAAGTGTCAGACATAGTCTTCCTCTCATGATGTAGACCTCAAGTTGGACTGGTCATTGGTTGGCCACTCCTACAAGTTCTGTGCCACCATTACCCCAAGACATCTTGCAGGCTGGACATATGGGTTGAACATTTTGTGGCTAGGTTGATGTCCCAGTTTCACTACTGAGAGCCTTGTCTGGTTAAAGAAGATGGCCAGTCTGGCCCTGTATCCCCCATTACTAGATTTAGCTAGGATCATTCTCATAGATTCCATGGAGCTTTTACTGTGTTGGTTTCTATATCACCCCCGCAAGTGTCCCCCAGTTCTAGTCATCTCTTCCAGTACTCTCTCCATTCCTCCCTCCCCATGCCTGGACCATCCTGTTCCCAGCCCATCCACAAAATCTGTTCTATTTCCCCTTCCCAGGGAAATCCATGTATCCCCACTTGAGCCCTCCTTGTTATTTAGCCTCTTCGTGGTTATGGGTTGTAGCATGATTATCCTTTACTTTATAGCTAATGTCCACTTATAAATGAGAACATACCATTTTGTCTTCAGGATCTGGCTTACCTCACTCAGGATGATTTTTTTTTGGTTCTGTCCATTTGCCTGCAAATTTCATTATGTCATTATTTTTAACAGCTGAGTAATACTCCATTGTGTAAATAAATATGCCACAATTTCTTTATCCATTCTTTGGTTGATGGAGAGAATTATCTTTTATCTGTTACCTTAAAGTTACATGTTTGATTGCTGAGGTTTGGCAAATAGTAGGAAGAGCCTCATGCTTAATGTGGTAGTTCTCCAACTTTCACTTGCAACAGACCACTTGTTAAAGCACAGATTTCCTGGTCCTGCCTTAGAGAGTCTGCTTCAGTAAGTGAGATGCTATTACAAACTTAATAGTTTTTTTTTAAGCAACACACATTTGTCTCCCAGTGTCATAGATCAGGAATTGACACCACTTTGCCAGGTCCTATCAGTAACTTTCACAGGGCTTCAGTAGAGGTGCTGTTGGGACTGGCTCTCACCTGCAGCTCAGAGTAGGGAAGGACTTCCAAGGTCATGCGATTGAGGAAAAACAGTTCCTTAAACATGTTGTACTGAAGTCATCAGTTCCTGTGGACTGGGGGCCATCATCAATTTCTTGCTGAATGGATTTCTCCAATATAGATTCTTCTTCATCAGAAAGTGAAAGCTGAAGGCAAGGGAATGAGTCTGTAGGAAGATAGCAAGCATTGTAATCTTTGGTGACCTCATGAAAGAAGTTAATATTATACTCTTAACAGTGTTGAAGTGTTCTTTTGGTTGGAAGAAATTATTCAAGGGAGATAATTCCACAAAACCACAAAGATGAGAAGATAGAAATCTGTAAGAGGAGGTTTTAGAGTTTGCTCTCTAGGTTTGACCTGGAGCATCTGTCTTTGTGGCAGATTTACTAAGTGGCACTAATGAATGTTCTTTGTTTCTTACCCTAACTCTCTGTTTTGCTTTTATGTCAGTCTCCTTCTTCTCTGATGTGTTTAATGTGGAAAATAAACCTCTAGGTTTCTGGATTTCGGGTGGGTGTATAAGATAAAGTGTGTGGTTGCCAGTCAACTCAGAGTCCCAACTTTACTCTGTATTAGCTTTTGGTCAGTTTTCCTGTGTTCACACATATTTCTTCCAGGGTAACTTATGACTCCAGGTGCTCATTGCCTGGGTTCAGAAAGGCTTTTTCCATGATTCTCCTTGCAGGCCATGCCACACTCTGTTAAGGCAATTCATTCTTTATCAGTGACTTTTCAGTTCTGCTTCCCAAATCTGTTCAAATCTATCCTATGTTCTTTTCTCCTGTATTTTCTTTGATAGTTTAAAAAAAGTTAGCCATCACTGCAGTGTAGCAAGTATGGGGAGAAAACGAGGGAAACAGATCTGTTCATTGGTTTAGTTCCCACTTAATCTCTGTAATTTACACTGCAAAGAAATGACTTTAAAGGGATTCTTTAGAAAATGATTTTGTGCTGAATTTTTTATATAAAAAAGTAGAGAACCTCAAAGGTCACCTTGTTACTTGGTACCATGTGTGTCAGGGACACATACATTGAGAAACAGCTATAAGAAGAGGGGTTTGGTTTGGTTTTTGAGAAGGGTTTTACTATATAGCCCAAATTGACTTAGAACTCATGATTCTGATGCCTCGGCCTCCCACTGAGTGTTGAGATACCAGGTGTGCACTAATATACACATCCTGAAAGTTTCCATCAAACCAGAGCTTGGTTATCTTAAGGGAGATGTATCGGTTGTTAGAGGGTAACTGAGAGTGCAATGAGTGCAGAACGGAAGCCAGTGTGTCTAGCTGTGCTTGACTGACTGGTTGCTAGAATGAGCGCAAAACGCTATGATTTCTGCTCAAACTGGGATTAAACCAAAAGCAGCAAACAATTTTCTCAGTCCTCTGATATATGCCCAAAAAATCAAGATACAGTTTTAAAAATAAATTATTTCTTTATAACTCAGCTACTGTGAACTAACTCTGAATGTTAACATATAGGTTCCCAGTTTAGAAGCACCTTAGAGGAGAGGGCAACTAGCAAAATGATACATGGTATCCAGTAGGCAGTGTCAATTTTATCATTAAAGTGTTCTAGGGTTTCAGAAGTTTTATCTCTTATATGCCTTCTGAATACTTAAATATAGTCAGTTTACAAGATTATTAACCAGTTCTTTCAAACTCCTGTTCCTGTATACCGCCCCCAATGGTGATGGACTCTTACCATTGACCTAAAATAAACACTTTCTCTTTCTTTCCTTCTTTCTTTCTTTCTTTCTTTCTTTCTTTCTTTTTTAAAGCAGTGTTACACATGTTTGGTGTGGTGCATCCTGTTGAGATATTATTAGACAGTAGAACTATATTTTCTAAAGTCTTTTATAACAATAAGCATCTTGCATAAAATAAGTCTCAGATTTGCTTGATACAGTTGCAGAAGTGAACACAGCTGGAATCAGGAAGAGGAATGCCAAAGGGGAGAGCCTGCTGCATGTGGCTTCCAGAGGAGGAGATCTGTCCCTAGTGAAGGTTCTAATAGCATCTGGAGCAGACATAAATCTAAAAGATAATACAGGTTGGGTCCTCTTAACTGTTTGTGTCTTTAATTTTAACTCACTGAAATACTATTTTTTCCTTTGCCCCCAATTTTGATGCTGGCTGGTAATTGACTAACTTTGAACTGTCTTTTTATACCATATTTTAATTTGATGAATAATAAGATTTGTCACTGTTGAAATGACTGTCTTGTTTGAAGCAGTTCTTATAACAGGGAACATTCATTCAGAGGGTGCACAGAATGGGGGTAAAGGAAGTTAGTCGGGCTTTTCCTTGGAAGCCTTAGTCCCATGCCCTGACTCCAGAGAAAATGCACTGACCCAGCTCTCTGCCCATTCTTCTCCCTGCTCCCTTTATATCACTCCTTTCCTGTTTATTTCTTATTCTAACCCTGTTCTAAAGAGTCGATTTTGTGACATTTTGCTTATACATAAAATAGTCTTGTATAAATAATTAAAGAAGGGAATTGAAAGGTTTACAGAATCAGGTGCCCTTTAAATAGAAATGTAGCCACACAAACCCGAGATATGAAGCTAAATACTGTCAAACCTGAGCTGAAGCAGGTTGAACTATTAGCATTCCTTCTATCAACAGCATTTATGATGGCATAATATTTTTCTCCAAAATGAAGCCTGTATGTCTTAAAGCAGTAATGTTAATACTATTTCTTGTTCAATACTTAGTGCATGTACATATATTTCGGTAGAGTCATTCAGTCCACTAATACAAGAGCCCCTTAACACATATTACATGAATCTCAGTAGGTATGGAACAGCTTTATTATTTCTTCTTTTTATCTTTTCCAGGTTGGACACCCCTTCATGAGGCATCTAGTGAGGGATTTAATGATGTAATTATTGAGCTATTAAAAGCTGGTGCAAATGTAAACTGTGAAAATGTAGATGGAATGTTGCCTTTACATGGCGCTGTTGTGGGCAATCATTTAAAGGTAATGGCACTTGTCACATTAGGGTTCTGTTTGCTTAGGGACACAGTGGAAGAAATGAAGGTATTTTAAAGTCAGAATTAACGTGATTGCTTATACTAATACATGGTTTTAAAGCCTGCTAAAATTATGAATGAAGTTAGAATGTTGTATGTTGATTAGAAAATCAGTAAATAGTTTAATAACTCATTTTTTCATTGCTTAGCATGTATGTCATGTAGGTCAGAAGATAACGTTCTGTAAATCTTTATTTTTAGTTGTCTAAAGTGATTTGCATAAAGGGTCTAATATTAGTGTTAATACATATAATAATTATTTTGTTTTTTGAGACAGAATCTTAACATATAACTGACACTGGCTTCAAACTTAGAAGGCTTCTACCTCAACGTCCTGCGTACTGGGAGGCAGCTTGAGCCTCACACCCACCCAAGGTGTTCTTTTCTGACCTGGGTGAGGGGATGGCATGAAGTGATTGCTGCTTGGAAGTTTGTTGTCGCTTACTTTACCTTCCTCTCCCAGGCAGTGTAGTAGACATGTCACAAGACACTGCAGTATAGTAGACATTCCACAGGACACTGCAGTATAGTAGACATGTCACAGGACACTGCAGTATAGTGGACATGTCACAGGACACTGCAGTATAGTGGACAGACCACAGGACACTGCAGTATAGTAGACAGACCACAGGACACTGGCAGTATAGTTGCTATTATTTGCTTTGTGTATATGGTATGGATTTTGCTTTTATATCTACAGCTGTGATAGGCTGTTATTCTATCTTTTTTATCTCTTGCCGCAGTTGCTTTTAAGAACTATTTATTTGTTTGTTATTTCCAATGTAAGTATAGCTGCTCTTGTTGTCTTTTACTTTCCATTTGCAGGAATACTTTTGCCGTCTCTTCCCTTGTCGCCCATGATATAAAGGATTAAAATTAAAATGAGTGGTTTTTTTCTATTCTGCCACTCGGTAACTTTTGTTGGATAATTTATTCCTTTTACATTTAAACCAGCTATTGATACAAAAGTTCTTATTATTAACATTTTGGTTCTTGTTTTGTTATTTCTGGCTGTTTTGAAGGTTTTTTCCCTTTTTTTCTCATTCTCTATGATTTGGTGATTTATCTAATGCTATAATTTGATTAACTTCACTTTTTCTATTAAGTGCTTACATTTAAAAAATTAATGTTTTCTGTTTTTAATGATAATTTCAGCCACATAAATACATAATATTTTCCTGACCAAAAAATAATATGTAGTTTTAAAATGGAAGAAATCAAACAGAAAGAATAATTAAAATGAGAAATTTGTTGGTTATTGTACAAGAAAGGTCAGTTGAATAAGCCACATAAATAAATTTCAACATTTTTAGACTGTTATCTTTTAAAAGGCCACATTTAAAAAAGTTAATTCTTTAATTTGTATTTGTATTAGACAGCTGGAGTTTTATTTTTAAAAAAACTTATTGAACCTGATATATAGTAGTTTATCACATCACTGTATTAAGGATATACCTGTGGTTCATAAGGAAAAGACAGGTGTAATGTGGTGGTATCTATGTGGGGTTGTCTTCTGTTCTATTCTTCACAAGACACCACACAAAGTCTTCTCTTCTTCAACAATGAAATGTATGAATATAACTGCAGTGTTTCTGCTTAGGGAAGCTATTTAGATGACTCAGCACACAGTATTTTTACTTTAGATAACTTTTTAGCATGTAGCAAAAATTAATACTCATAGAAGCTGAAACTACATTGTGTGTGTGTGTGTGTGTGTGTGTGTGTGTGTGTGTGTGTAGATGCATGTGCATGCACATGGGACCCAGAGGTCAGCAACAGGTTTCTTGCTCAGTCACTCTCTGTGTTAGGTTTTGAGACAGGTTCTCTCAGTGGACCTTGCATTTACATACTGAGATAAACTAACTGGCAAGAATAACACAGGAATCTTTGTTACCACTCCCTTTTGAGATTTCCTTTGTTTTATGTGTTTTAATGTTTTGCCTTCCATGTGTATCTGTGCGTCATATACATGCAATGCCCACTGAAGCCAGAAGAAAACATCAGATCTTCTGGAACTGGAGTTATAGATGGTTATATATCTTAATTTGTTTCTTTTGGTTGAGTCTAGTCTTTAATGGCTGAGCCATCTCTCCAGCCCTATTTTAAAATTTTTAGACAATGAATATGGAACACAAACTTTTTTGAAATAAGCAACGGCTAAGGGAATTCATTTCCTTTATTGTTGCATTAAAATAGTAAAGCATGAGACTGCATATATGGTTCCATATTAAGACACTGGCTACACCTTCCAAAGGACCTGGTTACTCACATGGCAGTTCTCAACTGTCTGTTACTCCAGTTTCAGGGGATCAGATGCCCTATATGTCTTCTGAGGGTATGCATGCATAGGGTACATAGATATAACAAAATACTAGTTAGTACACATAAAAAATAATATGCAGCAAAGTTCTGATATATATATACAATAAAGTAATTTTTAATGTTAGGAATTGTTAAAATAATCTAGAAGAAAGATTATACTCAAGGAAATTCATATTTATAAAAGAATGAAATTCTACATGTGATAATTATATAGATTTGAAAAAGAATTTTTTTCACTTTATAAATATCTTTAAAAGAAATTTTAAATGCTTGTAATAAAATAATACTGCACTGTAGAAATAATGTGTTCAAGTAAAATGAAAGATATGCATAGCCAAAATAGTTATGAGAAATTGAAATATTCTATTGTAAAATCCATATAATAAAGAAAATTATTTACTACTTGAAGAAATAGGTAACAACCTAACAATACATCATTCAAAAAGCACCACGGCATGGTTGTTTCTGATCCCTTCATGGAGCTGTCATGTAAAGATGAGGGAGGGGCGAGAGCGTGCTTGCAGGAGCAGCAAGAGAATGATCAGAGCAGCCCTAGTCTGTGCTGGCGTTCAGTTATGTGCCCCTCTGCATCACCCTCATGTGATGTTTCCCTTGCTAAGACTCTGTCTCACAGAAATAAATAAACGGACAAACAAACCCAGACTTGGTAATTATAATTTCCAATGTAAATGATCCAATCACTGATAGCTTTCTATTGCTGTAACAGATACTTAACATCTTATAAAGAGAAAACCTTTATTTTAATTTATGGTATTGGAGATTTTAGTCTGCAGCTGATTGGGGCCCTATTGCTTTAGGCCTGTGGTGTATAGAATAGTGTCAGAAAGTGCATGGTTAAATAAAGCGAAAGTGAGGAAAAGACATACCATGTATATTCCCAGTAGCTGGAAGACTTTCCACCAATATTAGAGTTTCTACTAAGGAGTCTCATGTATTCCAGGATGGCCTTTAACTTGTTTATAGCTTATTGCTTGAACTCTGGATTCCCCTGCCTTTATCTCATGTGTGGAGTAATGAATTCAGAGTTTCTGCATGATAGAGAATGCTCAACAAATAAAGTTATATACCCAGTCTAATGAAATCTAGAACTTTAATTTTTCACAACTTCAAATTTTGCATTAGCAAAAAGAAAACAACTTGAGTGACTTCAGATTTCTCTTAAACTCTAAAAATAACGAAAAGACCAAAGTAAAGACAATAGAATTAGTAAAACAAAGCAAACAACAAAATTAACAAAAGGAAAGCTTATTCTCTGAGAAAGTTGACAACATTCTGGAAGTTTTTTTCTGGCCAGATTTTAAACATGACAGACATTAAGAGGCTGGTAAAGGACTGTTGTTAAAATCTTACTTTACTAAGTTTAACAACTTAAATAAAACAAGCTGTTCCCTTGACACAAACTACCAAAGCTTACAAACAAAGACTGAAATAATCCTTATAACTCTACATCTGGGAAAAATGAATTTATGTTTAAAAAAAAAGATAAGCCCAGGTTCAATTCCCAGCACCCACATAGCAACTCACAACAGTCTATAACTCCAGGTTCTGGGGATCTGATGTCAATGCATATAAAATAAAGTTAAATAAAAAAAAGATAAGCAAACTCAATACCTTACAGTAGAGGTGTCAGGTTCAGGTAGCTTAACTTCCTCACTTAGAGGGGAAAATGATACTAGTTTTAGTAGACAAACTCTTCCAGAAAAAAATAAATAGTTCCTAACAGGTTTACAAGTCTAGTGTGATTTTCACACCAGTCCAAGCAACAGGCAAAGGAATTGTAAGTAAACAAAAATACAAATTAACATCTCTTAAGAAATATTACACACATGCAGCAACTACTTCTGTTGCATATTCCAAGGGAGCTTCAGTCAGCTTGCTCTAGAATGTAAGTACATGTTTATTGATGTGCTATTCACAATAGTCATATAAGAGACCAGCCTGCATATCCAGCAACAGAGGAATAGAGATGATGTGGTGTACACACTCAGTAGAATTTTATTCAACTGTAAAGAAGAATGAAATTGTTTTGTGTACATAGAAATACAAATTGTTTACTCAGAAAGACAAATATTGCATCTTTTCTCTCCTATATAGATTCTAGATTTAATATACGTACATACATATATACATTCATGCATATATGTATGTGCAATACATACATATTCAATATGGGGTAAGGTGAGGGAACAGGGAAAGTAATGGAAAAGAAATTTTAAAAAAATTCCATTTTATCTACTATGCAGAATCTAGATTTAATTATATGTATGGACGACTATTACGGAGGAAGAAGAAAGAGAGAGGAAACAAAGAGGAAGATTCGTGGTGTGCATGTTTGGGTGTTTGTGTGTGTACAAGGTACAATAATATATATGCATGATAATTTCATAATGAAATGCATTACTTGTATTTATCCAAAAAATTAATTTAAATTAGGAAAACAAAATTACAAACCCTATGATCAGTAACTTCTCTGAAACTATAACAAACATGCCTAAAAATTAAAGCATCATTTTAATAAAGAAACATCTCTTAATACAATAATACTATATTGACTACAATTAAATAAACAAACTTAAGCTAATAGAAAGAACATATTTGTTAAAATAGAATGTTGACTGTAGATTATATATAATAATCTAGACCAAATGGAATTATATCAGGAATGTGAGATTAATCTGTGTTTGAAGATAAATGTAATTTACCTAATTAATAGACTGAAAACAGAAAATGCCTGATTATTTGGAAAGTTGTACCATGTCCATGCCTTAAAAGACTTACTATTGCCTTTATGTTTGTTCTAACTAAATTAGCACATAGATTTAATGAAATTCAAAATCTCAACAAAGATTCTCATAGAAATTGACCAGCTACATATTGAGTGAGGTGACCCAGAACCAGAAAGATAAATATGATATGTATTCACTCATAAGTGGCTTTTAGACATAAAGAAAAACAAACCTAAAATTCACAATCCCAGAGAACCTAGACAACAAAGAGGACCCTAAGAGAGACATATATGGATCTAATCTACATGGAAGTAGAAAAAACAAGATATCCTGAGTAAATTGGGAGCATGGAGATCATGGGAGAAGGTAGAAGGGAAGAGGGGAGAAAGTGGGGGGAGTGGAGAAAACTATATAGCTCAATAAAAACAATAAAAGAAAGAAATTGTTAAGCTTATTTTGAAATTTATGTGGAAATGAAAAGATTGAAATACCGTAGACAGTTTTGAAAATGCAATCTTAAATGGTTCAACACTGTCTATGGAGTGTAGATACTTTTCTATACCTGTAATAATAGAGGAATGTACTTCAGGTCAGGGTATCTCAATATCAGTACTACTGACATTTAAAACTGAATGTTCCTTTGTCATCGAATGCCACCATGTACATGAATAGGCTGTTGAACAGCATCACTGTCTTCTACCTACTCAATGCTGATAGCCTCCACAACCTCCATTTGTGATAACCAAAAATGTCTCCAAACACTGCCGAATATATCCTGCTGAATACATCCTGAGGACAAAATCAGTCCCAACTAAGAATCACTGAGTTTTGTATACAAATCAGTTGAACAGAAAAAAGCATGTAGAAATAGACCCACAAATGTGGTCAGTTGACTTTTGACACTGATACCAAGGTTTGGATAAAGAGTTGAAATCTTTAGATTTCTGTTGTAGACTTTTAAAATCCTTTAATCTTTTACTATGTATCAAAATTAATTTAAAATGTGTCATAAGCTACATGAAAGAGTTAAGACAACCTCCTAAAAGAAAACAAAAGAAAATTTGATTTTTCAGATAGGCAAATATTTCTTAAATAGACATGAGCTTAATGACTGGCTATGGTGAGTTAAACTATGAAAATTAATAAACATTCTTCAAAGACATGAGCAAAATAAAAGAACAAGGTTCTCAGATTAGGAGAAGCTGTATTTCCTAAGTAGAATTTTTTCCTGGCTCAGTGGCTTCTAACTGTCTCCTTTACATCTACTCAGCAGAAAAGTAAATATCTATTGTCACATGGTCTGCCTCCACTTTACCCAAAGTGTTCTTCATGCTCTGAGTCACTGCTTCTCTGTGCAGGTAGGATCACTGGCTATTGGACAGCTTGACACATACTAAAATCAAATTGTTAGCTGTTCTAATTTTGGTCATTTTCAAACTTAACTATAACACACAACTTCTTTCAACTTTTTTCATTTTATTGTGTGGGTACGCGCGTGTGTGTATGTGTGTGTCTGTCTGAGTGTGTCTGAGTGTATATGTGTACCACATGTGTGAACCTGTGGAAGTCAAATAGATCACCTGGAACTAGAGCTACAGACAGTTGTGAGCCACCATACTAACATGTGACTTTTTGTTTTAGTTTAGTTTAATTTTTATTATATTTGCTTATTTATGTATGGGCAATTGTAGGTTACTTATGGCATGTGCAGATGTCCAAGGACAACCTGTGGTAGTTGATTCTCTTTTTCTACCATGTTGATTCCACGTATCAAACTCAGGTTATCAGGTTTGGTAGCAAGTACCTTTCATCACTGAGGCAACTCTCTAGCCCCTCTAACATTCAACTTTGAGTTACTCTGAGTAACCTTATTCATAATAGAAATGCTTTCTCTCCAAAAGTTATAACCTTTTTGACTTGTTAAAATACCACCTCCATCTTTGATATCTTGTGATCATAATTATTAGGTGACATATTTCTATAGGGAGAATTTTAGGTCTTTATTAAACTACACTGAATTGGTCCTGAAGCAAGGCTTGCCATCTTCTTTACTCTGTCCTCCAGCATGGTGGGAAAAACAGTGGGACAGTATCAGAGACTCCACATTTGCATACAAGTGGCTGAATCTTCAGGGTAAACCTGTGCTGTCCAGTACAGTAGCTGTGAGCTATATTTTGCTGTTTGAATTTGAATTAATTTAATAAAGAATCCTGTTACTTAGTCATATTCACTGTGTTTCAGCAGGGCATACATGGTTTGCAGCTACTTTTGGGGAACAGAAGAAGTGCAATTCTGGGCAGACGTGATCTATAAGTGGTATTACCTATGCTTACCTCTTTACTGCAGGGAAGCAGCATACTGTGTTTATTACTGTTGTTTGTGTTTCCCTACGAGGCCAGTCAAGTCAAATCAAAGTTGCAGTGTCCATATCAAATGTAATTGAAATGTTTATTGTTCATACTTTGAAGAGATGTGCTTGGTGGTGGAGTCTTAAGATAAAAGCAGATATATGTAGACATAACTGAATGATTACCTTCCAGGCAGCTGAGACACTTCTAGAACATGGAGCAAACCCTAATCAGAAAGATCAGAAACAGAGGACTGCTTTGGAGGAAGCAGATGATGAAAAAATGAAAGACCTACTAAGATCTTATGGTGCTGTTGAAACCAGTAATGGAGATGAGATTGGCTCTACAGTGCCTGGTATACACGTCAGCATTACTTTCTGTTTTATAGAGGTGTATGTCTCTGCTTAGTAAAAGAAAACCTTTGCATATGTAATATGATGTTATTTCCTAACTTGGGGTAGATGTTTCTCTGTGTTCATTGAATTCTTAAATATTCATCATTTATTTCTAGGAATCAGTATTCTAAAATTTGATTTAGGGGCTTGGAGAGATGGCTCAGCAGTTAAAAGTACTAGATGCTCTTCCAAAGGACCCAGGTTCGATTCCCAGCAACCACATGGTGGCTCACAACCATCTATAACTCCAGTTCCAGGGTCTCTGATGCTCTCTTCTGGCCACTGTAGGCTGTATACACGTAGGCAAACACCCATACACATAAAATAAAAATAAATAAATCTCTAAAAATAGTAAGATTTATAGATCTTTTATTACTACTAGTTTTCCTTCCCCACCTTCCTTTTACATTTTTAAGTTTTAGTTCAAAGGGTGCTATTTTATTAATACTGTCATAGTATTATATCAAATTTTTTTCCTTAATTTTAAATTTTTTTATACAAATTTCTCCTGAGGGGCAGTGCAGTTAGACATTTGCCTCATGCTTGAATCTTACAATCATTTTGGAAGATCTGTCTCTAGGTTCACAAACTCTTCTGTGGCCCACTGGATGGTTACATTTGTTGTTACTGGTCTTCTAGAAAGAGTATCCTAGAATGTCATCAGAAACCACCTGTTTGAATGTCTGTGGGACTTGCTGGAGGTTTTGTACTTCTCTATCTTTGCACATTTTTATTCAGAAAGACACCCAACTGGCCATTGAACACATAACCTAGCAATGCAGAACGCCGTGGAGCATCAGCTATTCATCTGAGGGTTGCCTAGATGACTGGAAGCTGTTTGTAGCCTATACACCAAGAAAATGGATCAGCACATACTGCTTGCTAGGGGAGAGACCCAAATCCAAATTGATTTCTCCAGAATGTGTCCTACTCCTGCGCCATCATAAAGCTAAAACCCATGCAAGTCAAAACATTATTAAGTCTGGGCTATCTCTGACTGGAAGAAGCAATAATAGACAAGTGACATCATAGCTATAATTTATTGGTAAAATAAATAATAAGCAGCTATTAATATTTTTATTACCCAAACAGTATAAACTAGTGGTGTTAAATTCTGGGAGAAATTGGAGATTTAAGAACTAGTATGTGTATGTTGAAGATTGAAGGGCAAATAGAGCCTGGATATGGAGAAAGGAAGTCAGTGAAGAACCCTGTGGATGCAAGACAGTGTGAATGAGGAATGAGCGCTAGAAGCACAGGGCAGATGAACTTGGTGTGTGCTGTGTGAGAAAGGAGCAGTAAGGTACTTAAATGAAAGGCAGATTCATCCTGTTATCAAATATTACACATTTTAAATTATGTCTTCCATAGATAAGCTTTTTCTCCTACAATTCCCATCTCCAGGGCAGGGAGTTCGTAAGTGTAGTGTTAGGGATTGAACCAGGGATTGTGCGTGTGGATGTTAGGAAAGCCTTTATTACTAAGCTGCATTACCAAGCCCATATGATGCTGTTGGTTTGGGGTTGTTGGAGTGAAACACACACCAACTGTTAAACATTAACCTCCCTACCTTTGTTATGAGACAGATAATTGAGACCAAGCTGCTGATTTACTTGTAGAAGGGCCGGGAAATGTGACATTGTTTGAAAGCCCTTGCAGCTAAGATTTTATTACCTTAAAATTGTAATAATTCCTGAATTTGTTAGATTCATAATGAAGAGAATATTTCAAGAAGATGTATAGCTATGGAATTGTGATGCAGTAGTTCCTTCTTTATAGTGTTGGAAGAGAATTGTTTTCCCTTTTCCTCTTGATTAAACCTTGACTCAGAAGAAAGTCAGTAATGTGTCTGCTCTTGCTGTGGAGAATGCAGTAGTGAGAACATGTCTTCCCAGCCTACCATGCTCCTCACCAATTGAATTTTCAAGAATAGATGACTTGCTGATGTGATTGGTTAAAACCAAGAGTATTCAATATGTAATAATTTGTTAGTGATCTAGATCACATGAAGATCAAGGTTGGAATTACTAAAACTCTTCTCTCTCTTGGGTCCCCAGTGTTTTCTCCTCCTTTCTACAATCACACCTGGAGATTTTAGGACTCTGCTGTAAAGCACTTTCTCAGTCCCTATGTGTATTGTTTCTTGAATGTATTCTTTCTTGGTCAGATTCCCAGAGGAATGAGGAGCATAAAGTAATAGAGCATAGGGCAAAGGAACCCATAATAGGGGAAGAGCCCAGGAGAGCACCACAGAGCAATGAGTCCGAGCAGTTGAAAGCGTGGACTTGGATTCACATAACATCTGTTTACAGTAACCAACTGTGATACCGCACAATTTCCTGAACTTTTCTGACATTTAACTTCTATAACATTTGTAACAAACTACCTATCTCAAAGGGTTCATTGAATATTTGCTAAGATGTTACACTAAAAAATAATCTAGTATGTGATAAGAGCTCATAAAATGTTGCCATAGTTAATAGTAATGAGAAGCTACCTAGAATAAAACAATAATTGTAGTCTTAATTTATACCTTTCATCCTTATGACAGTTAAAACTGATAGAACAATATTTTGAACAGTCTTACTTTCCAACTTCATTTTCTTTAAAGTAAAACATCCTGCTCTCCGACCAAAAAGATATAAGCCATGTCCTTGTGATGATGGAAAAACCATTGCTCCTCCTTCCCCCTTACGCAAAGCGAAGAGAAGTGAAAACCTCCCTGCGGTGAGTGGCATTGAAGTTCTTTGATTCCTCAGCCTAGAAATACCATTCCTTTGACTAGCCAGCCATTGGGCCTTGACAGCAGTCATGGGTTTTCATGTCGATGGAACAGAGTGGGTTAAGAAGATATACTCTGATTAACTCTGTCTAGGGGAGTATAAATTAGCTGCTCTCCTTCCACCCTGCTCAAGTTATTTGACTGTTTCTTTGTCCACAGAAATTGCTCCTGTACATTGTGTCATCATTCACTCCCCAAACTATGACATGTAGTTCATATTTACAAATGAATCGATTTAATAATCATGATATTTTCAGTGGAAAACCACTAAGTTTATTCCACAAACTTAATTAAGGTACCATCTTCAATATTATTTTGGATATGACTTAGTCCGTTGTGTTGAAGATTGGGTACATCTACAATATAAGCAAGATAGGAAAGTCTTGCACAGATAATACCTTTTTGTAGATGTTTAGCCTGGGCACAAATTTAGACCTTCTGTTTGCCTCTGTAATCATAAACACTTTACCGATAGACCTTATGGTTTTTGGGTTTTTTTTCAGTTTCATATTTTGTAGTTTTACTGTGATGCATTTAATAAATGGCAGCTCAAAGATTGCTTTCCCGGGTCTAGTAAGACACCTCACTGGGTGAAGGCACTTCCCACCTAGTCTGACAACTTGAGTTCCATCCCTAAAATCCACGTGTAGAAAGACAGGACCAACCTCTGAAAGTTGCACACACACACAAATAAATGTAGAAATTTGTCTATAAATTACCAAATGATTTTATTCTTTGTATATTCCACATTCCTTGTAAACACCAGAGTAAGAGTTTGGGGCAGTATACTTTAGGAGGCTGTGACACATAATAAAAATCATAAATATTTATTGAGAATTTATGAAAAGATAGATCGTATGAGTCAGCCCACGAATCATTACTTATGCATGACAGTTATGTACACAGGATTTTGGAAAGCATACACAAAAATAAAAAAAACATGTTTCTGCTTCTAACAACAAATGAGAAAATGTTTTGTAAAAGGCATTACGTGGTCCTGAAATAATATATTAACTTACCAAAAGATAATCATAAGGATTATGTTTAGCAGAGGTTTTCTGTATGAGATAGATTTTATGGAACAATAATAACCAATTTTTTTGAGTTCTTAGTTTATAATACTGTTGTTGTTCACATTTTACATGAATAGATCCTCTCAGCTCAGGGATAGGAGGAAGAACCTGCTGCAGTCAGTCAGCTGGGAAGAAGCGGGGCCAGGAGCACACACAGGCAGCCTGACTCTGGAGCCCACTGCATGGTTCTCAGAAGAAAGAGGGAACTAGGCAGAGTGAGCTGAGTGCATTCCGGCAGGAATTCATATCGCCACGCTCACAAAGTCATAGAGCTAAACCATTTCTTGTGCCTTTTCAGAGTAGTGTTTGATATATCTAGGACTGTGTGTGGGATTTTAATAATATACAGAGACAGCCCCCCCCCCCCTTGCTCCATTCATCCTGTTGGCCCTGGATCATTGGGCTACCGGCGGCCCTGTTTAGTTGCTGAGGAATCCCATCAGGACGGGTGAGTGTGTGCTACCCAGGGGCGGGCGGACTGTCCCGGAAGAGAGCACAACCCCCCTCCCCCAGCTCCTTCTGCAGGGCTGTCTTTCTTTCGCACGACCCAGCACCCCCAGCACCCCTCCCCAACCCTGCCCCGCTGTATGCTAGGACCAGTGCTCAACTACAGTCTTAAGCTCCTAAACTAAGGCGACCCACCCAGAGCGGTGAGTGCCTGCCAGCCGGGCAGGCCTCAGGGTCCCCTGTAAGGGAGCTGGGCACCTCCAGCTCCGGTGCCAGGCTTCCTGCGTGCTCCTGGATACCACCCCCCCCCACACTTGCTCCATTCATCCTGTTGGCCCTGGATCATTGGGCTACCGGCGGCCCTGTTTAGTTGCTGAGGAATCCCATCAGGACGGTTGAGGAGGAATCCCATCTGGACGGGAACGGTTCCTGCTTCTACACTGAAGAGATATACCCTGAGAGTCAATCACAGCAAAGTCTGGACCAAGAGACCAGGCCTCTCCTGGCTCCATTTGAAGGAAGAGATGGGAAGGCGCCAATACAAGAATTCCTCCAATAATCTGAAAGGCAACATGACACCACCAGAAACCAGGGATCCCGAAATAAGAATTGTACACCCTACTCCTGAAGAAATAGAAGAAATCGACTCAAAAGTGAACTATATGAAAATAATAGAGGACCTTAAACAGGAGGTGAAAAACTGCCATAAACAATTAGAGATTACAAACAAAAAGGTAGAGGAAATGAATAAATCGCTCAAAGACACGCAAGAAAACCAAGAGAAACAAGAAAAAGCAATCAAACAGGTTAGGGAAGCGGTTCAAGACATGAAGAATGAAATGGAAGCAATGAAGAAAGCACAAACCGAGGGAAGAATGGAGATGGAAAATCTGGGTAAACGAACAGGAATGACAGAAACAAGTACTAACAACAGATTACAAGAGATAGAAGAGAGAATATCAGACACTGACGATACCATAGAAAAAATAAACACACTGATCAAAGAAAACAGCAAAACCAACAAATTCTCATCACAAAACATTCAGGAAATTTGGGACACAATAAAAAGACCAAACCTAAGAATAATTGGAGTAGAAGAAGGAGAAGAAGTGCAGCTCAACGGTACAGAAAATATACTTAATAAAATTATAGAAGAAAACTTTCCCAACCTGAAGAAAGAGGTACCTATGAAGGTTCAAGAAGCATACAGAACACCAAATAGGCTGGATAAAAAAAAAACATCCCCTCGCCATATAATAATCAAAACACAAAATACACAGAATAAAGAAAGAATATTAAGAGCCGCAAAGGAAAAAGGCCAAGTTACTTATAAAGGTAAACCTATCAGACTTACACCTGACTTCTCTATGGAAACCATGAAAGCCAGAAGGTCCTGGATAGATGTACTGCAAAAACTAAGAGATCATGGATGCAAGCCCAGACTACTATATCCAGCCAAGCTTTCGTTCACTATAAATGGAGAAAACAAAATTTTCCAGGATAAAAACAAATTCAAACAATACGTAGCCACAAATCCAGCCTTACAGAAAATTATAGAAGGAAAATCACTAACCAAGGAGTCCAACAATGCCCACAATAACTCAGTCATTTAGAGACCTTTCACCAGCGCAACTCAAAGAAGGGAAACACACAAACCCTACTACTAAAAAAGTGACCGGAGTTAACAACCACTGGTCATTAATATCACTTAATGTCAATGGGCTCAACTCACCTATAAAAAGGCACAGGCTAAGGGATTGGATACGAAAACAGGATCCAACGTTCTGCTGTCTACAAGAAACACACCTCAACCACAAAGACAGGCACCTACTCAGAGTAAAGGGCTGGGAAAAGGCTTATCAAGCAAATGGTCCTAAGAAACAAGCAGGTGTGGCCATACTAATTTCTAACAAAGTTGACTTCAAACTTAAATCAATCAGAAGAGATGGAGAGGCACATTTTATACTCATAACAGGAACAATTCATCAGGATGAAGTCTCAATCCTGAATATCTATGCCCCGAATATAAAACGCCCACGTATGTAAAAGAAACATTACTAAAACTCAAGGCAGACATCAAATCACATACACTAATAGTAGGAGACTTCAACACTCCTCTCTCACCAATGGACAGGTCAATCAAACAGAAACCTAACAGAGAAATTAGAGAATTAATGGAGGTAATGAAGCAAATGGACTTAACAGACATCTATAGATTATTCCACCCGAAGAGGAAAGAATATACCTTCTTCTCTGCAGCTCATGGAACCTTCTCGAAAATTGACCACATACTCGGTAACAAAGCTAACTTACACAGTTACAAAAAAATATTAGTAACCACCTGTGTCTTATCAGATCACCATGGATTAAAGTTAGAATTCAACAACAATGCTACCCCCAGAAAGCCTACAAACTCGTGGAAACTGAACAGTCAACTTCTGAAACATACCTGGATTAAGGAAGAAATAAAGAAAGAAATTAAAGTCTTCCTTGAATTCAATGAAAATAAAGAAACAACATACTCGAACTTATGGGACACTATGAAAGCAGTGCTAAGAGGAAAGTTCATCGCACTAAGTGCCCACTTAAAGAAAACAGAGAAAGCACATATTGAAGACTTAACAGCCCACCTGAAAGCTCTAGAAAAAAAAGAAGCAGACTCACCTAGGAGGAGTAGAAGATTGGAAATAATCAAACTGAGGGCTGAAATCAACAAAATAGAAACACAGAAAACAATCCAAAGAATCAATGAAACAAAAAGCTGGTTCCTGGAGAAAATCAACAAGATTGATAAACCCCTATCCAAACTAATCAAATGGCAGAGAGAGAATACGCAAATTAATAAGATCAAAAATGAAAAGGGGGACATAACCACAGACACAGAGGAAATTCAGAGAATCATCAGATCATATTACAAAAGCCTGTATAACACAAAACTGGAAAATGTAAAAGAAATGGACACTTTTTTAGATAAATACCATATACCAAAGTTACACCAGGACCAGGTGAACAATCTAAACAGACCTGTTGGTCGCGAAGAATTAGAAGCTGTTATCAAAAACCTCCCTACCAAAAAAAGCCCAGGACCAGATGGTTTCAATGCGGAATTCTACCAGAACTTCCAAGAAGAGCTAATACCCATACTCCTTAATGTATTCCACAATATAGAAACAGAAGGGTCATTACCTAATTCCTTTTATGAAGCTACAGTTACTCTGATACCAAAACCACACAAAGACTCAACCAGGAAAGAGAATTACAGGCCAATCTCACTCATGAACATCGACGCAAAAATCCTCAACAAAATACTGGCAAACCGAATCCAAGAACACATTAGGAAAATTATCCATTATGATCAAGTAGGCTTCATTCCTGAGATGCAGGGCTGGTTCAACATACGAAAATCTATCAATGTAATCCAGCATATAAATAAACTGAAGGAAAATAACCATATGATCATCTCATTAGATGCTGAAAAAGCATTCGACAAAATTCAACATCCATTTATGTTAAAAGTCTTGGAGAGATTAGGGATACAAGGGTCATACCTAAATATAATAAAAGCTATATACAGGAAGCCGACAGCTAACATCAAATTAAATGGAGAGAAACTCAAAGCCATCCCGCTTAACTCAGGAACACGACAAGGATGTCCACTCTCTCCATACCTCTTCAATATAGTACTTGAAGTTCTAGCAATAGCAATAAGACAACATAATGGGATCAAGGGGATTCGAATTGGAAAGGAAGAAGTGAAACTTTCGTTATTCGCAGATGATATGATAGTGTACTTAAGCGACCCCCAAAACTCCACCAAAGAACTTTTACAGCTGATAAACACCTTTAGTAATGTGGCAGGATACAAGATCAACTCCAAAAAATCAGTCGCCCTCTTATACACAAAGGATAGGGAAGCAGAGAGGGAAATCAGAGAAGCTTCACCATTCACGATAGCCACAAACAGCATTAAATATCTTGGGGTAAATCTAACCAAGGAAGTGAAAGATCTATTTGACAAGAACTTTAAGGCATTGAAGAAAGAAATTGAAGAGGATACCAAAAAATGGATGGATCTACCTTGCTCTTGGATTGGGAGGATCAACATAGTAAAAATGGCAATTCTACCTAAGGCAATTTATAGATTCAATGCAATCCCCATCAAGATCCCATCAAAATTCTTCACAGATCTGGAGAGGACAATAATCAACTTTATATGGAAAAACAAAAAACCCAGGATAGCCAAAACAATCCTATACAATAAAGGATCTTCTGGAGGCATTACCATTCCTGACTTCAAACTCTATTACAGAGCTACAGTAATGAAAACAGTGTGGTACTGGCATAAAAACAGAGAAGTCGACCAATGGAATCGTATAGAAGACCCGGATTTTAACCCACAAACCTATGAACACCTCATTTTTGATAAAGGAGCTAAAAGTATACAATGGAAGAAAGAAAGCATCTTCAACAAATGGTGCTGGCACAACTTGATGTCAACCTGTAGAAGAATGAAAATAGACCCACATCTTTCACCGTGCACAAAACTCAAGTCCAAATGGATTAAAGACCTCAATATCAGCCCGAACACACTGAAAAGGATAGAAGAGAAAGTGGGAAATACCCTACAACAGATGGGCACAGGAGATCGCTTCCTATGTATAACCCCAGAAGCACAGACATTAAGAGCAACATTGAATAAATGGGACCTACTAAAACTGAGAAGCTTCTGCAAAGCAAAGGACACTGTCACTAAGACACAAAGGCAACCTACTGACTGGGAGAAGATCTTCACCAACCCCGCAACAGACAAAGGTCTGATCTCCAAAATATATAGAGAACTCAAGAAACTAGACTTTAAAATGCTAATTAACCCAATTAAAAAATGGGGCACTGATCTGAACAGAGAATTCTCAACAGAAGAAGTTCAAATGGCCAAAAGACACTTAAGGTCATGCTCAACTTCCTTAGCAATCAGGGAAATGCAAATCAAAACAACTTTGAGATATCATCTTACACCTGTGAGAATGGCTAAAGTCAAAAACACCAACGATAACCTTTGCTGGAGAGGTTGTGGAGGAAGGGGTACCCTCATCCATTGCTGGTGGGAATGCAATCTTGTGCAACCACTATGGAAGTCAGTGTTTCGGTTTCTCAGGAAATTCGGGATCAACCTACCCCTGGACCCAGCAATACCACTCTTGGGAATATACCCAAGAAATGCCCTATCATATGACAAAAGCATTTGTTCAACTATGTTCATAGCAGTATTATTTGTAATAGCCAGAACCTGGAAACAACCTAGATGCCCTTCAATGGAAGAATGGATGAAGAAAGTATGGAATATCTACACATTAGAGTACTACTCAGCGGTAAAAAACAATGACTTCTCGAATTTTGCTTGCAAATGGATGGAAATAGAAAACACTATCCTGAATGAGGTATCCCAGACCCAAAAAGATGAACATGGGATGTACTCACTCATAATTGTTTTCTAGCCATAAATAAGGGTCACGGAGTCTACAATATGTGAATCTAAAGAAGCTAAGTAAGAAGGGGAACCCAAGGAAAAACATATAGTTATCCTCTTGGCTAAGGGAAGTAGACAAAATTGCCGGGGAGAAAATTGGGATCTTGGGGTGGGGTGGGTTGGGGGTAAGGGGAGATGGGGAGAGAAAAGTTAGAAGGGAAGGAGGTCGGGCCTTGGGAAAGCAGGAGGATTGGGATAAAGGAAGGTTGGACAGGGGAGCACGGAACCACAATTCTTAGTTAAGGGAACCACTTTAGGGTTGGCAAGAGACCTGACCCTAGAGGGGCTCCCAGGTGCCCAAGCTGAGGTCCCCAGTTAGTTCCTTGGGCAGTTGAGAATAGGGAACCTGAAATGACCCTATCCTTGAGCAATACTGACGAATATCTTGCATATCATCATAGAACCTTCATCTGGTGATGGATGGAGATAGAGACAGAGACCCACACTGGAGCACTGGACTGAGTTTCCAAAGTCCCAATGAGGAGCAGAAGGAGGGAGAACATGAGCAAAGAAGTCGGGAACACGAGGGATGCACCCACCCACTGAGACACTGGAGCTGATCTATTGAGAGCTCACCAAGACCAGCTGGACTGTGACTGAAAAAGCATGGGATAAAACTGGACTCTCTGAACATGGCGAACAATGAGGGCTGATGAGACGCAAAGGACAATGGCACGGGGGTTTGATCCTACTTCATGTTCTGGCTTTGTGGGAGCCCAGCCAGTTTGGATGTTCACCTTCCTAGATATGGACGGAGGTGGGAGGTCCTAGGTCTTACCACAGGGCAGAAAACCCTGACTGCTCTTTGGACTGGAGAGGGAGGGGGAGAAGGGTGGGAGGAGGGGGCGTAGGGGGGGAGGAGGGGGAGGGAAATGGGAGGCTGGGAGGAGGTGGAAACTTGTTTTTTTTTCTCCTTTTCTCAATAAAAAAAAAATAAACATCCCGTCTAAACCTAAAAAAAAAAAAATATACAGAGACAGTCATGAAGTCTTAAAGTGAACTTTTGCATATGTGATCATAAAATAGTATATGTTGGGTTGGGGTTTTTTCTACTATAGCTATAATTTCAAATGAAGTAAAAAAATGATATAATTCCTTGTATAGTTACTCCTTTTCTTCTGTTTTTCAGTAGAGCTAAATCAAGATATATTTAAATTGTTTATGTCTTCAACATTCATTTATTTAAAGTTACATAAAACATAAGTGCATTTTGAGAGCAAAGACAGATGAGATTTTAAGCTATGTTTATTTGTATTTATCAGACTGTCTGAACGTACATCTTTCCTTTTTTTTTTTTGTTATTTGGATTTTTTGAGACAGGTTTTCTCTGTGTAGCTTATCCTGGAACTTGCTCTATAGACCATGCTGGCCTCGAACTCTGCCTCCCGAGTGCTGGTGTGCCACCACCACCCAGAAACATGTTCCTTCTTATAATGGAATTCCTAACGTTTTTATCTGGCAGCATCAGACCATCAGTGCTATTTTACAAGACATAGAAGAAAAACAAGAAAACTTATTAAAGCTTGAAATAAGAGACTCTGAAGATGCAGGTAAATATGTATTTCTTATTTCAAAGTTCATTATAGCTGAGAGTGCGGACTCGTGTGTGTGTGTGTGTGTGTGTGTGTGTGTGTGTGTGTGTGTGTGTGTGTTTTCAGGCAGTCAGGCCATGGCGCATGGATGGAGATCAGAAGACAACCTCAGGTGTGTTGGTCTTCATCTTCCATCTTGTTGACACAAGGTCTCTGTGTGACTTGCTGCTGAGTTATGCCTACCAGGCTAAGTAACCCAGGAGTTTCCTGGATTTCTCCCGTCTGCACCCCCCCCATCTCTCCTTGGGTGCACTGGGGTTGTAGACACATACACCCACACCTGGGTTTATGTGGACTCTAGGGATTTGTACTTGGTTCCTCATATATGGCAGGTTCTTTCACCGACTGAGCCATTTCTCCAGCCCTACATAGACTTTTAAAAAATATGACAGTATCTAAGGTGCTCAAACTTTAACGTGAGTCAGTAATGCAAACAAGTAATTTCTGGAATTTTTGACACAGACATTTCTGTGCAAAGTCAAAATATCATGCATCATGTGAGAGGCGTTCTGGACCGTAATAAGAGGTAAACAGCTACGAAGGATATGTTCAGATGAAGGTGTGGCTTCATCCTTAAGCCCAGAATTAAGGAGTGTTGAGCTTGCTGCTCTTTGATGCTGTCTTAGCTTTCCTACTACTGTGATGAAAGCACGCTTATCCCCTAAAGTATTGGCTCTGATAAATAAGTACACAGTATCCATTTACATGTGAAATATCTTCATGACCTTTCTTCCAGCAGCAGACTACATTGTGCTACTGTGGTATTATTTTTAATATCTGAAATTGAAAATTCAGTTAGAAAACCCAATGTTAAGGATGTGTGTATAAGCAAATTTATTTCTAAATTTTTAATGATTTCACACATTTTGCTCTGTTGTTAGCATATAATTCATACAAAAACTAATTCTTCACCATAGTATTAGAAAGATAGAAACTCCCCTGAGGACACTGACCCTAGATTTTTCTAGTCATTTGGTTTGCACATGGAGATTCTGTGAAGCTCAGGCATCCAATTAATGGTGCTGTTGGTTATTTTTGATCTTTTTATTATTTTTGATCTTTTTATTATTTTGGCTCTTTTGGGGGAAGGCCCACTACCCAGCTTTCAGTAAACCACACACAGAGCCACAGAGTCTTATCTTTTTTCTAGTTTTTTTTTTTTTTTTTTTTGGTGCTCTGTTTGGTTTTGGTTTGGGTTTTGCTTTTTTGTTTGTTTTTCAAGACAGAGTTTCTCTGTGAAACAGTCCTAGCTGTCCTAGAACTCAGTCTGTAGACCAGGCTGGCCTCAAACTCACTGAGATCCGCCTGCCTCTGCCTCCCAAGTGCTGAGATTAAAAGCATGTGCTAACACTGCCTGGCTGACTTATTCTTAATTAAGAGTGCCCAGCCTTAGCTTGGCTTGTTCCAAACCAACTTTTCTTCGCTTAAATTATCCCAGCTTCCTTTTGCCCGGGCCTTTTTCTTTTCTTACTTCTATATATTATATTTCTTCTTAACTCCATGGCTGGCTGGGTAGCTTGGTGACTGGCCCCTACCATCCTCCTCCCTTTGTTCTCTTGCTGCTCCCCTTTTCCTTGTTTCTCCTTCTATTTATACTCCCTGCCTGCCAGTCCCACCTATTCATGCTCCTGCCTCACTATTGGCCATTCAGCTCTTTATTAGACCATCAGGTGTTTTAGACAGGCAAAGAATCACAGCTTCACAAAGTTAATCAAATGCAGCATAAAAAAGCAACACATCTTAAAATAATTTCCCCAATGTTTCCCCATTTTGTTTTTCTAAACAAACATGAAAAGTTTTAACTTTAACAGAGTAAGATTGTATAAAATAAGACAATTACCAAATAAAGATTACATTCACAGTGTACTGAATTGCAAATTATTTGTGTCTGGTAAATTTTAAGAAAATAATTCATAATCTATCCTATCTTGGTAAATCCAAAATTTTATACTTAACTTACTTTTTATCATATTTAAGAAAAACTGTATGTATAGCTGTCTAATCTCCAATTCCATCAAAGGCACCAGGAGGATATATTATTTAAGTAAGAAAAAAAGTGCATTACAAACAACTCCACAAACTCAAGAGATGACATGAATATCTGTCTGCCTCGACAGTCATCCCAAATTTCTTTGCAACGTTGGGGCATCCATCCTCAGCCTTCAGGCCCAAAGTATCTGAGAGACTTTTCAATGAAGCAGAAAATTTGACAGACTGTCCCACCTATATTGGCAGTTTGTCAGTCACTTTACTCTGTGTCCTGCAGAATGTCTGACAGTTTCTTCTGTGAAGTAGTAGCCCTGAAGGATCATCCTGCCTTGTTTTGGCAAAGTTTAGCAGTTACTTTCCTGTGAGTTCTGCATGCCTAGTTTATACAACATATTGTCAAGCAGTCCAGGCAAGAGCAGCTTCTTGCCCGAATGGCTAGCCACATTGAAAGAAAACTACATAAGGAGTTTATTTGATGCCTGAAGTAATTTTCTGAAGTAAATTGGTGCTGCCAGGAGCAGATGTGTCTCATTATCATAAAAATCCCTAAATTAACAAAACATTTTAAATGCCATATTCTGTAGGTGTTTGAAAGGTTTGAAGACCATCTATCTACCTAAAATATATCTTTATATGGTATGGAAAACATACCTAACATATCTATAATTTTTATTATTGTAGAGGACTAAATACTGACCTGTGTTTGTTGATTATCCTAAATAGTTCATCATTATAGCTATCAAAAACAAGGATTTTACCTTACATTTTTAAATGAATTGCCTAAGTAAAATACCTTAAACAGAAGTAGAAACATACATATAATATATTGTAACATAATAACCTTAAATTGGTATCAATACACAAAAATCCTTGTTTAAAAAATAGAAACCTTGCTGGGTGGTGGTGGCACACACCTTTAATCCCAGCACTAGGGAGGCAGAGGCAGGCGGATCTCTGGGAGTTCGAGGCCAGCCTGGTCTACAAGAGCTAGTTCCTGGACAGGCACCAAAGCTACAGAGAAACCCTGTCTCAGGGAAAAAAATTAGAAACCTTGTTTCAAGAATAGAAACATATACAGTGTGTTGTAATAAAAATTACCTTAAATTTGTATCATTATACAAAAGTCCTTTAAACAAGAGTAAAAACATATATACAGTATAACAAAATTGACTTTGAATTTGTATTCATATACCAAAATCCATGCCAAGACAAAATATCTGAGATTAATAGTGATATTTTTATCCTATATTCCTACATTCCCCTAAATGACAGCAAACATATAACCAAAGACCTCCCACACTCCCTTTTCTCTTGGAAATGTGGGTGCAGACCTCTCCATACTGCTTTCTGCTGACTGTGGGTGACGACTTTTTTAGGGTCCCTGAGAAAATTTGAGTTAATGACCAAGTCCTAGGAAGACCAGCAGTAACCTTTGTTGATAGATATAACCTGTCAAGTCTCCCCTGATACATATCAATCTGGAACAAATTCACAGCCTCCTGTTTCCTGTGAAAACAAAACAAAACAAACAAAAAAACGCTTCTCCAAAGTAAAGCATCTTTTAAGTTCCATTTTACAAATACATTTTTTGACTTCTATTTTAAAGTTAAGGCATTCCTAAAGTATATAGATTGGCTTACTTCCACACTTCCTTTCAATCCCATGTCTCTTAGCAGCTGTTCTTTGCTTATCATTCTAAAGATTCAAAATCAGCACAATAGCCTACAAGATCCAGATTCCCTGTGTATTTCCCATCTCTGAGTGGCTTATTGGTTTTTTTTTTTATTACTTTTACTCTCTTTAAAGACTTTAATTTTTAAATTTTAAACTTATTTCTTTCGATAACTGTCCATACCCTTTGTCTCTCTTTCTTAAGTCACTGTAAAACACACTGATTAAAGGTTTTTCCATCTGGACCTTTTTGGTGAGTATCTCTTAGTCTTTTTTGACTGCATGAGCAACATTAGACTGTTAAGAAACACCTGATCCTCCTCTTGCCATAAGAGCTGACTCTGCCACTCTTGGATCAGGTCATGAAAGGCAAGCCTAAAGCTTGTGCCAAGTTGGAGTTGCGTGACCAGGAACTGCATTCAACCTTCCTAGAGCTCTAGAATGCTGATGCTTGCGGTGCCACAGGCATTTTTACTTCTTTTGTTGTTGTTGTTGTTCCTACTTAATTTACTGGCTGGTCAAGGGCTGGCCAGCAGACACAAACTCTTAAATAAGCTGTATAATTTTTTTAAAAACTTTTTTGGTTTTCTTAGGCCCTACATGGAGATACAGCCTCACATTGAGCACCAAAATGTTGTTGGTTGTTTTTGATCTTTTTATTCTTTTAGTGGGGAAGGGGGGGGTACCACCCAGCTTCCAAGTAAACCATACACAGAGGCTTATTCTTAATTATAAGTGCCCAACCTTAGCTTGGCTTGTTTCTTGCCAGCTTTTATTAAATTATCATGACTACCTTTTGCCTCTTGATTTTTTTCCTTTTCTTATTTCTATATATCTTATATCCTTCTTCCTTCATGACTGGCTGGGTGGCTTGGTGACTGGTCCCTGACATCCTCCACCCTTTGTTCTCTTGTTTTCTTCCTTTTCCTTGTTTCTCCTTTTATTTATACTCCCTGCCTGCCAGCCCCACCTATTCATGCTCCTGCCTTACTATTGGCCATTCAGCTCTTTATTAGTACCATCAGGTGATCACAGCTTCATGCAGTTAAATGCAGTATAAAAAAGCAACACATCTTAAAATAATGATTTTAAGTTTAGTTATCTAAGAGAAAAGGGCAGCCGTTCAAAAAACATTAACAAAGATCTTAAGAAACAAATACAAAAGTTAAATCAATGGCAGGTAGATTAGTGGGAATGCCATGCATTAATTTCAGCCTTTCAGTTCTTACTTGGGAATATGGATTTGGGCATAATCCACATTTATGTATGTAAGTCAGACTCCTACCAGTGATACTGTGTTGCTGTCTTTCTTTGGGTACCATTTTTCTCCTTCCAGAAAATGCACTTTATACATCATCAGTGTCCGCTCCTTGAGACCAGGGGCCAAAGTAATGTCTCAGGAACATAGATCCAACATGCTTTTATCCTCTTTCATGGTCACCATTCTGTAGTGTAGAAAATAATCTTCAAAAATAAAAGAAGAGTTAGTGTAATTATTTGAAACTTTGAAGAAAAGTTGAATTCTTGAAGGATAAAAAGAAGAATGATGGAACTTTGACCTTTAATTAAGCCATGTTTCCAGGCTGATAGATAAACTATCAGTCTTTTTGCAAAGACTAGAAAGAAAGTTGCTTCCCATAGAAGTGGTCATTATTTTCCTCAGAGAGCATGGTCTTTGTTCTAGAAATAATAAACATGATGTATTGACAACATGCATCACTTTCATCTGTAGACTGAATACCTTGTCTTGTTTTCACTGTATGTGGTTTGCTTGAGGATTGTTTGGGAATGTCTTGTTTTATGATATTCATATGCTTTTGAAAAATAGTTGGGAGTTCCAAATTATAGTGCATAACATTTTATTTATGGAAAATTAATATTCAGTCATTTTAGCCAAAATAGTGAGCTTCAGTTTCAGTAAGGAGTCGAAGCTTTTGTTTTAGTGAGGGACCGTGTCTCAAAAAAAAAAAAAGGTGAAATCCAATGAATTCCCTCGGGGCTTGTTGCACAAGTCTGGCAACCTGAATTCCATCTGTCCTCCACATGCCTATGTATGGTGTGTGTATCTGTCTGTCTGCACATAGACATCTGCATATATCACATATACACAACATCACCACATGCAAGACAGACAAGAAGAAAAGATAGCTGATCATAGAAAGCCCACGAATCCCAGCTCCTAGACCGTAAGTCAATAGGGTCCTGCAGAATTAGAATGTAAGATGGACTGCTCTCTCTTGGTACAGTGTTATCTGAGTACCTCATGCATTTCATAAGGATGATATAATCAGATAAGCCTTGATTTGACTATGTAGGCCACTTATGTTAGAAAGTTGGCTGGGAATAATGAGTTTAAACCCTAACTCAAAAAATAGATGTTGAGCCAAGTGGTAGTGGCACATGCCTTTAATCCCAGCACTTGGGAGGCAGAAGCAGGTGGATTTCTGTGAGTTTGAGACCAGCCTGATCTACAGAGCTAGTTCCAGTACAGGCTCCAAAGCTACAGAAAAACCCTGTCTCAAAACAAAAAAAACAACCTTGGATGACCAGATTCAGATTAAGCATTTAACTGTTCTTCAATTAACTGACCTTTTATTTTATCACTGTGTTTCTAGAACAATACATTGGAAAGATGTTAGAGATAAAAGAAATTATGGATGATATACTTGCTCAACAGAAGACAGAAAGGGATGATCTAGCTAAAAAATACAGGTGAGTAGGGAAAAGGACTTGGAGCCATTTAAATTATTATAATGCCAGAGTTTAGATTTGGAATGTTTCCCAAAGGCCCATGTATTAAAAGTGTAGTTTCAAGGTTGGTTCTATCAGAAGGTGGTGGGACCCAGAAGGAAGTTTTCCGTTTGTTGGGGGTACAAACACCTTTTGTATGATGGAACCCTAGCCCCTTCTTCCTCTCTTTTGCATCTTGACCATAAGGTGAATAGCTTTGTTTTGTCACACACTCTTGCCATGGTGTGTGGCCTCACCACAGGACAAGAATAGTAAGCTGGCGATGACTGAAACCTCCAGAAGTCTGACCCCAAAACAAATTTGGGGATTTGTTACAGCCACTGAAAGCTGGCTGATATTAGTAGTTAGGCTGAGATATCTCTTTTAAATCTCTGATTAAATCTGTTCTCTGACAGCATTATTTCAGTTTCTAGCTTCTCACTAGTGCCCATAGTGGTGGCACCAGTTTTCACTCCCAACAGTAACACACAAGGGTTCCTCTGTCCCTATATCTTCTCCTGCATTGGTTGTCATTTTTGAAGATTGTTATTCTAACTAGGGTGGGATGGAATCTCAAAGTGTTTTAATTTTCATTTCCCTGGTAGGAAATGTGTTTTAACTTTGTTAGAAATGTTTATTAGCCATTTGTATTTCTTCTTTTGAGAATTCTCTGTTCCAACACATGGTACATTTTTAAAAAATAGGTTGTCTTCTTGATGCTTGGCTTATTTCCTCCTTGTATATTGTAGAATTGATCCTCTGTTGGATATATAGATGGCAGATATTTCTCTTATTGTATGGGATGCCTGTTCACCTACTTAATCTCCCTTGCCGGACAGAAGGTTTTAAATTTCATCAGCTATCATTTGTCTGTTATTGGATGTATTTTCTGAAGGACTGCAATCCTGTTAAACAGTCTTTCTCTATTTCTGTTGTTGTAGGGCACTTCCCATGTTTTCTCTAGAAGTTTCAGAGTTTCGGGTTTTATGTTGTAGTCTTTGATAAACTTGGAGGTGATTTTTGTGTAGAGTGAGGAAAGGGGATCTAGTTTCCTTCTTCTACACACAGACATCTAGCTTTTCTAGCATTAATTCCTTGAACATGCTGTCTTCTCTCCAATGAGTATCTTTGGCAAAGATGAGGTAGCTGAAGTTACATGGGCTTGTGAATTTCTTTCTGGTCATGAATTCTGGAGTTAAGTTTCTTTCCTACATGTGATGGTTAATTTCATCAAACTGACTCAGTGTGGAGTCACCTGGGAAGAAAGCCTCACAGAGGAATTATCTAGATCAGGTTAGCCTGTGGGCATGTATGTGAGGGATTATCTTGATTGTTAATTGATGTAGGAGGATCAAGCTCAGGGCAGGCAACACCATTTTAGAGGATGGGCCCTGCATTATATGAGAGGAGAATGCTAATGAAAACCATGGGTGCGTGCTCTTCTTTCTGCCATTCGCTGCATAAGTGGTGGGATCAACTGTCCCAAGCTCATGCCTCAGTGAGTTTTCTGAGTATTATAACTTAGAATTGTAAACTGAATAAACCCTTTTCTTTCCTGTGTTGTCTTTGGTCTGGTTACTGGTCAAATTAACTAAGCTACTGAAATTTTCATTAATTCAGTTTCAAGGTTTTTGTTTGTTTGTTTTTGTTATTGAGACAGAGCTTCTCTGTGTAGCCCTAGCTGTCCTGGAACTCACTCTGTAGACCAGGCTGGCCTCGAACTCACAGAGATTCACCTCCCCTTCTGCCCTCTCCCATGATCCCCACGCTTCCAATTTACTCAAAAGATCTTGTCTTTTTCTACTTCCTATGTAGATTATATCTATGTATGTCTCTCTTAGGATCCTCTTGTTGTCTAGGTTCTCTGGGATTGTGAACTGTAGGATTGTTTTACTTTGCTTTGTGTCTAAAAGTCAATTATGAGTGAGTAAATATTATATTTGTCTTTCTAGGTCTGGGTTACCTTACTCAATATGTTTTCTAGATCCATCCGCACAAATTTCAAGATGTCATTATTTTTTACCACTGTGTAGTACTCCATTGTGTAAATGTACTGCATCTTTTTTATCCATTCTTTGGTCAGGGACATTTAAGTTATTTCCAGGTTCTGCTGCTATGAACATAGTTGAGCACATGTCCTTATGGTATGATTGAGCATCCTTTGGGTATATACACAAAAGTGGTTTATCAAGGTCTTGGGGTAGGTTGTTTCCTAATTTTCTGAGAAGTCGCAATACTGATTTCCATAGTGACTGTACCAGTTTGCGCTCCCACCAGCAATGTAGGAGTGTTCCCTTTACCCCACAACCTCTGCAGCATAAGTTGTCATCAGTGTTTTTGATCTTGGCCATTATTACAGGTGTAAAATAGACTCTCAGAGTTGTCTTGATTTGCATTTCTCTGGTGGCTAAGGATGTTGAGCATTTCCTTAAGTGTCTTTCAGCCATTTTAGATTCCTCTGTTGAGAGTTCTTTGTTTAAGTCTGTATCCATTTTTTTATTAAATTATTTGTTCTTTTGATGACCAATTTCTTAAATTATTTGTATATTTTGGAAATCAGACCTCTGTCCAATGTGGGGTTGATGACGATCTTTTCCCATTCTGTAGGCTATCGTTTTGTTTTATTTGACCATGTCCTTTGCTTTACAGAAGCTTTTCAGTTTCAGGAGGTCCCATTTATTAATTGTTTCTCTCAGTGTCTGTGATGCTGGGGTTATATTTAGGAAGTGGTTCCCTGTACCAATGAATTCAAGTGTACTTCCCACTTTCTCTTCCATGAGCTTCAGTATGGTTGGTTTTATGTTGAGGTCTTTGATCCACCTGGATTTGAGTTTTGTGCATGGCAATAGATATGGATCTATTTTCATTCCACATAATGAGATCCAGTTATGCAAGCACCATTTATTGAATATGCTTTTTTCCATTTGATATTTTCTGCTTCTTTTCAGGTGTTCATCGGTATGTGGATTGATATCCTAGTCTTCGATTTGGTTTCATTGGTCCTCGGGTCTTTGATTCCAATAGTAGGCTGTTTTCAGAGCTATCGCTCTGTAGTAGAGTTTGAAGTCAGAGATAATGATGCCTTCAGAAGTTCTTTTATTGTATAGGATTGTTTTGGCTATCCTGAGTTTTTTGCTTTTCCATATGAAGTTGAGTATTGTTCTTTTAAGGTCTATGAAGAATTTTGATGGGATTTTTATAGGCATTGCATTGAATCTGTTGATTACTTTTGGTACGATTGTCATTTTTACTATGTTAACTCTACCTACCCAAGAGCATGGGAGATCTTTCCATTTTCTGATGTCTTCTTCAATTTCTTTCTTCAAAGATTTAAAGTTCTTGTCATACAGGTCTTCCACTTATTTGGATAGAATCACTCCAAAATATTTTATGTGTTTGTGGTTATTGTGAAAAGTGATGTTCCTCTAATTTCTCTCTCAGCCCATTTATCATCTGTGTAAATAAGAGCTACTCATGTTTATTTTGAGTTAATCTTGTATCCTGCTACATTACTGAAGGTTTTTATAAGTTGTAGAAGTTCCTTGGTAGAATTTTTGGGGTCGCTTATATAAACTATCATATCATCAGCAAATAGTGAGAGTTTGACTTCTTTTTTTCCCCAAGTTTTACCCCCATGATCTCCTTTTGTTGTCTTACTGCTCTAGCTAGAACCTCAAGTACTATACTGAATAGATATGGAGAGAGTAGACAACCTTGTCTTGTTCCTGATTTCAGTGGGACTGCTTTGAGTTTCTCTCAATTTAGTTTGATGTTGGCTGTTGGCTTGCTGTATATTGCCTTTATTATGTTCAGATATGTTCACTGTATTTCTGCTGTCTTCAAGACCTTTATCATGAAGGGACGTTATATTTTGTCAAAGACTTTTTCAGCATATAATGAAATGATCATGTAGGTTTTTTTCAGTTTATTTATATGGTAGATTACATAGATGGATTTTTGTATGTTGAACCATCCTTGCATCTCTGAGATGAAGACTACTTGGTCATGGTGGATGATTTTTCTGATATGTTCTTGGATTTGGGTTGCCAGTATTTTTTGATTGTTTTTGTATCAATATTCATGAGTGAGAATGGTCTGTAATTCTATTTCTTAGGTGTGTCTTTGTTTGGTTTTGGTATCAGGGTACCTGTAGCCTCAAAAATGAGTTTGGCAATGTTCCTGCAGTTTCTATTGTTTCTATTGTTTGGAACAATTTGAGGAGTATTAGTTCTTTAAAATTCTGGTAGAATTCTGAGTGAAACCATCTGGTTCTGGGATTTTTTTTGGTTAGGAGAATTTTGATGACAGTTTCTGTTTCTTATAGGTTTATTTAATTTGCTAATCTAGTATTTAATTTTGGTAAGTGATATTTATCCAGAAAGTTGTCCATTTCTTTTAAGTTTTCCAATTTTGTGGAGTACAGGTTTTCATAGCATGACCTGATGATTCTCTAGGTTTCCTCTGTGTCTGTTGTTATGTCCCCCTTTTCATTTCTGATTTTGTTAATTTGGTTATTCTCTCTCTGCCTTTTGGTTAGTTTGAATAAAGGTTTGTCTATTTTGTTGATTTTATCAAAAAAAAAACAACTCTTTGTCTCATTGATTCTTTGTATTGTTTTCTTTTTTCAATTTTGTTGCTTTCATCTCTCAATTTGATTATTTCCTGCCTATTTCTAGTCCTCCTGGGTGAGTTTGCTTCTTTTTGTTCCAGAGTTTTCAGATGTTAATGCACTAGTGTGGGATTTTTCCAGCTTCTTTATATAGGCATTTAGTGCTATGGACTTTCCCCTTAACACTGCTTTTATTGTGTCCCGTGAATTTTGGTATGTTGTATGGTCATTTTCATTGAATTTTAGTAAATCTTTAATTTCTTCCTTTATTTCTTCCTTAACCCATTGATGCTTCAAGTGAGCATTGTTTAATTTCCATGTGTTTGTGGACTTTCTGAAATTAGTGTTACTGTTGAATTCTAATTTTAAGCCATGGTGATCCGAGAAGATACATGGGGTTATTCCATTTTTTTTTTATCTGTTGAGGTTTGCTTTGTTAGTAGTATGTGGCTAATTTTGAGAAGGTTCCATGAGGTGCTGAGAAGCTATATTCTTTTATGTTTGGGTGGAATGTTCTATAAATGTCTGTTAAGTTCATTTGATTCATAACATCTGTTCCCTTATTTCTCTGTTAAGTTTCTGTCTGGCATGTCTGTCCAGTGGTGAGAATGGGGTGTTGAAATCTCCTCCTATTAGTTTGTGGGGTTTAATGTGTGATTTCAGCTTTAGTAGTGTTTCTTTTACATATGAGGGTGCCCTTGTATTTGGGGCATAGATGTTCAGTATTGAGATTTCCTCTTGATGGATTTTTCCTGTGACTAATATGAAATCTTTTTTATCTCTTTCGATTCATTTTAGTTTGAAGTCTACTTTGTTAGATATGTGGATAGCTACACCTGCTGTTTCTTAGGTCCATTTGATTGGAAAATTTTTTCCCAACCCTTTAATCTGAGGCAATGTCTGTCTTTGAGGTTTAAGTGTGTTTCTTGAATGCAGCAGAAGAATGGATTATGTTTTCATATCCAGTCTGTTAGCCTATATCTTTTTATAGGTGAGGTTGAGTTCATTTATATTAAAGGATATTAATGACCAGTGATTGCTAGTTCCTGTTATTTTAGTTTTCATTGCTGGTGATGTTATTGTCTATGTTTTTCACTTCTTTGGGATTTGTTGCTGTGTGATCCTCTATTGTCTGTGTTTTTGTGGATGAGCTAACTTCCTTGGTTGAAGTTTTCCTTCTAGTACTTTGTGTAGGGCTGGGTTTGTGGCTAGGTGTTGGTTAAATATGGTTCTGTTATGGAATATCTTGGTGATAGAAAGTAGTACTGTGTATAGTAGTCTGGGCTGGCATCCATGGTCCCTTAATGTCTGCATAACACTTGACCAGGACCTTCTGGCTTTCATTGTTTCCATTAAGAAGTCAGATGTAATCTGATAGGTCTGCCTTTATATGTTACTTGGCCTTTTTCCTTTGCAGCTCTTAATATTTTTTCTTTACTCTATATGTTTAGTGTTTTGTTTATTATGTGGCAAGGGGATTTTATTTGAGCTAGTCTATTTGGTGTTCTGTAAGCTTCTTGTATCTTCATATGCATATCTTTCTTTAGGTTGGAAATGTTTTCTTCTATGACTTTGTAGAATATATTTTCTGTGCTTTTGAGTTGAACTTCTATCCTTATTATTCTTAAGTTTGGTCTTTTCATGGTGTCCCATATATCCTGTATATTTTGTGTTAAACTTTTGTTAGATTTAATGTTTTCTTTGACTATTGTATCTTCAACACTTGAAATTCTCTCTTCCATCTCTTGTATTTTGCTGTTTATGCTTGCATTTGTGGTTCCTGATAGTTTCCCCGTATTTTCCAGTTCCAGAATTCTCTTGATTCGTGTTTTCTTTATTGTCTCTATTTCAGTTTTCAAGTCTTGAATTGTTTCTTTCATCTGTTTCTTTAAAGGTTTATTTATATCTTTCAATTTTTTGCTTGTCCTTTTCTCCATTTCTTTGAGGGAATTGTTTATTTTCTCTTTTAGGGTCTCTAACATTCTCCTAAAGTTATTTTTTAGGTCAATTCTTCTGCTTCATCTATATTAGGGTGTTCAAGTCTTGCTGTTGTAGGACCACTAGTTTTTGTTGGTGTTGTGTTGCTCTTTGTGGTGTGTTCTTACCTTGTCTACTAATATTTTCCCTCTGATTTATGTAGCTGGGGCTGTGTCTCTGGTGCCAGTGGATCCAAGTCTTAGATGGTTGTTCCTTGTGGTGCAGTCGGAGCCATGGTTTCAGTTACCCTAGAGGTCACACGGCACTCCTGGGGTCACTCTACAATCCCAGAGATCATTCAGGCCTGCTCCCTCTCCAGGTTGCTGACTGGGGCCTGGTCCTGTGGAGGTGTCTGGCTCAGGCCTGGTCCCATGGAGGACACTGACTCAGGCCTGATCCCTCAGAGATCACTCTCGCGTACCTGCTCTGGTGGAGGTTGCTGACTTGGACATGCTTCTGTGTCCCTGGCTCAGGCCTACTCACGCGGTGGTTGCTCCCTCTGAGGGAGTATCTTTAATATTAACAGTGTGTGAAGAAAATTTTCCATTAATATTCATTTTCTTTTTCTTATAGGGTATCAATGGAGTCATTTAAGCATGGGGCCCTGAGAGAACAACTGTCTAACTTGGCCACAAGACAAAAGAAGCTTTTAGTTGTGGCAAAGAAACAGAAAAAGATAAGACTGAAAATTCAAAACTATAAGAATTCCAAGCCATTGTCTGGTAATAGGAAGCGTACATGTAGCTCAGACATCTCTAGTGAGAAGAAGAACCAAGAGTCTCCTAGTATGAAAAACTCAGTATATCCCCAGTCAGACTTACTTTCTCCTGTCAGTCTTTCTGCTATTTCTCCTGTCAATAAAAACATGGAAGAAATATCATTGTCGATGGAAATGGAAAGAGAACTCTCTGGAAATGAGATGAATTCTAAACAAAATGTCCAGGATTGTGCCTTGAATGGACTGTTGAAATCCAGACTCACAGATGGCACTGAGAAAACTGAATTATCATCCCAGCCTGTTGCTTTTGTTCCTCAAGCAGGAAATTCACAAGCAGAAAGTAGTTTAACAGAAACTCTGGTCAAAGGCTATGAACCTGATGGTTCTCCTGCAGTGACTGGCACTGTAAGTATTTCAGAAGATAAAAGTGTGCTTTCCCAAAATGATGCCTGTCCCCCAGCTGTTCCTCAGAATTTGGACCTTTCCCGTTGTAATCCAAAAAGAAGAAACAAGAAAGCAGCTTCCAATCAACCATCTGTAGGAACATCAGAACCTCTGGCTCATCAAGCGGTTACTGTCTTAGACACTGATACTGTGCAGCATGTGAATAGCATTCCGATCCCTCCTTCCTCTGGGTCTGTTCGTCAACAACCTATTAAAAAGCCGCCTCACCACAGCACAGCTCCTCAAAAGAAAAATATGCAGCTGAAAGATTTGCTAGTACGTGGAAGAATTAATACAGGAAAGGACATTCTGGAATTCAAAACACAGGTATTTTTTTCTCTAAAGTCTTGAAAAATTTATAAGCAGTGTTGGTGTAGCATAGTATAGGCAAATGGAAAATAAGATTTGACTGTTTTCTAAATGTAGGAACATATGATATTCTTAGGAAGAAAATCCACACCTTATTCTGGAATTTCCCTGATAGGTTTCAGTTATAAGCACCTTTTGGTTCTCAGCTACTGTCAGTCAGTTATTTTGTAGCAGGAGGGGTTTCAGAGCAGAGACAGGACATAGGAGCTGTTATTAGTTCTACACTAGGTTCAAGAGCTATCAGTGTACTGCGAAGCCATTCCTAGGGATGTATTAATTTGTCTTCCATAGATGTTCAGTTTAAGACAGACTTGAAGTTTCAGTAAGGAACTCAGTTAAAAATATAATATTTGCATAAAAGTGAATTATGAGAAAAAGGTCTGTTAGATATGCCTATTAAAATACTTCATATATTCTCACTTTTTTAAAGAGGAATTTAGAAGTGGCAAAGATTACCAAGTCATTGAATATGCTTCTTTGCTTGTGAACTAATATTCGAGAAATCAGCCCAGCCTAACTGGAATTTAACTTAAATGGTTGTGTTTCCTACTCTTCCCATTTCTAGACTCTGACTTTTCCTACTTCAGAAGCTTTACTTCTAAGTTAAGAACAAAAGAGTGTAATGGTAAAATTTCAATTAGAGTTCAGTGCTCTCATTTCCTTCAGTGCTCCAGTTTGCCTGCAGCCCATTCATTAAGCAATGCCTGCCTTACAGTGACCAGAGCACATCCGTTTTTAGTAGATTAGTTCTGTTTCATCAGATTTTTGACAGTGTAGTTACTGGGTCAGCTTAATAAATCTTCAGTAGAGTTTTTCATAATTGTAGCCATTTTAAACATCTTTATTGGGGTATAATTTGTAGAAGTTGCACTATACATACTCAAAGTGTAGTATTTGACAAGTTTGACGTGTGTATTATCTGTGAAATTCTGCCATAAATAATAAACCATCCATCTGCTCCAGAAACTTCTAATACCTGCTTTCTTTTTTTCTTCTTTTTTTAAACAATCTTTTTTACTTTACATACCCGTCCCAGATCCCCCTCCCTACCAAACTTCCACTCCCCAACCTTTTTCCCACCCTACCCCGTCTCTTTAGTTATCTTTAGCAGTTGGTCACTTCTGTGACTCAGAGGTGTCACAGCCGTCTAGGGCTAGTGGTTGTCGTCCCCACCCCCACCCCCATCAGCTTGCACAGCACCTTCTGGTACTGTGAAAGCTAGTCCTCGGGGAGTAGGCTTTCAGGTCAGAGCCAGTTCAAGTACATAGTGTCTTCAGTGATAGGGACTTACTGCCAACCTCTGGGAGGCAACTAAAGGCAACAGTCGCAGGAAACATTGTTTTGAGAGTGTCTTGAACTTCCCTGACCAACAAACAACTCAAAAAAAGATTTCATTCAAAGTGAGCATGTGTGTTATTTATCCCTCCCTACTTCTTTTCCTTCTGTATTGACCTCCCTCCCTGCTTCCTAACTAAAGGCCACCTCCCCATTTTCCCTATATCCCTTTCATATTGCTTGTATTCTGCTAGTCCCTCTCTAGAAACCCCTCCCCGTCATTCTTTTTTTTTAATTTTCTGGTTTCCAGGTTATATATTCACATCTGAAGATTTGGATAGATACCCCAGATGGTCAACACTAAAATAATATACATAAAAAGCAACATTCATCAGGTTTTATTTATGTATTTATGCATTGCCGTATGTACGGTTCTCTAGAGGTACAGAACTGATAGACTTGACATGGAAGAGATTTACTAGACTGGCTATAGGATGCTGCTAGATAGTCCAACAATGGTTGTTGCCTCATAACAGAAAGACCAAGAATTTATAATTGTTCAGTCCATGAAACTCAATGCCTTAGCACTCCCAGTCTGGTACTGGAATCCTGGAGGATTCCTGGAGAATTTCTGGTTTTCAGTCTACATTGGAGTCCTAGAAAAGTTGGGTTTAATACTTGGCACAGCAACAGAGGAGGAGACAAATTTATTTGCTAGTCAGAGTGAAGGCAAACAGGCAAAAAGTGAAGCTTCCTCTTCATTGTCCTTTTTTGTGGGCCACCACTAGAAGCTGTGGCCAAATTTTGAGTATCTCTTCCTACCTCAAATTATGTTTAATCAAAGAATAATTTGATTAGGATGAGTTCGTAAGATTTTAACTTTAATCAAATTAAGAAAGTCCCTCACAGCATGCCCAGTATTTGGGCTCTAGTTGATTCCAGACGTCATCAAGTTGACAATGAAGATGAGCCATCACATGCACATGTAAGAAAAGGAACCATGAACTTGAGAGGGAATAGGGGAGGAAATGTGGAAGACAATGGAGAGAGAGGATGGTGGAGGGGTTGGAGGGAGGAAATGATGGAATTATATTTTAATTAAAATTTTCTTTAAAAATCTGTGTTCCAAATGAAAGTGAAAAAAAATGATTTGTCTGACTCAAAGCAAAATCAGTGAGTTAATATATTGAGTAGCTGCAGTTATGGGGATGTGACGGTGGTGCGTAGGTGTCTTCACAGTGAGTGCTTATGACCTTATGACTTCATAAATTATACTTCTCAAAGGATATAATTTACCACCAGGGTAAAGATTAAGCATAATTCTTACAGTTTGGGGCTAGGATCCATCCTAAATTAATTTTCTATTTTATCTATTTTTAGGATTCTGTATCCCAGGTTGGCCTGGAACTCTTTATGTAGCCAAGGCTAGCATGCAGTGACCCTCCTGCCTTAGCCCTCCAAGTTCTGGAATTACATGTGTGACCCACTATGCCCAGGCCCATTCATATTTCCTAATTTGGATAACTAGTTGGTCCAGCAGTGTGTGTTTAAAGAGGCATCTTTGTTTCAATGAGTTGCCTATGAGTCTCTTAAAATATCAGCTGCTCATATGTGTTTCTATTCCTGGACTCCCTATTGTTTCATTATTTATTTGTCTACATTCACATCAGTATTAAACTGCCTTGATTATTGTTGCTGCATAGTAGACCTTGAAATTAAGTTAATGCTAGCCTTCTGATCACGTTCTTTTACAAACATGTTTGGCTATTTTATGTCACATATGAAGTTTAGAATGAGTTTTTCTACTATAAAAAAGGCTGTTATTTTCATTGATATTTCATTACATGTGTAGATTAGTTGGGAAGGAAATGGCAGCTGAGCAATATTGTCTTGTTGAGCCCATGAATGGAGGATGTCCATCCATTTACTTTGGTCTTTGATTTGTCTCAGCAGTGTAGGGGTAACTCTTATCTTTTATTAGATTTGTCTATACATATTTCGTATCATTTTTGGTTTTTTTTTTTTGAGACAGTTTTTCTGTGTAATTGTCATGGCTGTCCTGAAACTCGCTCTGTAGACCAGACTGGCATCAAATTTATAGAAGTCCTTCTACCTCTGCCTTCCACATGCAGGGATTAAAGATGTACTCCACCACCCTCTGGCTAATGTTTCATATTTTAATAACATCAGTTATCTGTTTTTTAATTTCAATTTCTAGTTGCTTATTACTAGTTTCAAGAAATTGACTTTTAGGTATTGAAATATTTTCCTACAACTTTTCTAAGCTTACTAGTTATAGAATGTGTTTGGAAATTTTATTGAACTTTCTTCCTTTTTTGGGGGGGGGGGGTTACCTTACTGCAGAGACCAAATTGGGTAGAATAAAAGCAACCAGTCTTCTCTTTCCTAAGCTAGTTTCACAATTAAGAATATGTTAGCTCTAGATTTTTCAAAGATGTTTTTTATCAGCCTGAAAAAGTTCTCTTTTACTCATAGTTCATTGGGTATTTTTATCAGGAAGGATGTGGGATTTTGTTGATGCTTTATATTAATTTATTGGGAGGATTCCGTGGGTTATTTTTGTTCTGTTGATATTACAATGCAGGAAAACAAACAGAATCCACATCTTTCATCTAAGGGACTAAGACAGTTTATTCTGTAGTCATTTTAAATGCCCATGGCCCAGAAACACAGATTTAGGTTAACTCAAATTCCATGTCCCAACGTGGAAGCAGCTTTGGGAAGTTTGTTAGTTTTGCAGACCAAGAAAGCCACAAATCAAGTCAAGTTTAAAAATACATGGGTGGTTGTGTCAGAAAGGCAGGAACAGCAGGATGGGGGAGCTTTCTATAGGCCCAAGATGCCATCTGAGGTTTTGGGTTGGTGGAGGCTAGTGATCTGTTAAGTCAATAGATTTTTAGAGGTTTTTATCCATTAGTCACAGGGTCTTGGTTCTGACATAGAGGTGGACAATGAATGGCTACCCAGGGCCTAAAGCTAACCCAAGATGATGGTAATTAGCCCTTTGGACCGTCAACATTCCACCTTGTCCACATCACTGCCGTCTAATCAGTCAGTCCCTACACACACAGCTTCTCAGACAGCATTAGTTGACTTTTGGGTATTCACACCATATGGTAGACAGCATTAGTTGACTTTTGGGTGTTCACACCATATGGTAGACAGCATTAGTTGACTTTTGGGTGTTCACACCATATGGTAGGCAGCATTAGTTGACTTTTGGGTGTTCACACCATATGGTAGACAGCATTAGTTGACTTTTGGGTGTTCACACCATATGGTAGGCAGCATTAGTTGACTTTTGGGTGTTCACACCATATGGTAGGCAGCATTAGTTGACTTTTGGGTGTTCACACCATATGGTAGACAGCATTAGTTGACTTTTGGGTGTTCACACCATATGGTAGGCAGCATTAGTTGACTTTTGGGTGTTAACCCTTGCATTCCAGAGATAAATTCTACTTGGTTGTGGTGTAGAATTCTTCCGTGATGTTGAATTTGACTTTCCAGCATATGTTAAAGATTTTCTCTATCCGCATGCACCAGAGTTCTGAACTGCTATGGTTTTGGTGTCAGGAGTACACTAGCCTAACAGAATGAACTCACAAACACTCCTCTCTCCTGACTTTTGGAAAAGTTTGTGAAGTCTTCTTTAGCATTTTCACAGTATTAAGCAGTGAAGCCATTTGTACCTGGGCTTTTCTTTGTAATGCCTGTTACTAATTTGTTTGCTTCAGGTATTTTTAGAATGTTTGTTTCTTCTTGAGTCAGTTTTGACAGTTCATTTATTTCAAGGAATTTGCTAATCTAATTTATCAGTGTATAATTATTAATAGTATTCCCTTACAACTTATTTCTGTAATATCAATATTAGTATCTCCTTCTCTTTTGACTGACGTTATTTGAGTTGTCTCACTTGATTTTCTTAGTCATCTAGCTTACAGGTTTGTCAATTTTGTCCATGTTTTTTAAAAAACTTTTCTATTGCTTTTTCTCAACTGCTTTTTTATTGTCTGCTTTGTTTTTACTGTTTGTTACTTTTTTAGTTACTTATTTCCTTCTGCTTTGTTTTTTTCAAGTACCTTAAAGGTTAAACCATCAGATTGAGATTTTCTTTTTTAGTATTATTATTGTATTTACAGTTGCAAACATTATTCTAAAGCTAGGTGAGGTAGCACATGTTTGTGATTCCAGTAGAATCACAGTAGACTGAAGCAGGAGGATGGTGTAGTCTAAGCTAACTTGAACTACATACTGAAACTGTGTCCAACTCCACCCTGCACCAAAAAAGAACACCCTGTTGTCTGCTGCTTTTGCTGCATCTCTACATTCAAAATATTAGACATTTTCATCCATTTTAGAGTTATCTGTGTGTGTGTGTTGTATGTATGTGTACTTGTGTGTGTGCAACTATAGGTGTCAGGAGTCAGTGTCAGGTGTTTCCTCTATTGCCATCATCTTTTCTAAAAGACTGGTCTGTCCCTGGACCTGGAGTTTACTGTCTCTTCTAGGCTGTCTGGCCAGAGAGCCCTTAGGGTCCATCTGCCCCCACACCATGCTGTGTTAAAGATACAACTGGCTTTTATGTGGATGCTGGGATCTTTGTGTATCCACTGGGCATTATCCCAAGTATTTTCTAATTTGTAATTTGGTTTCGTCTTTGATTCACTGGTTACTTAGGAGTATGTTTAATTTTTATATAATGGTGAGCTTCCTATTATTTTCTGTTAATAATTCCTACTCATATTTTATTGTGGTTAGAGAACCTACCTTACACTGTCTCACTCCTTTTGAAACTTTGTAAGGCTAATTTTATGGCTTACCTAGCAAGTGTCCTCTCCTAAATAATATTCCACAGGCAGTACAAGGAATTACTATTTTATTGTTAACTGGTTTGCCTTTCTTTTTTGCTAATTTTCTTTTGCAGTGCTGAGAACCTCGTATATGCAAGGAAAATAATATTTCACTGAGCGATATCACCAGCCTTTGGTGTTTTTAATACATAATTTTGTTATTTTGCTTTCAGCCCAGGCTGGCCTTAAACTCACAACCCTTCTTTCTCAGCCTCCCGGGTGCTGGGAGTATAGATGTATATCTATAATCCACTTATGTAGAGATTTCTGTATATTCTTGCTTAGTGTTCAATTTTATAGTGGTTGAGTCTTGTCTTCTCGCATTGCTGTTTTGCCTATGTGATCATTATACCTCCTTGTTGAAAGTAAGACATTGAAGTCTCCAACATTTCATGTTGGTTTGTCTGTTTTTTCCCTTAAGTTTTTTTCCTGTGTTTTGGAGTTCTGGATTTCCACACACGTGTCTATAATTGTTGTATCTGCCTGATGCAGTAACCCTTTTTAGTATTGTATAATGTCTATTTCTAGTAACTTTTGGTTTAAAGTATTTCTGCTATTAGTATAACCAGTTCATTTTTCTTGTGCTTTTTGTTTGTATGATATGTTTAGCCATCTTTTAATTGTCAATTTACTTACTTCCTTTAATATAAAGTCTGCCTCTTGTATATATTATATAGTTGGGCCTTATTTATTTAGTCTAGTCTGACAACACCTGCCTTTTGATGAGCTATTTAAACAAGATAGTAAACAAGAATTTATTAATATTGTTGGATTTGCACCTGTTAATTTTAATAAAATTAATTGGATCCCATCCTGAAACTTGCCTCATGAATGCTGGATATCTTTACATCCTTTCAATTATTTGATATATTTGTTCCATAATATAAGTAAGTTGCTTAGAGAGTCTTTGGCCTTTTGAGGTTGTTTTTTAAGTTTTGTTTGAGCAGTGTCAAATTTAGAGCTAATTATTTTTTCCTACTGAATCAAGACTTTTTGACGAAGTTTTCTTGATGACACCATTAGTCTTGGGGTTTCTAGTTTTACGGTGGAGAAAGCACTGGTCCCTGTCCTGTGAGAGTGCCAGCGTCGCCTTCCAGTCCCTTCACATGCTGCCTCTTCTTCCATTCTTAGGCATGTGATAATCTCCTCTCATATAGATGTTGGTCACTGCTTAGCTGAACCCTTCAGGAGGCCCCGATGAAGAGCTAACGATTGCTCTTCTTCTGACTCTGCAGCACTTCGTCCTGCTGTGACCCTGGGAATCTAGACTCCTGCCTGGATTCCCCTTCCTTGCCAGGCCTGGGATCTGGACTCTGGGACAGGAGGCTGAGGCAGTGGAGGCCCCACATTTAGTTCTTCTCAGTGTTCAGTGGATGTTATTTTGCCTGGTACTTGGCATTTTACAAGCCATTGTTTTGTATGTTTTGTTGGGTTTTGGGGGGTGGGGGAGTCAGGTGTAAATCCGATCTCTCATATTTCATCATGGCCAGAAACAAAAGTTTATATATTTCAGCAATTGTTTATCTTTATTTTTGTTTTTCTTCAGGAGACTACCCACAAAGCCAGTATTTTACTGAGTGGTAAACTTAAGGTAGAAAACGGTCAGATTTATCAGAACCCAGTTACCTGGCTCAAGGATCTTCTGGGAGGTGGCAATTATGTGACCTGGAATTATGCTTGGAGTAAGGTAATTCTTAAATTTAACTTCATAATGAAATAGGAAATGTTTATTTTTTACTTTCAAACATCTCTACAAGAAATGTGGATGATCGCTGATCTGGTTTGTGCCCTGCGTGTGTCTCCTGTGATGTGCTACTTCTTTTCCACAGAGTGTTTGCCACAGTGCCCAGGGCATGTAGCACAGCTGACTGCACCCCCCTCCTTGTTTTTATCTACTCTCAGAAACGTCATCACACCTGTGCACCTCTTTTTTTTTCTCCCAAGAAGCTTCAAGTTTCTGAATCCATATCGAAAATAGGGATCATAAAGTAGCTGTGTTCTTACTAGTATCATGAAATAAATTCCCTAAGTACAAAGGGGATGGGCGAGAACCCTGAGGCTTACAGACATTCCATTACACTTTCCCTTTTGAACATGGCACTATCCTCAAATCACTCCACGATTATTTTTCTCATTTTCACTTAAACTCTAAGACTAAGTAGCCTGGCTACTAATTCAGTCCTGTCTTCTGAATTACAAACTCAGCTAAGATCTCACTACTTTAAGAACCATCTTATACCATAGTTGGCCCAGACAAGCATGCATCATCAAATCCATCTGTGCTGGATAGTTTTACGTCAACTCAACATTAGCTAAACTCATCTGAGAGGCAGGAACCTCAATTAAGAAAATGCCTCCATGAGATCTAGTTGTGGGCAGGCCTGTAGGGCATTTTCTCAGTTAGTGATCAATGCAGGAGGGTCCAGCCCATGGTAGGTGGTACCATCCCTAGGCTGGTGGTCCTGGGTTCTATAAGAAAACAGGCTGAGCAAGCCATGGGGAGCAAGCTAGTCTTGGGACTCCGCATCAGCTCCTGTTTGAGCTCCTGTCCTGACTTCCTTTGATGATGAACAGTGATATGGAAGTGTAATTCAAATAAACCCTTTTCTCCCTAAATTGCTTTTTGGCCATCCCAGCAATAAAAACCCTAACTAAAACACTGCCATTGTCATTTCAAAGAATAGATGATACACTTAAATTCCACTTCCCTTCAGCAAGCCTCAAAGCACAAATTAACAGAGGTTGGCTTCTCATTTTGTCCAGCCTAGCTCTGCTTACACCCTCCTAGCTCCTGCTCTGCCCCCAACTCTGCATTTTTCTAAACAGTTACCAGAGTAGCTTTAGTAATGTATTTTAGCTCTTTCACTTGTATCAGCATATTTTGGATTTTGTACCTTATGTAGTTTGTCTTCCATGCCTTCCACTCCCCTCTCCACCAAAGGATTAACTCCTCCCTCCTTTGGGAATCACATATCTACTTTCAGTTCATCCTTAGTTTGTTTGCCAAGTCCTTTTCATGGATGTATAATTCATTACAAATGTTAGCAATCAACATCTTAATAATTTGATATTAATAATAATTTAATAATAGTCCCTTTCATTGCAATATTTTTAAAAATTATGATAGATTATACTCTGCTGACACAGACTGTTTCCTCATGTTGTGAATCTGGCAGATTGCTTGCTTTAGGTCATTTGACTTCAGCGTACTCATGTTACAGTGAACCCAGTGAGGACTCACTGTCTCCTCTCTTTTCCTGCATTGGAACTACTACTGTGTTTCCTGCCTTTGAGTAACTGATTATGACATATGGCTCTTCTGCTATACTAGTGCCTCATTAATGTATCATCTTGCTTCTGATAATTTCATGTCAGCTAGACCTGTGGTTTAGCACCTATATGGTAGTGAAGCAAATGCAAATGTGGGCCCTAAAAATAGGACAGTTCTTGATGTGAGATACCTATCCAGGTATGAGCAGCCTTAGAGTATTACTCTTTAAAAATTGTTAAAAGAGAAGAAAGCAGAGCTTTAACACTTCCTACGGGGCACTCGTGCACTTTTAGTAAATGCTCAAGGCTAAGAAACATGACATCTATGAGGTTGGGTTTTTTTGTTGTTTTACAAGTGTTTATAAAAGTTTACCATAAAACTTGCTTCTTTGGACTTTAGGAGAACTCCTAAAGTCACAGTCACTTCTGGATGCCAGGGACTTTTTGCTGTGTTTGTAATTAATTGTATGTATTTCTGCTGACTAGTTCTGAGAATGGTGATGGTGTACAACTAGGGATGATTAGCTGGCCAGTACAAACACCGGGAAACTAAGGCTTGTTCTGCGTGCGCAGTGTGGCAGAGCCACTGCACAGAGCTGATTCTACCTCCCACACAGAGGGTAGACTTGCTCTGCATCTGCAGAGCCACTGCACAAAGCTGATTCTACCTCCCACACAGAGGGTAGACTTGCTCTGCATCTGCAGAGCCACTGCACAGAGCTGATTCTACCTCCCACACAGAGGGTAGACTAGTTCGTTCCAATGGGCAGAGACACCTCTGGTAAGAGACCAGATCACCCTAGTACCTGGTTCATCCATTCTTCTTAAGTTATGATCAGAGCAACAGTTTTTACAACAGCCATACATTAATCACTTTAAAAACCAGAAGCGGTTAGGTGTGGTGCCTCATACCCTTAGTCTTAGCACTGGGAGGCAGAGACAAGGGGATCTCTATAAATTTGAGGTCATTTTGGTCCACACAGAAAGTTTCAGGGCAAGTAGAGCTATATAGCTAGACCTTGCCTCAAAAGAACCAAAACAAGCAAAAAATAAAAACTGCCAGACCCAGTTCCATAGCTTCTGATCTGATAAAGTGGTATTAGGGGAGGGGCACTTGCCACAGACCATGAGCGTCAGTGACCACACTATATGGTGTTAACAAAACTGGATATCTAACTGCAGAAGAATAAAATTAGATACATGTTTTTCACCTTGTACAAAAGTCAGTTTGAAATAGATCAGAAACCTTAATTTAAACCTGAAATGTCTAAAACATTGAAGGAAAACATAAAGCATATTCTTCAAGACAGTGGGGTCGGCAAGAATAGAGCACCAGCAGTGTAGGAAGTAGCCAGAGTAGCAGGAGATGGTCTGCTTGAAAGAAAAGGTCTGTGCAGCCAATGGAACTCAGCAAGCACACAAACAGCCCACAGAATAGGAGAAAATCTCCGTGAACTGTGCTTCCAGACAGAGGGATGATCTCCATAATTTACAAAGAACTGCAAAAATTAAACACCAAAAGAAATACCCTCTAATTACTAGTTAACAAATGGACTAACGACATAAACATACCATTTTCAAAAGAAGAAACACGAATGACCAATACTATTTTTTAAGTGTTCGCCATCCCTAGTCATCAGGAAATGCAAATCAACTACTGTGAAATGATTCCTACTCTAATCAGAGTGCTGATGTCAGGACATCTGAAAGCAGATGTGGAGAGGATGTAGGAGAAGAGGAACCCTTATTCTCTGCTGGTGAGAGTTCAAATTAATATGACCAGTGTGAAAATCAATTTAGAGTTTCCTCAGAAAATTAAAAAGAACTACCATGTGACTCTACTGTTTCCTGGGCACACATACTCTGAGCACTCCACATCCACCAATAGAGACAGCTACATATTCGTGTTCACTGCTGCACTGCTAAAGATAGCAAGGGACTGCAGTCAACACAGATGGAAACCAGCAAATGGCTCAATAATGAAAATGTACACATACAAAGGGACTGTTATTGAACTGTAAGGAAAAATGAGTCAGGAAAGTAGAAGCAGAGTAGATAGAGTATACATATTATTATAATATTATTGTTATTATTTGAGCTCACTCAGATTCAGAAAGGAAAAAATGCATATGGCATGAGACTAAGAAAGGGGACTCCGGTGATGTTACGGGATGCAGGCAGGACACGTGAGCTGCGAGAGAAGATGCAAAGCTAGTTGTTTTTCCAGCCTTAACCTCATCATAGTTTTTTCTTCTAATTGATAGTGGAAGTCTAAAACCCTGAGCAGCGCTCCTTGAGAAGGCCATTCTGACTGTGCAGAGGTCTCTGGGATGCATAGTTTAGAGCGAGGCAGTGTTTGCTTGAGTGGTACTGTAATACAGCTATGTGATATCATTTCTGAGTTCAATACAATAAAGCGATTTTGAAAATTCACACTTTAAAAAAAAATTCACAGCCCTAAACAATCTGCTTTGGGCACTGGAGAGATGGCTCAGCAGTTCAGAGCCCTGGCTGCTCTCCAGAAGACACAGGTTCTATGCACAGCACCCACATGGCTGCTCACAACTGTTCACAACCAGGTCTGGGAATCAGTGCCCTCTAACCCCTAGGGCATGAGCACAAAAGTGGTGCCATGCGTGCATGCAGGCCACAGGCTCATACACAGAGAATAAAAAAGCAAATTTAAAAATCTGGTTTGTAGCATTTATATTGTAGTGAAGCATATTTTGTTTTTGGTTTTATAAGAACCTAGGGAGGTTGACAGGACCAGGCTGGCTTTTACTAATTTACTAATAGAATTTACACAAGTCTCTTTTTTTAGCTATATCATATTTAATTTTTAGCTGCTTGTTATGTTATCAGTCACAGTTTAAAAATTACTGACTATACTTGAGGCAACATTGGTTACACCCCTTACCTAACCACATTCCATTTCGATATTTCCCCCAGCACACAGTCATTCTGTCAACACTTGTTCCTCACCCTCACTGACTGATGAGAATCCACAGCTTCACCAAGATGATTTTTCTCCAGCTTATTTACTTTCTTACTAAAATATATTCTTTTTCCTTAGTATAATTGTCTATTCTTTTAACTCAAAAAGAAAAGTCACATGGATAATGTTTTGCTGTAGAATAAGAATGAAATGCAATCCCTATACAACTGGCTCTCTGGAAATTTTTATATGTTTCCTACCAATTTGAGAAGACAATAATAGCCAAAAAAGAAAAAGAAAAAATGGGGGAAGGAAGGGGGAGAAAAAGGAAGGAAGGAAGGAGAAAGCCTAGTGATTTACCCAGCTTTCTATGAGACACTGAAAGTGCTTCCAGGCAAAGCCTGCAAGCATTTAATCCATTGTACTACCTCATAGGTTTTCTATAAGGATTAAATGAACTAGATATTAAAAATGTTTGAGAATAGCCTGTGACCCATAGCTAGATTTCAAAATGCAGGCTAATGTATAAAGCTGTGGGGTTTTGGATGTTTTAATCACTTACAGCGTTTATGTTTGCCACTTCACATTAGCTACCACCGTAGCATTACCCAGCACTTCTGGTAGAAATAGTGGTTTAGTCTGAGGTGCAAGAGCAAACATACTCAGCCTGTTCTTTGGTGAGTGTAAAGTATGTTGGACATTTCCAGGACACTAAAAATATAAGATCCATTGTTTCTAATATTGCTTCTTTGAAAACTGACTCATAATTAGGGGCCTGTTCACTCTGTGACAAGAAAGAAGGGGTTGGCACCCTGGAGAGGTCCAATATGTCCCTTTTTTCACCTTCAGACTTAGCTCTATGAGTTGAGCCCACAGGGTCCCTTCACCTTACAGATCTACCTGTGGGTCACTCTGTTCAATTTAATAAGAATTATTATTTTATAATTTAATAAGAATAATTATTGAGCACTCAGAATATACAAGCAACCATGTCAAATGTTTGCTGGATATTATCTCTTTCAAGCCTAACTCAATAAGCTGCATATAATTCTTTAAAAACAAACTGAGATACAGATTTAAGAGCCATTCTTAAGAATTGAAACTTAAAAGTCTTTCATTCCATAACAGCCAGCACTATGTGACATCTAAGGGTATAAAAATGCATATGGCACAGACCATGTCCACAAAAAGCTCATGATTGAATGGAAGCAAGACACATTAGCTCATTTAAATGAAATAGTTGCCGTGACAGAAACAGGAGCACAGAAGTTATATAAGGCCGATGTGGGTATCATTCTTAAGTTTAGAAGTTTCAAAAATGTGCTTAGAGAGAAGAATGTTCATATTGAAACTTGACACACTGTCTACATGAACCTACCCTCTGGGAGTGAATTATTAGAATGTCCTAGCTGAGAGTAGCTAGATATGCATGAGTCTGCCTCTGCCCTCCCTTTTACACACAGATATTTTAAAGCTCTGAGCCTTTAAGCTGATAACACATTAATTAATAGCTAAATTCACAAGCACCTTTTTAAAAGTACATATAAACCTAAATGTTATTAATGTGATCAATTAGCTATCTCATTTCTTGAAAACTTCAGTTTCATGGTTTGGTTTTATTATAATGATCATGTTTAGGTTATAAAGCAGCAGGTACTAGATTACTGGCTGTTGGACATTCGTGAGTGATGAGAGAATTGGTGGTAAACAAAGGTTGACAGACTTTTTTCTGTACAGGAGCAGATAGTGATGATAATCAGGCTTCACCGACACATGATTTCTGCCACAAGAGCTTAACTCTCTCCGAGCTGCTCCAAAGAAGCCAGAGATGTTAAGCAGATGAATGAGAACTATATCCCAACAAAATATTTTCATAAAAATAAAGGGGACGGGTTAGACATGGCTGTGATCTGTGATGTTATGAAACAATAAATAGTTTACAAAAAATCACACTTTTTCATGAAATAAGTATATTTGCCTCTTACAGAAAATATGATTTTTAAATTCCATTTTCAACTCCTCACAGGTAACATACCTTGGAAAGGAGCTTTTGAAGTATGTTTCCGAAGAAGAGCCTGTTCCTCCAGAGCCATGTAACACACCTCAGCAGCAGCAGCCTTGCCTCGCAGGTACATGGAGCCCAATACCTGTTTTGTAGTTGTGGCATGCGAGTATCCAAACGGACAGGAGCAGTCCTACTTCTTTCTCCCCAATTTTAACGTAAAAATCACATGGTACTTAGTGTATTCACAGTGCGAGCAACCACTGCCTCTGTGTAGTTTCAGAACACTGTTGTGGTCTCCAAAGACTCCTCTTCCAAGTCAGCAGTCACTCCTCATCCCTCACATCCCCATCCTCCACATCCCCCATCCCTAGGAGCTGCTTTCCATGAATGGATGTGCTCTTCTAAATGTTTTATAAAGTGGACTAATGCACCGTGGCGTGACATCTTCTCAAGTCATTTTTATAACACACATCACACCCACAGCTATGTCTAGGAAAGTCCAGCAAACCTTTCTCCTCCTACTTTCTAACCTGGAAATCAAAAAAAAACTAGATGTATATTTTTGTTTATATCATGATGGCTATCTGCTCCTCATTTGTTCCCATATTTCTTATAATATAAACAATTTCTTACTATTAATTTTTTTCCAAAAATTCTGATTTTTCTTTACTTCAGATACTTCAGAAATGTGTGTGCTAATTTGAAAGCTGTAGCTGTACCAGCAGGGCATCCAACTTCTCTCTGCTTGATCTAAGCCTGTAAATTCAGACAGACCCTTAATAGATGCCACAAGCTGCTGTTGGAGTTGCATTTCAGTTTTCTTTTTTTATTGATTTTATTGAGCTATACATTTTTCATTTTATACCTGACAGTTTAAGTTTAAAAAAAATATAAAATGCTTTAACCCAACTGCAAAAGAAACATTGAAGAGAGAATATTTCTCTTTTCTTGCACATTAAGTTAGGGAAATAAAGACTTGTCTCTGACACTGTAGAGACCAACCAACCTGTGTGGGGACTTCATGAGCCCACCCCAGACCATAACCCAAATCTGTTCTCTTATCTTTCCAGTGACCATTCTTCAGAGTGGTTTTTTTTTTTGGAGAAATGAGGAAAGGGGGGATGTAGAAAGAGCATTTTACACCTCTTACAGCTAGGACAGCTGTTGGTGGTTGATTTGCTCTTCTTACTTAACTTTTGGGGTTTTTTTTGGGGGGGGAGAGAACAGCAACCAGCCCCCAAATAAATCACACATGGAGTCTTATTCTTTCTTATAAATGCCCAACCTTAGCTTGGCTTATTCCAAACCAGCTTTTCTTAACTTAAATCATCCCATCTATCTTTTGCCCCTGGGCTTTTACCTTTCCTTACGTCTGTGTATCTTACTCTTTCACTTTTACTCGGCGGCTGACTGGGTGGCTGGCCCCTTCTTTTCTTGCTACTTGATATCTCTTTCTTCTTCTTCCCTCAGATTTCTCCTTATGTTTGTTCTCTCTGCCTGCCAGCCCCACCTATCATTCTCTCCTGCCTCGCTGTTGGCCGTTCAGCTCTTTATTAGACCATCAGGTGTATAAGGCAGGCAAAGAATCACAGCTTCACAGAGTTAAACAAATGCAACATAAAAGAATGCAACACATCTTTGCATCATTAAACAAATATTCCACAGCATAAACAAATGTATCACATCCTAAAAGAATATTCCACAACAGATGGTCATCTATTTAGGTTTGACCAAAGCAATATCTAAGCTACAAAAACTATTATAGAAGTGTGTTGCTTCAATGACTCAGTATAAAAGACAAATTGTTGTTTAAGAAAATAAAATCTGGGGGCTGGAGAGATGGCTCAGAGGTTAAGAGCATTGCCTGCTCTTCCAAAGGTCCTGAGTTCAATTCCCAGCAACCACATGGTGGCTCACAACCATCTGTAATGAGGTCTGATGCCCTCTTCTGGCCTGCAGGCATACACACAGAAAGAATATTGTATACATAGTAAATAAATAAATATTTAAAAAAAAAAGAAAAGAAAATCTGGAAGAAGGAAAGCTGAGACTGTTTTCACCTTCTTTTATAAGTAGTGTATATAGACCTTAAAACATTGCAAATAGAGTGTCAGACCTTATGCCTGTCATTCTTATTATCAATCATTGCTGATTGCCAGGCTTTTATCCTTCTGAGAGATTGAAGAAGTCTTTGAGTTCAAAAAGATTTTTATAGGCTCTTATTTCATATACTCCCATGTTTACCACACCTTAGCTTTCAATAAATATCTATTAACTAATATTCATTGAATGTATGAATAGATGAATGTAAGCATGAATATGATCCAAAGAACTCTTCGATAAAACAGGATTTAGTTGGATGATCTTAATAAGTAAGCATGTCAAGATCTCAAAGACTATAGTAGAATTTGAAGGAATTCAACAAATGGTAAATGGAATTTTAGTTACTATTACCTCTTTTAAAGCATTTATTTATTCTCTCTCTCAGTGTGTGTGTGTGTGTGTACACTTGTGCACATAACAAGCATGCCATGGTGTGCATGTGGAGGTCAATGGACAGCTAGCAGCAGTCAGTTCACTTCATCAACCATGTGGTTCAGAGGATCAAACACTGGTCCTTTACCTACTGGCCCATCCTGCCAGCATAGTTAGTACCTTCTCTTTCTGCCTCTAATTGTGGGGTGGTAGAGGTAATGGTCCTTCCTATCTTTTCAGTCAGAAATTAGAGAGCACACACATTCACTGTTGTATTCCCTCTCTTCCTCTTCATGAGAAGTATTTTCAGCTTTGTTCATCATTGTTTCTTAAATTTAAAACAATCAGATGACATCTATAACATTTTACAGAACACACAGCATCTTCCTTAATGTATGTATGCATGCATGTGTGCATATATGTATGTATCATTTGACTTGTATCAAGAGAATCTTAAATCATGGAAATAATAAGATTCTAAGTTTTTAATCTGGCCATTTTAAGACTTTCTTGAAGCCATATGGAATGTGGTGCAAACTTATAATTCTAGCACACAGGAGGCCAAGGCAGGAGGATTGCAAACTCCAAACCAAACTGTGCTATGGAGTGAGATCCTGTCTCAAATAGTGCAGACCCATTTTATGTATTTGTGTTTCTTGTCGGTATAGTACTGAGATACTCAAAATACATCAACATTAAGCTAATCATATATAGGAAAGAGAAAGAACATTGAGATGTTTTAAAAGCCATCACTTTAACATACTAATTATGTATTATAGAGTCCTGCTGTCTTGTTTGTCTCTTAGAAACAATGTGCTTTTCCAGGAAAAACATCATAACATGCTTTTCCAGATTATAACAAAATGATCATTGATCTACTGGTAAGGTTATCAAAAATGACTCGAGAAGACAGAGTCATGCCAGTGCTGCTGGTTTTCTTTCTTTGTCTGTAAGTGTCTGTGAGAGCGCTGATACAGTCAAGGGGGTTCCTGCTTTGTGTGGTTAAGAACCAAAGCCTCAAGGAAGATTAGTACCTAGCAGCAGTACCAAGGTTGTTTATTCCGGCTCTTATTTACAACTCTAAATTATTTTTCATTGTTTTAATCACAGTTTCTCACTCAGATATCATGATTAACACTACTTGAACCTAACTCATAAGTTAGAGAGAGAGACAAAGAGAGAGAGAGAGAACAAACATGAAGGTTTGCCTTGTCTACAGGCCTCTGAGAAGTATATATATTAAATCTCTTACTTCTTTACAGTAATTCTGGGTTTCTTTTTTCTATTTGATCAAATGGACAAAAACCTAAACAATTTACATTTCAAATCAATTACTCCAATCTGTCTCTCTCTCTTTATCCTGTCAAGTTCACAGTGAACACCAAGCATCCTGCAACCTGTTGAAATAATTGTTGATCATTTGTCAGTGATAGAAATTACATTTGTCATGGGAAGAATTTGGTTTGTCTCTGGTTCCTGGTGCAGAACTCCTTAAGCCTTTGGAATTTCTCAAATGAAAAGGATGACGGTAATGTCTTTTTCTGAGATGAGTCGTGACTGGTTCCTGGATAGCTTCAAGAGGGGAGCTGATCTTCAGAGAGACCAAGCTTTGATTGGAAACTTAGAGCCTTTAACTCTATCTTCAGGCTTTATGAAAGAAAAGAGCTAATATTGAGTTAACCACTAGTGGCTAGTGATTTAACCAGTTACTTTAGGCCTGTGAAAAGGTAGTTATGCTATAGCAGGAACATGGGGTAACCCCTTTTACCTCATGGCTAGCTTGGCCAAGAAGCAAAAGAGAGAGGAGGTATGGTCCTGCTGGATCCAGGGGCATGTCTTCAGTATCCTAGAAACCTTACTTAACGTGGGCCCCACTTTTCAGAGGTTTCACCCCCACCTCTCAACACCATTACGCAGAGTCGAACTGTCAACATAAAGGCCTGTGGAAGACCTTCAAGAGTCAAACTACAAGAGCTATCGAGTTGCTGTCAGACAGTTGGTCAGTTGATATGAGGGAAAAATAACAAAAGTCAAAATATCAAAAGTGCTGGGAGTAAATAGAGCTCATTAGAATGGAATCCATCTGTAGGTGTTTTCCATTTAGAACCAGACTGAGTCAAGTTTCATTCCAAAATCCTAATGCAATGTAGTGCTTAGCTCATAAGACCAAGTCCTGGAAGTCTGAGTTAAACTTCACCATATGGAAATATGAACTTGGGGCCTGCTATACAGATAATAAGTCTAAGAACTAGAGAGGTAAACTAGGTTAATTGAAAAGGACTGATAGATTAGTGAGATTTCAGAAGTAAGCTGAGGTGAGAAAACAAATCTGATTATTTTTATTTTTGTTCTATTAAGTGAAAAAAACTAAAACATGTGGAGAAAAAGCCAAAAATAAAAATTACATTAACCTAACCAAATTAACATATCTGCTGAAGTACTTACTAATTCTGGTAACTAGTTAACATGAAAGTTGCCTTTATATTATTTTGCCTAGTTATTGAACCTAGCAATTCAGTTTGAATATACTTGTAAAATAGATAGCATCTGGTACTGTTACCTGAGGAAGATTTATTTCTCCCCACCCCATTCATGGACGTAACAGGCCCTTGCCTGCACAGTCCTTGTTGGAAAGGGAGCATGACAAGA